AAACCAACCTTTTTTTTCCCCGGTTGTTCTACTGCTGCTGACTGGCTGCTTGTATAGTAAATATGTCTAGAAGACCTGTGACTGAAAGCTAGGTAAAAAGCTCGCTCCTTAGATTTAATCCAATCCTACCTCTCTATTTACGATAATAGATGAATACCTAGTTTTTTTGATTCTGGACACTGAGATGAATTGTGTTGCAAAAGGGGGGGGGGGGGGGAATAAAAATAAAAAGAATTCATCCACACATAAAATCCTATTCACATTCATAAACAATAGGACTTTTCTACCCTTCCTTCCTTTATAGACAGACGCCAGATACCTAGGTAGGTAGGTACAACATAATAGGAAACCCGTTTCCTCCTTATCTCTATATATAACCCCCAACCACGCAATCCGCAATCTCAGTCCTCATCATCAGCAAGCATCCACACCCTAGCCTTCAGCCTCTCCACGACCTCCATCCGTATCCACTGCATATCCCTACCCTCCGCGACCGCCTTATCAGCCCACGCGAACAGCAGCCGCAGACCCAGCAGCCGGTCCTTCTTCCCGCTGTCCAGCGTTGCGTTCTCCAGCACTAGACGCGCGTCAACGACCGTGGCTTGCGTGCCGGCGTGGACGTCGCTGGCGCCGCCGCGGTCCGGGGGCAGCACGAGCGCGCGCTCGGCTTTGGTGAGGTTGGCGAAGGCCGGGAGCTCGAAGAGCCATTCGAGGGATTGGGAAGAGGTGGAGGAGCCGTCGCCTTCGTTTAGGGCTTGGATAGTGGCTTCGAAGGGGGAGGTGGTGGCGTCGTGGGCGGGGCGGCGGCGGACGTAGATGGTTTGGTTGGATTTGAACGAGGCGATGTGCGTGGGGTTGTTTTCGAGATCGAGCACCACGTTCCAGTATTCGGTGCTGTTTGTGCGGACCGTCTTGATTTGGTCCAGTTCTGGGACGAGACAAGGCGTGTGCCGTTGGATCTGTTCGCCGTTGCGGAGGGTTATTGAGACGGGGATTGGGACCGGTTGATTTGTGTCGATGTCCTTCGTGACGAGACAGCGAGGTTCCGCTGCCAAGGCCCAGAAATGCCGGAAGGCCTGGAGATGGGACTTGTTGTCTTGAACGGAGGAAGGGAAGATTGGATAGAAAGCCACTAATAATGAAGCTATGGCTAGATTCGACGTCCCGAACGTGAATGTCCCACCACCGAGGAAGAGAGCACCGACAGCCAGATGAGCCGCGAGATGGCTTCCATAGGGTGTCTCGCTATCGTCGCGGCCATGCATTGATCGAAGTCGACGGAACACGATTAGGTCCCCTGTGCCTGCCATTACTGTCGCAGCAGCAAGTGCTAATAGATCCTGACAGTTCCGGACTGTGTTTCTCGTCAATTTCTTGTCGAAAGTGTCCGCATCGATTCGACATATCCTCATAAGCTGGTCCAGGTAATGGACCAGCAGATCTCGAGCTACGATAGAGCCCGATCCGGCCAAACGTAAAGCGATGCTGAAGCAGAGCCCTGTGATGATGTTGTAGAAGGGAAGATCCTCGGCAGTCAATTTCTCAATACCCTCGAGAGTACTCCGGGACCTATATGCTTGTGGCAAGCTGCTCCTTATCCACTCAAATGAAGGAACTATTTTGCTCCACATGATCAAGTGCCTGGTGAGGGTGCGGAGCAGAAATATATCTGGTCTGACATAGTCAAACTGAAGGAGCGAGTCTGGCACGTCAATCTTTCGCGCCAAGATCTGATTCTCTGACTTCATAAAAATCAAAGCAATAGCCATTACAGCAGCCGCAGTGGCTTTATCAAGAACATGAACAAGGTCCACTTTCTTGCTTCCAGCAGCCAAGCTGAGGAGTCTCTCTGTCAGTTGCATATCATGAAGTCCTTTCAGGTCCGAACCTTTGCCGAGATTGATGAATCCCAGAGCGAATCCTGCCGCAAGACGGTAGCTTTCATTTCGTAAAGGCTCCTCCTCCGTTTCCGCATCGATGTGCTCAATTTCAGAGACCATTATCTCACTCATGCGCCGATGTTGCGTATTACAGTAGACCAGACCGATCCCCATTATTCCAGTCGTTTGTGTCAGCGGGGAGAGGTTCAATTCTGCAGCTCCTGGAGGAAGCATTCGAGTCACATGCACCGACAGAAGTCGTGTGATGAGCGAATCCATCGTGCCGATATAGGATGCAGCTAAGCCAAGAAGCAATCCTATCGAGGTCATCGTATGCTTAGGGGTGAGATACTTGAAGGCAACCCATTTAGCAACGGACTTGAGGTGTCCATTCAGTCCCAGGGCCAACAAGAAACCAGCGTGCCTGTTACTAAGATCCTGCACAGGTTTATTGTAAAGAATCCATGAAGTGTCAATTCCCTTAGCATCTCGAGATATGCTGAGACCTGCAGCAACTCCGGCATGGAAGAATGCCCAGCATACCTTTTCTTCCGTGAATGCGTTCTTGTCAACGCCCACAGTATTGTTGTCCGGCTTCATCACACAACTCAAATTGAATCCTCCGATAGCAAACCTTTGGGTGAGAAGTGGTATACGAGCACTGAAGTATAGTAATCCTCGTCCAGAAGGAATGGCAAGTGTGCGATAAGCCAACATCTGCGCATGGTCTTTCTGTGCGTCGAGCAGGTCTGCCTCTGTCCAATGAGGCTCGGATTTGCAGCGAGCCACGGTAGGTCGGAAGGTGTTAAGGATGTTCATTGCCTCGTTCATTCTTCGGTCATCCTTGAAGATTGCGCGAGTAATTGCTTGTCGGTCGACTTCAGCAGAGCCATCAAAAGATCCCGTGGTTTCAATATCCGCTGTAGATGCGCATATGGTGTGGACATCAAGACTAGACTCGTGAGAAGGAGCCTGTGGATCGTTAGCAAGTGCGGGAGCTGAGGGTGGGTGTATACGTACCAGAAGAGTCGCCTGGGTGTGCCGCGGACGCTGTCCTGGCGATAATAGCGTGTTGACGTCTTCTCGACCTACTATAGCAAGCAGGTCTTTGCTCCATGTTGTGGGGGGCTCAGTTTGGCATTGGGCTATTGCTTCTTGCAATGGAGCAAGTACAGCTTCTGGTAGAGTCTCGAGTAAGAGACTGTCCATGCCAGCAGAAGACAGCCCTTCAACGAATTCGGCTGCAGACCAGCTATTTCGCATAGAAGAGAAGAACTTCGCAAATAGGAGAGTTCTGGGAGTCAATCTGGACCAATGATCTAGATCTTGAACGTATCTGCGAGAGGCTGTTGGTCGGTTTGCGACCAATTCGGGCAGAGTCATGAAGGGAGTCAAACTTTGGGTCGTCAAGCAAGTTTGAATCCAAGTATAAATTTCAGGAACATCCTGGGGTTCGGGAAGGGAAAATTCCAGGGGTGATTCTAAGTCATAATCCATATCGAGCAATGAAGCGTCCTCGACGTCGTAAGCTGTTGCCCAACTCGTCCAGCGAAACCATCTGGCGATTTGAGCGAGGATTGGAGTTAGACTCAAGACACCTGAGCTAAAAGAATCAGATACCATTGTGTCCAGTCTCTGCTCCTCACGTAGAAGATGCAGGCCAAGAAAGGTGTCAACAAGGGCCGATTTTCGACTCTCAGTAATTAAGCAGCCAGATATAATAGACTGGCCAAATGCAGTGCTAGCAAAATTGCGAGAAAGTTTCACATGCTCCAGGACAAAATTCCCCTTGCCCTCACGATTGGAAGTGAAGACTGAAGAGGGTAATTCAGAATCTTTGATTGCGTCGGAATCCAGACCTTCCTCGTTAAGCCAATTCCAGCCGCGATTATTGGCCCAGGAAGGGAATGGATTGCCATTGAAGGCTTCCTGACTTTGCATTATCTCCCAGCTCTCCTGGTCTTCTCGTGCTCCACTACTCGATCGAAGGAGACCGCTACGAGTCTTTCGTTTAGGAGCTCCGTTCTGCGTGGGTTTTGAAGCATTGTTTGGCCCAAGGACCATAGAAAAGAGAGTAATGACCATAGCAGTCCACTCAGAATCTACCGTGTCTATTGACTCTTGCCGGAGCCACTGCATAACGTTCCACCACGCGACCACAATCCCTTCTCCAGCTCTTACTCCAGGAGCGACGGCTTTGCAGACATCGAGCACCCTGCAAACATGGGGATTTCGAGGTTCCATGAGGATCTGAAGTTGGTGCATCTTGCCTTCATCGTCCACCAAGTCGACGAGACCTCGAGGCTTTGAATTGCGCAACTTACGCAACGCGCGGGGTCCCTGGCTAAGGACTCTCTTAGAACCCCCCTCTCGTTTCGCACGTGGCACTACGCTGTGACCAAGATTTCGAATGCTACCAATAGCAAACTTTTCCGGCAGCGGAACTTTCATGAGAACACTCCAAGGGGCCTGTAGGCTAAGTTCTCCATAGCCATCTGGGGTCTCAGTTAATGCCAAGATGCGGGAGACTTGCCCATCATCCAGTCTGCATGCATCGATAACATTGCTCGCTCTCACTACTGAGCCGAAAGAGACAACGTTGACATCTTTCTCTACCTTCACGCTCTCATTATGTTCGATGTGGGCAGCCTTGTGACTTTTCATATAGAGAGTCAGCACGAGAAGCCTTTTTTCATCCTGGTCCAAGACGCATATAACGATCTCTTTCCCTTTTTGGTCATCTTCCGCCGAAGATGGCGCTGTGAGGGTGAATATTCTACATTGAGCTTTAGCCGGCTTGTGTTGAGTAGAAAATCTGACATTGGTATGTTCTGCGGGAACACTGCAAACTTTGCTGAGGATTATTTCGTTGCTGAGAGCATCGAACTCGTCATCATCGAGACCCATATTATGGAAGCCCTCGAAATCCCCACCAGCCCTAAGCTCGTCCAAAAGACTGTCGACCGGTGCCTCAAGCAAGCTGTTAACACTGCTACTGAACGGTGGCCCTTGTGACTGGCTCTGCCCATTCACATTATAACCTCCAGTACTCGTCCTGGCATATTGACTGCTTAGAGAATCCCCTCGCCTACTGGTCCCAAGTTGATGGGCGGCCGTGGCAAGATCAGAGAAGGCAGACCGTTCGTTGGAAGCAGATAAATCCGCGCGTGCAAGCATTGAACTGACACGCCGAGACCTCCTTCTTGGAATTGTAGAACTCTCGAAATCTGGGTCAAGAGTGGATACGAAGTCAACATCTTTGTCTTTAGAATTATCTTCTTGTTTGGCGCCTCTCTTTCCCACATTAATTGGTGCATTGCCACCAAAGCTCTCTCGGAAAGTTTGTTGGTTGCCCATTACCGGTGTGGTGGATCCCGTCGCGGCACCCGGAACGAAGGAGCTTCTTCGACGAGACATATTTACACTAGTTGCACGTTGTTTCTCGCGAGTACCAGACTCCTGACCAACATAATCCAATTTCCAGACACTGTACATGCTAGTCTCCCGGTTGAAGGTCAAGGCGAGCACGAGCGGGTGCTCTGTATCTTGGGTGAATTCACCAGGACGAGAAACATGAAGAATCTCTTCAGCCGCATCCAATGCGGTTACTTTCGTCGAGGCTCTTCGGTGTCCACGGTTCTCGGATTTGTTGATTTGCGCAACGACCAGTCCCATCTCCGCCAGAGGATCTGACAGTGAGAACAACCGTGGCCACTTCGAGTCGTTCTTCAATGATGGCGGGGCCCATATATCTTTTAGGGTGAAATTGGGTGGCAATGGCATCTGCATTGGATCTCCGAGATCTGCGATTGAAAAGGTAGACAGTTGCGAGCTCGATGCCGACCATGGTTGAGGCTGGGAGGAGACGAAAGAATTGGGAGGGACGCGTGGGAACTTGAGTGACCTTGAAACCAGATTATCAAGCCTCAGTTTCCTCTGTATTATGAGCCCATTAGGAGCTGAAGTTGCAGACTCGACCTCGAAAGGTAGATGTATGACATGGCTCGTGCCGCTGAGAAAATATACATGCGCCTGCGTCTTTAGAAAGACCACGAGTGCAGTTGACTTTGTATTTGATTTTGTATGTTGTCCTGACTTCCTATCCTTCGCATTGAGCGGCCCATCACTTGGGAATTGAGTCAACAAGGCCTGCGTGACTGGCTCATTCTCCAGGTCAAACTTGTAGCTCTTTCGAAGAATGCCCCCTCGAGACCAGATAACGCATCGCGGAGTCACCAGAAGCTCGTCGTCATCAGCCAATGAATTAGCATCGCCGCTGATGTGATTATGCCAGGAGTAAGAGGTGCTCGGTGGGTCTGGAGGTAAGAGACCCTCTTGTATAGCGTACTCGAGTCCTGTAGGCTGGTGAAGGCCTAGCGAAGTGACCGAAGCCATCCCTCAGGAGATGAATGGTATTTCATCGACTCGTAAATAGAGGCATAGTTTCGTCGCTACATCAAACCGCGCTCGAACCGTGGGAGGGGTATCGGTCGTCCATAAGCAGTTGCAGTCCCTCTTTCTAGACGCGTCGCGAGAATCAAGGGCAATATTTTAGTGCGAGGCTGAGATTCGCTAAAGCCCAGCAAGGCTACCAAAATCATACGACTCTGTTTCTACTTCATGGCATCAACTAAAAGGGACAGCTAGACCATGCTCTCTTCCCTGAGTGAGCTCAGTTCAGACAAACTATCCATATATTATGTGTCGATTTTGATACGACAAACATTTGACCATCATTTTATCATGCACCATCGTAGTTCCTATCCATTGCTCGCCCTACAAGCTCCGTTCATCACGGTGCTCTACAAGGAGTTCGGCTTGAATTCCTGTCTATGTTTAAGTAGTATCTGTGTGATAGCTATGGACAAAGCAAATGTATCAGTCTCATACTTCTAAGCTCTCCTGAATCATCTTACCCACGATCTACTCGATCCAGTTGTTGGATCCACCCCTAGCAAGCATCTCTTCAAATCATTTTAATCAATCCATCTCAGCAACTCCCTACACATAAAACACTAATCCGTTTGTCAGAGGTGGACTTGTAAAATCTCAAGTTTTCACCAGATTCAAGAAGAACTCCAAGAACCTCTCTATACAAAAATTCAAACATAAGTATATCATACCGACGATCCACCAAAAGACCTAAACGTTTAAAAAGTCCCAGTACGCATTCATTCCCTCCCCATTTCAGACCATCTCAAGCCAACCAAGTGACTCCAGACTTTAGACAAATCAATCCATATCGCAACACAATAAACCAACATCATCCACTAGCCACCAAAGAAGAACTTCATCATTGAATAGCTCCAGTTCACATACTCGTGATGATGGTATTTTTTCGACAAGCACAGGTAAGCTCTGTATAGTAGGTAAGGTAGGCAAAGCTTCAAAAATCACATTATACTTCTTGCTAAATTGTTCTATCTCTAGGTAGACAACTATTAAACATCTCCTCCTGCTTATCTACTAGGGAGATGAAAGAAATTGTAGAGAGATTGGCATTATGAAAGAAATGAAAGAAATGCCAAGTGTTGTCCAAGGCTGGCGAGGAAATGAAATACGGGGGGAGGAAAGGAGGAGGGAGGACTCGCTAATTACCTAACAGCACATCATTGCAGCGAAAATCTCATCTCGTCGCGCACAGGCGGCGAATGAGTAAATGTGGAACTTGCAATTGCAAAACCTGTTTTTTATTTTTATTTTTTATTTTTTTTTTCTTTTAAGGAAAAAGGGGAAAAAAAAAGAGGGGGTCCGCAGAAAGATACTTCTGCCTTGCTTTTCTTTTCTTTTCTTCCCGAAAAAGCAAAAGCAAAAGAAAAAAAAGAAACATCCAAACAAGCCAGTGGGAATTGAGCCCACGGCGGGGGTCGAACCCGCAGCCTTCAGATAGAACTGAAGAGATTCTTAAGTAAGAGTCTGACGCTCTACCGATTGAGCTACGCGGGCTTTGAGATTTTGTTTGGTTCGTTTGTTTGGTACCCGACTTCGCTATTTTGATATTACCTACTAGTGGAGAAATGGAAGGATGAAGGGGAAAAAAGGGCGCGTGGTCATGTGATTTATATGTGTAAGGTAGTGAGTGAAGGCGCCTGAGATCTGGGATACAAGAGTTGGAACGGACTTTTTGGGAGGGGGGAGAAGGGGGAGTGGGCGGGGTTGATTGCAATTATCGGTGAAAGCAAGAGGGAGAAATTGCATATTTTAGGGGTTTGTTGTTGGGTTATCATTGTTGGATCGATAGGTAGAGGACCTGGCAATAATCACACGCACGCACGCACACACACACACGCAATACATACCTTACATACACCTACATATCTGTACCACCCCCTACAGTGATAAACATCCCTTCCCATCTTCATCCTCATCCCTACCTGATAACACGCAACATACAGCAGCGACGCGCGGCCGTCCTGTTACCCGGTAGAACGCCACGCCACGCCATGAATTATCGGCCTCACGACGATGCGGGAGATTATTGTCGTGAGGCTGGTGGTTTGCATGTATTTTTGGTAATTGGGATGATGATTGTGAGACGGATGGGAAAAGGTATATGGGAAAAGGTATAGTACTATAGAGGGCGGATAAGAGATGGATGAGACAGGTCACGTCATGGTCGCGACGTCAAAGAGCGAGCGGGTTAACTTAGGTTGGGAGTTGTGAAGAGGGGTGTGAAGGGTTGTGAAGCGGATAAAGGAGGGGATAAGGGGATGGAGTGAGAGGGTACCTGCATATGAAAAGGGGAGAATAATTGTGGGAATTTATGGTACTTGAAAGGTACTGGACATTTATATGAGCTGGATCAGAAAGGATGACCACTTTCCACACAACGTCGATCACGATGATACTGAAGATCGCGAGTATCAATGTAGTGGCTACCCCCTAGCGCCGCAGCTCCCGTACTGTGCGGCGCGTACCGGGTACCACGCGTCATGTACATTATCTTGGCCAAGGCACTAGACTATGACCAGAAAGTAGTAAAGTGGCTCTAAGGCGTCAAAACCTGGCAGCAAGGGGCCCACGAATCAGGGATCCCTCAGGTTTGAACCTCGGCGCGTGAAACGGCGGGACGGACGAATCGTGCTCAGCTGGGCCGTGGACGACTCAGGGGCTCGGCTGTTTCTGTTGTCTATCTCTCTTCACATTCTTTCTGCGGTCTGTGGCTGGAGCGGGAGGCTGACGGGGTGGGGCTTCAGATCAAATCAGATGCGGGAGACAGGGACGGGGGAGATTGGGATAGGCTGTTGGTCTGCATAAAGACTGGATATCGATATGCATATATGCATATATATGCATAAATGCTCCATGGATATGATAATGCACGCACCTCCACCGCCCAAGCCTGTGATCGGCTGCCAATCTAGCAATGCCCTAAGGATTAGCCCTACCGCTGGTGTGTTTCAACTTTCAACTTTCAATTGGGAGTCCCATCTGCTATTTCTCTCTACCCACCTAAGGTACCTTACCGTACAAGACCTTCCTTCTCCTTTTCAGACCAGAATAATAATTGATATATCGTCATCCTCCGTCCTGATGCCCGAGACCCGACGCGTCACGCGGGACACGCAGACGCGGCGGCAGTCCTAGTGCCCGCGGGTGGACGAATGGGCCTATGGCAGACGGGTTACAGGGCACCAGAGCGGCCCCCTCAGCAGAAATCCCCCCCCCGCTGCCCTGGCGCCCGGGATTCTGGAGACTGGCGGCCTCACATGTGTAGTGGGGCCTGAGGCATCCATTCCTCCCCCTCGATTACCTTATTACCCCAGTTCTTCGCTCCGTCGCATATGATGCATGGGTCCCCGAGTGTGATTCCTTTTCTGCTCCCCAACCTCTGAATCCCGAACATCCTCTGCTTCAGCTCCCCTTCTCCCTTCTCCCTTCTTGACTGCCCTTCGCTTCCCCTTCCCTTCCCTTCCTTTGCTTGTTTGCTTTCAGTCGTTTCCCCTGTCCATCGTTTGATTTGTCCTCGGCTCTATATACATACTTTTGATATCTACACGCTATTGCAATTGCATCGTGAGCATCATCATCCATCCTCGTCACTCGCTTCTGCCGCCCCGACCGGTCTGATCAAAGAGTCTCTCGTCGCGACTTTCTCGACCACTACTGTCCTAGGCGGCGCATGTGTTCCCCCTGCGAATAAAGTGGTGAAGGCGGAATAATGAGCGTTCGCCATGAGAATGTCAAATGGGTTGATGTGAGTGAGCTTCCCGTCCCCCGCGTGCCCTCACTTGCAGTTGCAATCGCAATCGCAATCGCAATCGCAATCCCAACTCTCTCCCAATTCCCCCATTCTAATCTCACTCACATCTCCATTTCCAACTCCAATTCCCATACTTCTCCCTACTAATCATCCCACAGGGCCTCCGTGGCCTCGCGTCCCTCCTCGTCGTCTCTACCCATATAGCCCGTGCCTTCGATGAGGACCTCTTCAGACCCACCACCGCCCCGGATCTCCCCCCGCGGGTCATGCAATACCCCTTCCTCCGTGTGCTCGTCCAGGGCCGCATCGGCGTGTCCATCTTCTCCCTCGTCACCGGCTACGTCTGCGCCCTGAAACCCATCCGCCAATGTCGCGCCGGAAAGCCCGATGAGGCCTTCGTCTCCATATCCAAGAGCGCCTTCAGGCGGATTCCCCGACTCGTGCTGCCCACGTCCATCGCCACCACCATCATCTGGTTCATCTGCCAGTTTGGCGTCTTCGAGGTTGCCAACCGCGCCGAGGGCTGGTGGCTCAACTACACCTCCCCCAACATCACCCCCATGATTGGCGAGGCGATCAAGTCGCTGATCTACCACCTCATCACCACGTGGACCCGCTCATGGAACATATACGACCCTAACCAATGGACGCTGCTCCCGCTGCTGAAGGGGGCCTTCCTCATCTATGTCATGCTCTTCGCGACGGCGTACGTCAAGGCGAGGTATCGCATGATGGTCGAGTTGGCCATGTTTGTCTATTACTACATCAGTAACGACTGTAAGTTCCCCATGCCTGCCCGCGATTGGCGCCCTTCCTAACCCTCCGCAGCCGCCTTTGGAATGCAATTCTTCTTCGGCGCTTTCCTCTGCGACCTCTCGCAGCATCCGGGCCACGTCGCCTGGCTCGCGAGCCGCAAGTGGCCCGGCCGCGTCCTCTCGCCGCTCCTCATCATCTTCGGCCTCTACCTGGCCTCCTACCCCGAGCTCAACCCCGACTTCATGCCCTGGTCCAACTACATGCTCCAGACCTCCTTCCTTATCTTCCCCAAGGAGGCCGAGATCCCACGCTTCTACACCGGCATCGGCCTGCTCTTCATCGCGCTGGGCATCCACTTCTCGACCTTCGTCAAGAACGTCCTCTCCAGCCAGCACCTCCTCTGGTTCGGCAAGAACTCCTTCGCCGTCTACCTCCTCCACGGCACGCTCCTCCGCACGCTCCTCGTCTGGATGTACTTCGGCATCCACACGCCCCCGGACATCATCAACGAGCAAGGCCAGCCCGCGCCCGGCCCACCCCTGAAACTCTGCGGCCGCGCGCGCTTCTGGTTCTGGCTCCCCATCTGGCTCGTCATCCTATACAGCATCGCGAATCTCTGGACCAAACACGTCGATCCCTGGTGTGCGCGCCTCACGCAGAAGATCGAGAAGTACGTGTTTGACGATGGGAAGGACGAGGTTGAGAAGAATAACCTTTTGAGTCCGTTGCCAAGATAAAGATCAAAATCCCCCCCCCCCCCCCGGCCTTTCTTTAGGTATCTTATGATGTTTTGTTTTATTTGTTGGGACGAATTTCATCAAGCTATACATACGTATATGAATAGATAGATAAGGTGCGGTATACACATACCTTGCAAATCTACATCACATCACATTACATTACATTATATTAGCCAAGACATGGAAGTGTGGCATGCAGAAAGAAAAAGAAGAAGCAGAAGTGGGAATGATGATGAGTGAGCAGTGAGAAAGAAAGAAATATCGGATGGGCAGGCAGCCTCGGATCTGGATTTGAACTTGATTTGATTTGGGATTGAATTGGGACTGGATTGGATTGAATTGGATAGGGAGGGAGTGCTGATATCTATATATCTATATATATATGTTATGTATATAGGATAGTAGAGTGAAGTGAGTAAGGCATGTATATAATCACATCAAATCAAACCACTCAATCCCTCAAATACTTTCTTCTTTTTAATCTTTTATTTCTTCTTATTGGTTTGATTTTCTATATACCCTATCTTTTGTATGGAATTTCTTGGATAGGATAGGATAGGATAGGATAGGACGGAATTCTGGGATGGGTTATGGCTCTCTCTGTATTACTCATGCCATACCATGTCCATGACTATGTCCATGTCCATGTGTCCATTCCAATTCATGTATGCCTACGACTGACTCCCCGACCATACCGCCATGCCAGGCCATGCCCATGCTATCAGGAGGACAGGACAGGACATATAACCATCCATCCATCCATCCAGTCCCTACGACGAAATCCAAAACAAAAGCTTCTTTCTTTCCTTCTTCTCTCCTTCACACACACACACACATCCACATCCACTCCTCATCCACCCACGCACCCACGCACCCAGCACTCGAAACTCGTCCACAATCCCAAACAAAACTAGCCTGCTCTCTCCAGCGCCTCCAACTCCGCCTGCACCGCCGCCTTGGTCGCAATCTTCTTCAGCTGCGTATCCTCGAGCTTCTCGCCGCCCGCGTGGCGCATCTCCAGATCCTCGATGGCGCGGATCTTCTTCTGCAGGCCGCGGAGCTTCTTGGCGTTGGGGCTGCCGCCGCCGGGGGACGTGACCGAGAGCTCGGGGGGCTCTTGGAGCCGCGCCGGCGTGGCGCTGACGGGGGCGGCGGGGACGGGGATCGTGTTGGGGTTGGGGTTGCCGTTCTGCGTCGGGGGCCGGCGTTGCGTGTTGCTGCGGGGCCGTGATGGGTTGCGCAGGTCTTGCTGGCCTTTGGATTTCGAGCGGCTGCGTTGGTCGCGGCGCTCGGGGCTGCGGTTGTCGTTACCTGCGGCTGCGGCTGCGGCTGCGTCGGGGGCCAGGCCGGCGGCCTTAGCTTCTGCTTCTTTGGCTTTCTTTGCTTCGCGCTTCTTCTTGTTCTTCAGGGCCGCTTTGGAGAGGTTCTCCTCGGCTTCCGCACCGGGTGGGTTGGCAGGCGCGGCTCCTGGTGGGAGGTTGTTGACGGGCTCGGCTCCTGGGACGTGTCGTCTGCCGAATCCGTTGGTGTTGACCAGGGACGTTCCATTGCTGACGATGTGTGCTGCTCCACCTTCATCCTCACGCTTGAAGTGCAGTGGCGTTGAGGTTCCACGAGCCCCTGGAGGTCGGTACGCACCAGCGGGCTTGGAAGGGGTCTTGACGGTTCCCAGATACGCCAGCGCTGATGCGTGGGGAGGCGGAACCGGGTGCAACGGGTCGCCCGGCGGGAAGGAACTTGGAGGCTGAGGCCTCCAAGTAACATGATAGAGCTCCACCATGTCTTGATTGTACATGATGCCACCTCCAACATGCCACAACCTGACTCCGTTGTCGACACGTAGACGAGGGCTGGTTGTCGCGGTCAAGATGTACTTGCTGTCCGGACTCCACTCGCAAACACTGGGATTCCCACCCTCGATAGTACATATCTTCTTGTAGTCCTTCTCGAGATCGTAAACATCCATCTGGCCCGCTAAGTTTCCAAAACCGGCAACCAAGACGAAACGTCCAGTCGGGGAGAAGATGATAGTATTCCGAGGGCCGAGTGGGAAGCTGTGCGTCGCCACTGCCCTCTGGTTGAAGATTGTCGTCTTTGCTGGCATGTATCCGTAGACCACTCCAAACTCCTTCGAGTTGGGTGACCAAGATACGTCGTGAATCGGACCCTCCTTATCAAGAGTTATCCGGGAATCGAACCCACCATTTGCGCTCAGCACATACAGTGTAGTCTCTCCGTAATAACTCTTGCCGGTCTTGTCGACCTCGGTCTGCGCAAGGACGATCAGGGTTGTCCCCAGTTGGTTCCACTTCAACTGGACCTTGTCACCCTTGAAGAAGGTCTTCTGGGACACCGGGCCGCCAAACTGAGGGACGTTGAAGATCTTAACGGCGGCGGGTTGACCCTGGAGGAGTGTTAGCTGAAGCCTGGGACAGAGGATGATTCCATTACCTTGCGCTCCGGAATAAAAACAGCCACAGACTTGTTGTTGCCAGGGGAGATCGCAAAGTCTGCAACCCCCTCGACGCGCAGCTTGTTCCAGACCGTACCCAGCGCACTACTCTCGTAGAACTGAACCTCGTTGGTCACAACGCGGGCACAGTATTTTTCATCCGAAGTGTATTGCAGGTTCCAGCCGGTCTGGGACTTCTGGACGAATCTTCCCACGACCTGCTTCTCGGTACCGGCTGGCACGTCCTCGACCGTGCGCCAGACCTTGAGGTTTTTGACCGCATCGCCCGCCTCGTCTTTCGACGGCCTCTCCCACGTAATGATGTACGAGCCGCGGGGCGAGAAGCCGACTTCATACACGTTCGGGATGGGCAGGCTGGTGATGACGTGTCCGACCGAGGAGTCGACGACCGTCACGCCGTCGTTGGAAGCCCAGGCAAAGTACCGGCCGCACGGCGAGTAGGCACAGCAGCGCGAGTTGCCTTGCGGTTTCTCAAACCCAGGCAAAGGCACATAGACCGGCGCGGCATCCACGATGCCAATCTCCTTCAGTGTTCTGTATGCAAACTGCGTGGGAAGGGCCATGACTACTGAAAGCCACAGAGGGTTCTTCGAAGCAGAGTGTATTGTAGTCTTCTTGTTCGCGCGAGGCTGCGTCTTGGGGGGGGGATATCAATATCCTTTGTTGTGTTGGCGTCGCAGGGTTGGGGGGGCGGCGTTGTCCCTGCAGATTTATGGAGAAAGCTGCTGGTGGATCACGACGATGGCGATGGCGATGGCGGGCGGTGAGTCAACAAAGTAATTCCTCGAAGGGGGATTCACAGGACGGCTGCCATAGAAGAAGAAGAGGCTTATGGGATTGTCCGACACGGGGGGGAGGGAGATTGACAAGCACCGTGGATTGAGGCGTGTGGAGGAAAACAAGAAGAGGATGATGGGATTTTTTGTGCGGGTGTTGTCCTCTAGCGGGATGCGACAGGCCATCCACGCTAAAGGTGCAGTTGATGCTGGCTGCCGAGACCAGGGACCAACCACCGGGTAACCCAGTAACCCAGCGACGAGCACGGCAATCGCACGAGTGTGTGTATCGTGCCGGGTCATTGCCATATCACAATAGGTTTATCGGGGGCATCGTTTCTCGCGCACACAAGCATGGTACCTTATGTACCCCTACCTTAGGACACGTCCAGGTGAGCAGGCATCATTCGCATTGTTTGCGCTCTGTAGAAGAGGGAGAAGCTATAAATAACGAATCCCGGCTTATTCGGCTCTTGACTGAGGTATCATTCCTTGGATACTGCTACTCTCCTTCCACTCGGTGGCTCCGGCTCAGCCTCTCAGGTGCTGCTCGCGGCTCATCCTATCGGCTGCGTCCCAGGCCCGAGTCCATAAGGCTGGTGGCGTTGAAATATCGGTTGCAATCATGTGCTTTGCAAAGATACCTATCGGTTTCTGTCCTGGCCACTGGGTTTCTATCTTACTAGTTAACTTTTTGCGGCTGTAACTGGCTCGGCCGCTTTGGCTCTGATTCCTCATCTCCATCGGCATATCCTGCTTCATCTGCCATCAACACTCTGCCCCTATCCGTCGCATTCTGCCTTTCTTGCTGCCTCTTGGCTCTCACGGCCCTTTTCTCACTCCTCTCCAGGTCCTCTCTCAATTGTCTAATCAAGGGACTTTTCGTCCGAATCTTCGCACCCCACTTGTAGAAGACGAACGGGATCGGGATCAGTAGTACCTGGACTGCGCCCAGTAAAGTCCCAGCCCACTGCGGCGACAGCTTGGCGTACATAGAAGGTCCGGCTAATGGCAGACTGCCTCCCATGAGTGACCGGACGACACTATTCCCAGCGAGTGCAGAGGCTGAATAGACTCCGTAGCAACCCGCAATATAGTTCGATGCGTATATGAAAACCAAACAGTTGCCTGCGCCAAATGGAATCCCCGCAAGGATCGGCCAGATCCAGTGAATGGTGATGGGGACCGAAGTCCATGAGAACCAAAGTTGTCCAATGGGACAAAGAATGGATGCAATGCAGACAATGGAGACCGAAGCCTCGGGGGGTACGCGCCCCGTGCTCGGATCTTTCTTGTGAGAGTTCACAAGCCTCCGAGCCAGGGGTTCGGTTACAATCGCTAGCATCGTGCCAACCCCTATTCCCATAAATGAGAGTCCAGTGATTCCGGCTGACCAGCCTCGTAGGCCGGTATAGATTAGGGGGTATGCGACGAAGCAGAGATATAAGATTCCGTAAACAATAGCCACATAGGCATCCAAGAACCAGAGAATAGGTTCTGTCCATAGCAAGACGATAGGTCTTTTAAGATTTACCTTCAAGACCTCAATGATTGATACTTTCTGATCGTATCTATCTCATCATCAGTGCCTGGATAGATGATTTCAAGATGAAGTGGAAAGAAATAGGTAAACATACCGGCTCCACCATCTTTCGTCACCAGTCTGTTTCCTCATCCTCGCTGCCTTTTTCCGCAAGATAGTCGGTGCATATGTTTCCTTCATCGAGGCGCACATGAGCCATGCGCAACCGGAGAAGATCATTACCAGCCAATTTGTCCATCTCCAACCCAAATACTCGGCTGCAAACCCCCCAATGAGGGGCCCGGTGACTGGTCCATTCATAGGCCCTATACTCCAAATACTGAAGGCCAACGCGCGATAGTTTTCATGGGTCATATCAGCTACTGTCCCCGGAGAATTCGAGATCATAGCAGCTCCTGCCAATGCACTATCCATACTGTCAGATGTCAGCCATAGAAAGGGGGGGTGGGGCTCTCACCCAAAAAAGCGCACAACCTGAACTTCTGCAAGTCCTGTCGCCAACGAGCAAGGTAGGGTCATCAAACAATAAAAGAGCAGACTTCCAAAATACACTGGCCTCCTCCCCCAGATCTCTGATATTGGCGCCAGGATCAAGCTTCCCACTGCCAAACCGATCATGTATGTGGTCACTCCCAGGGTCGCAATGGTCTCACTCGGCTCATTGAACTCCTTCATCATCCCTGGCATACTGCTTGTGTAGCTGGTACTGTACAAAACAGTTGTCCAAGTCGCGAAGCTGACGAACCCGAGCACCATCCCGCGATACCACAACGGCCAATTATGTGGATCTTCTGGGTCATCGGGTGTGAAATCAACTTCAAACGCGGATGGTCTTGAGATACTAGTTGCAGCTGATGCCCCTGATTTTGTATATGTTAATTCTGGGCGAGCGAGATGCTCTGCATCAGTGAAGAGGTCAGGTGTTAGGGCCTGTTGAAGTGGTGCGAGCGGGTCAGGGTTCATTTCGATCGAATCATTGCCAGAGTGTGACTGTCTCGGGATGTGTTCGTTCTTCTCAGAGTCTGTCGCGGAGGGGCTCGTGGGAGATATTGGGGTGGATGCGTTGCATTCGTAGAATTCATCCTTCTCAGAATCCGTGGAGTCCGCCATCTTGGAACGCGGTCAAAGACTTGAACCAGTTTTTTTCTGGATAGTAACTACCCCACTCCTGCTTGGACTCATACACAGTAACTTCGGCTTCTCAGTTCTCGCCCAAGGTCCTCAACAACATGGAAGGATGCTCCAAATGCTTTCCACAAACAAGTTATGGCCAATATGACAGAAGGAGCGATACGTAGAAGTTCATGAGCAATATCTCGCGCTCCCAAACTTGTGGAGTTAGAAGAGGAGGAGAATATGATGCGCGCACCATGGTGGGTATAGCCGCTATACTATGGCGGTCTAGAAAAAGGACGATAATAATTGAGTAACCTGAAAGAGCAGTCCAAGGATTGGATGTCTAGTCAATTATTAATGGGATGCTGGGACGGGAGCTGCAAGAACGGGCTCTGTTCCGCTTCTGTAGGTGGTGGACCAAGGAATTGTGCGATCAATTTCTGTGGGATCGTCATTTGTTGGAACCCTGATGCCAATTCGATCGACTTCGAACATGGACAAGCTCGAACTTGGGGACATGACGATATAGTTCATAGATAGACAGGTCCCAACCTGTTACCTACCCGTCTCTAGTGTTCCTATTAGCATCACCGTCCGGCGGTACCAAAGAACGAGAACGAGGACTTCGATTCTACATACTTTCGCACCGTATGCTATTCCAGGGGGTTAAGCCACGAATATCATCTTCTGCGGGGCCACGAAGAACGGGGCTGCTGATTAGCGGTGCCCCATGGGCAGAAGTGGGCTGGCAGTGCTAGCATGGAAGTTTACCCTGACGGCCTAGATACTCTTGCCCGCAATCATGACACGGGGACAAAGGCCCTCAAAAGGGAGTTTTGAAATCGGGGTAGCGGGTGCCTGTGTTCAAGAACTCGGTATCACGTCCTATGTCTAGGTACGAAGTACGAAGCAGCTATGTACCTCCCCAGCAACGGGGATGGATTTAGGTATGTGCAGGGTGAAGCGAGGGCGCCATGCGCGGAATCCAGACCACGTGACCAATCATTAGTCGAGGCCGGTTTTGACGACGCGGATCGACGACGCGCGGGAAACAAAATAAAGTTGCCCGACGTTCAAGAGGACAAGAATGATCTCTTTGAGCCAATTATTCTACTCATGCCCCGCCACCAACACCACCTCTAGACTTTGAACAGTGTTCGCGCTCTTACAATGGCAAAGGCCCTTCCCTGCCCGCGCTTCTCGAAAAATCAACAGAATACACAAGCAAGGTAATGCCTAAAGTGGAGCATCATCAGAATCATGCTGATCTCCTTGCGCTCCAGTTACGAGTTCCCCCAGCGCATTCACACTGCCAAAGCATATCCGATACAGTCCCCAAATGGCTCGTCGATTATCATCTACGGGCATGAGAATGGCGTGAAGATTGTTTGGAGAGGCGGCAGGCCATTCAAGACCCCCACTGAATCTTCCACAACCAACAATAAGCCAAACGGCGCCGATCATGCTGTCATACTACTAGACTCGGATGATGAAGGACCAGCTGCTCAAGCTTTTGAGGATAAGCCGGAGTTTGAAGATGAGGAGGAAGAGCTCGACCCATCAAGACCATGCCCCGGAATATTACAAGTTCTGGACCTATACTTTGGAACCGATGTTCTTCATCTCGGCCTGCTACCTACTGCGGTGTTGAGGGCTGACGGTGCGAAATGGCGTGGTCTGGAGGTCTTGAAACAGAAGATTGTGTTTACAGCAGCATGTGCGGACAATTTAGTCCGACTTGTTACCCTACCCCTTACGCCACCATCACCAGCGAGTAAGGCCCGCTCAGACTTTCAGTACCACTTCACACAAGCCCATGCAGGGAATGGGAGCTGGGGAGAGACAGTTAGACTACTGGGCGGACACCAGAAGCCATCGGATGGAGTTTCGATGACATTAGATTTTGCTGGGGCCGCTAGGCAAGACCAAGGAAAGCCGGATTCGAAGTCATCTACGCCATCAGGGGTGCACATAATAATCGCCTCACATTCACGCGAAATAACGGGCTTGTTGCTCCTATATCGGGTACCCATATCTTCGGCGAGCCCTCACTTTGAGCCATTCCAGACCGCATACCTTCCTTCTCCAGCAAAGTCCATCACGTTCAGTCCGTCGCTCTCAGAACAGCGTTCGAGTCAGCTTCTTGTGGCAGAGTCTACCGGAGTATGCCGAATCTATGATTTTAAATTGTTAGTTAAAAGTTCGGCACTTGAAGAGAATAATGCCACCGAACAAGGGACGTGGCTATATTCTCTCTATCCCGGATTTCAAAGCAACAAAAACGATGCATCAAGCTCTCAACGTCTAGGGGCGCATGCGGGCTTCGGTAGAAAGACTATTGTTGACGCAAAATGGGTATCAGGAGGAAAAGCTATCGTTGTACTGCTCAACGACGGAGAATGGGCGATCTGGGATATTGAGGGGGTTGGACCAGGCACACCACAAGGCTTGCTAGGCCGTCAGGGTATCAAAGGGGGATCGTTATCAGAATTCAGTCTGACAGGCTTTATCGAGGGCGCCGCTAAAACGCGAGGTTCAGGACCACCTCAAATGACAGGGTCGAGATTTGTGCCCATGACACCAGGAACACGCAAGTCCATCGAGCCATTTGGCGGAAAGGTACCAAGTGGACCGGTCCGCGGCCAGATTTCCGTTCTGGAGGTCCCTCCGAGCTCGCCCACCAACCCCTCTGATGACTCCATCGTTTTCTGGCTCGGGGAATCCTTTACCGTCATCCCCAGCCTCGCCAAATACTGGGCAGCCAACGCTCGGAAAGGTGCTAGTGGAGGAAACCTGTTCAACGGCGCACCAGGAGGTCGCGCCATCAAGCTCGAGAGCATCGACCTCCAAGGCGAGCGCTGCACGGGCATCGACCAGATCGTGAAGGGCAATCCATCGACCGGCCTCCCTTCAGATATTTTGATACTGGGCGAACACCGCTTCACGGTCTTGACCGCTGGGCAAGCGCAAGCGCGAGCTCCATTCCAACCCACGGCACGGACAGCGCTAGTAGAGAAGAGCACCAATGCCGGAGACTTGGATGTCGTAGGAATCGACCAGGCATTGGCGCGAATGGAAAACGGGAGCGTGAACGGCTTCGCGATGAAGAGGAAAGATATCCCGCGGTGATCTTTCCTTTTGTTGTTAAGTACTAGTCAGATACCCCACGTGCAAATGAACGGAGTCGTTATTTCTACTGCCCCGGTGATACTTTTCCTCCCTTTCTCCTCCCCCCTCCCCCTTTCCTCTATACATCCTCTCTGCACTCAGAATGTGCAAGTAGGCAACATTCGCAAGGCTAGGTGGAGTACAAGGCGAGAACCATCCTTGAAACTCTGTATTCCATGCGAGATAACAAACTCCAGGTCTGCGGACCAGAGACGACAGCTGGTACCTGCGTCCACTGAAGCTGCGGCTCAGACGCGTGGAGGCTGTCGGGGCAGATATCTATTACCACCGGCCGTCGGGCATCCCAGCTTGGGTCGCCTGTGGCTGCGTGGCTTATAACCACTGCTACATTTGTGAAAAGTGCTCCTTGCTAGATAGGTATGGAATAGCAAGGGGAAGAAACAGCATGTTTGAATAGTAGGCCGACTCAGCCGTTTTAATATGATAACTTACCTTACCATTCTGATCATTCGTTCCCACAATGTCGCACCGTTGCATCTAAGCCCTACCGTCACACATTGATACGGCCGGAGGGGATTCAGAGAACGGCACTTGCAACACCACTGCAAATCCAACACCAGATCAACACATACGACTCGTCCACGTCTGCTTTGACCCCTTTTCCCCTTCCAATCAAGTGAGCCAGCAATCCAGCAGGGTAGACACCTTCGCATTGCCACAATATGTCCGACGACAATACCCAGCAGACACTGCCCGAGCCCGACACCGCGGACTCCGTCGCCGCAGATGTGGACATGCCAGAGTTGCGGCTGCCGCACCACCATCTCTTCGACCAGATGATTTCCTGGGGGACCGACAGCGTGCCCTCGCCGCCCTCGGTAAATAGCGAGAATGACAATGTGAGTCCCTGGCGCGCCGGCCAAGTCGGGCCTCCCCTGGACCAACGCCCAGCACTACAAAGGGCTGGACAGAAGAGATCTGCTTTGAAAACGTCGTCGAGAAGCGCTTCTACTGGCGGACTAACTCGTGGCCGAAAGGGAAGCACTTCAAGAATGTTGCCGTGTGTATTGGCAGGAGGACTTGCTGAACGGCTTGCAGGCTATCAGTTTGAAGGTTATGGGCATCATGGGTTGGTCGGCCGAGGGGACGCAGGTCTTTTTGGCGGGTGTAAGGCAGGATGTTAAGGATACTAACATCCATGCCTACCTCCCGATGTACGTCTTACCTCCCTAGCACTCCAACCCCGCTTATCTATACTAACGAGTGCAGAAATGTCGTCTATGGCAGAAAACTCGGCGGTCCTCGACTCCTCTTAATCCTCTACAAACGAGCCTTGCTCATTAAATATTTCTGTTCAAGAGGAGGTTCGTAGAATAGCGAAGTAGAGAGAACTCGATGCGTAACGACATCGCCTTAAACGATACAACGCTACACGACAATCCTCAATCTTAATCTCAAACTAGAATTTCAGAAAGAGATAATTGATTCTGTCGAACGCTGTACTTCTTGGGAATGGATTTAAAAAACGGGAATTAAAATATTCTTGACTTTATTCCCGGAACGTCTTTTCCCTATCTCAATTTTTATAGTTCATCTTCCCTCCTGCCTATATAGACAGTATCATAGCTGAGCTCACCACAGTCCAAATCTCTACTCTTCCCTTCCCTTCCCTTCCCTTCATTATCCTCTCATCCCGCACCCGCCCCACGTCCCTCTCAAAACACAAAACAAACTCATCTTCACACATACATGCACATCACCTCCTAACTCAAATTGGAACTTAGATTTCGAGATTAAGAATTAGAGACGCGAGTGAGTGAGTAAGCAGGTGAGCCGCGAGCGGGTATATATATAGCAAGAAGTGTCAAGACTCAACTGAAAAGTGAAGAAGATAAGAGGAGGGGGCTAGGTATATATACAGGCAAAAGGTGGCAAACACCTTAGGTAAACAACAACGGATGTACGGGTAATAGGACTCTATTCCCGCCGCTCGAAAAATACGGGGTCCCTTATTAAGCCCGTTCTATATCCGACAAGTATAAAGTTTTAGTTGGTTGGTTAGTTTAGGGTGCAAGTAGGTAAGCAAGCAGATACTTTGATTTATGCTTAAATAGACTTCATACCTTACGTACTGCTTAGATAGATGGCGGTGGGGAGTGGGTATGGTGGGTAGGAGGTGTGTATAGCCATGCATGCGCTATTATTTATGGAGACGACCAGGCTGGTAAGGTAAGGTTTGCGGAGACGGGACGGGCCTTGGCATCCTTGGCTAGTAGGCTGCTGCACCCCGGATCTGCGCACCCACCTTAAATCCTAATACCTACCAGGCATCTTAAAATAACTCTTCCATCAAATATTCATCTTCATAAGATCGATGCAATCTATGAGCTTCTAAAGATATACCAAGCGAACCTACACCATCGCTTCGTCAATCCATTTCCACAGCCTCTTATCCGCCACGAATCCCTTACTCAACCCCATCACCATTGTAAGTTTCCTCGCTATCGCTTCATTCCCCGGGTCCGAATAGCGGAAGTACTCCTCTTCATCTCTTTTAATTTTACTTGCTGGACGGTCATCCTCTGCAAGCGTGCTGGCAAGTTTTATAAACTCCTCTTGCTTCTGTACGCATTTGAAAAGCTCCGGGATATTGACATCATCCTCTGGTTTATATACAGATGCATATAGCTCTGTGAAGTAATGATAGTCTTGGCGACCATCGAGAGTCACTAGTCGCGTAAAAAGCCATGCTCTCCGGGTAGATTCCCAGAATGCAGGGTCTAGCTTGATATCATTTCCCTGAAAGAAGTGATGGGTGAAACTGGCCCTGAAAGTAGGAACTAGCGTGTTGTCAACTTTATCTCTTGGGTGAGGTAGGCTTGGAGTCGTAAGGAGTGTTGATATAGGAACTGTGGAGGAGAATGCCCAGTCTATAATACAAGTGATATTGAAATCATCATCAACAAAGATATTGCTCGTACTAAGGTCCGGATGGCCGAGGGGGTTCCCATTCAAGTCGCCCAGGGTCGTAAATGATCGTTGACTAATCGAAGGTATCATTTTTTGCAAGAAATGTCCAGCGGTACAGTAGTCTAACCTGTTCTTGCTGCTATCGATTTTTGACCCCACAGTAACAAAGTCATTCCATCGACAAACTGCAGATCGATGTTTGAGAAATGTTTCGAATTCTTCGAGTCCTGGGATTGGAGCAAAGAAAATGTGTTGCTCTAGCGGAAGCTCTTTGACGTGAAGAAGAAATGCTGAAAGCAATGCTTCATAGTACTCGTGGTCGTGTTGAAATGGGCCTCGTGGGACGTCATCATCTAGTGAATCTCGCTCGTGCCAAATCAGTGCGGGAGAGAGGCACTTCCTCACAACATATTGTCCATTTTCCTCAAACAGTGACCCTATCTTTTGAAACCGTAGTTTCAACAATTGTGAAATTATATCACCTAGTTGCCACATTATCTTCTCTTTGTTCGCTCTTTTGAGACAGGGACGTGGTTTGCGAGACGTGATCATTCCCTCTGGACAAGCGTCCCAGGCAAAATCGCTCAGTGGGAAACCAGGAGCCTTGCCCATTAGAATAAAAGGAATCCCAATTGTATTAGATCCACTACTGCTGTTTCAATAATTAGCATGGGTCTAGTATACACGGTACACCTAATGACCGTACCTGTAATCGAATACATCTGGGACGGGAATTGAGCTGTTCAGCTTGATATATTTCATAGTTGCAACTTCGCTTTCAAGCAACTCTGCTATGGTCTGCGGAGAAATATCGTGGCTCTCTCGAGGAGAACGAAAGACCCATTCCACGCCGTCTTCAAATGAAAGGAAAATTGCCCAATTTAGGCTTCCGCTTTTTGGCTGCTGGGATAGATCGCAAGAGCATGGTGTATTCCGGAGTTTTCCTGCGAGACTAAGAAGGGCAGATAGATCGAACTTGGCATAAAGAAAGATCTCTGTTTTCGTTGACATTGCGTTTGCTGAATTTGAATGGCAGAGGCATGTGAAGTCGCTGCTCAAGTGGAGATAGGACTTGATTCAGGGCTCGAGCCTCGTTGAGTCGTGCTGTAATCACCAAGTGATTAGATAGCAGATCACGAAGCGAAAACAGAGGATTGTAGGAAAGATGCCCTGATATGTTGTAACTTCCGAGTACATAGTCTCCAATTGGAATTGATGGAGGTTGTTCGTAGCGAGAGGATCACGGTGTTCGGACATTTGGTTCTCGTTTCCAATGCAGGTTTCCGCGCGCGGTTCCAGGAACTTCCAGCTCGCATCTGCACACGGCTTTCCCTGCAACTTCCATCATGATGATGATAATTGATGCTGGTTTTACAGGCTGATCTAAGGCCTCTCGATCTTAAAGTTTGCGGGCAGGCTGTCGCTTTTTCTTTGCTTCTCTTAACATTTGATCTAAATATTCACATACAAGCCCCTGAATCCCTCCATCGATCCGATAATTCTCCTAACTATTCTAACACGAAACAGAACGCAGTACTTTTGGTTCGTATTGTCACGATCCCTAACACAAAATGGTACATTAAATAAATACATCGTCGTTCAACCAGGTATTTACGACTACGATTGAAATCCTCTATTTCCTATCCGCACTACTCGACCCTCGCGTTCAGATCGTGGAATGGGAGGAGGGGCCGAGAAGCCGTCGCTAGATAAAATCGCACGTTTTGATTTCGAGATCCGCCGCGTTAAAGATATGAAACTCATGCATATAGGAAGCTGAAGGATGCCGAACTCAAACATCCGAAAATCTCTAGCCCCGGCTTATGCTTTCCTTGGGCATCTAGCTGAGAGTGGACGGGTTAGAACTTATGGGTATGCTGATTGAGTAGCTAGAAGAAGGCAGGAGGGCGGGCATTGAGGAGGAAATTTCGGCGTGCGAGGATGTGCTGAGGCGGATACATACATGTTCTTGAAATTGTTCGTGGGGATCCTAAACAGATATAACTTTGTGGTGGACGAGCAGAATGGAATCGTGCGTCTTATTGACTTTGAGAATGCAAGGGATTACTCGGATGTGGAGTCGAAGGAGGAAATAGAATCGTTGAAGGATTAGTTTATTGAAGATACAGGAAGAGGTAGTGTAGAGCATTTTTCGGAATGAAAAAATCGTTCTTATTCTTAATCAATAGAACATCACTCACTGCCTTTGATATTCACAACTAGTGAACCTCACATAGAGGGTTTGCTTGCTATAACAGTGGTGAAGATTTGGGCAATCTTACTCCGTTCAGAGTTTACAAAGGGAGATAATTATCTGTAAGGCTATGCTATGCCTAACACTCACAATCTGCCTGCTGCCCAGAAATTCTCGGAAGAAGGCAAGTACTAGCAGAAGAGATACCCTCTTTTCAGATCAGATCAAGAAGGTCAGGTCTCATGGCCAGTAATCATTCATACTTATCTATGTATGTACCTTGCTGAACCCGCCCCCAACAGATAAGAACTCCCCTTAAAAAAAACTACAAAGGAAAGGCAAGGAAATAATCGTATCAAAAGAAGAACTATAAAGATAAGGTAGGTATATAAAGATGATCTAACGTCGATATCAACATCGACATCTTGAATAACAAATATGCTTAGGAAAAACTAAACTCACTGATCTCAAGATCTCACATCAATACACTTTCTCTTTCTCTCACACACTAAATGAAGAAGAAGAAATTCAAAGAGAAGGGAGGGGCAGGCACAGCATGTTTTCAAAACCCAAATCGTGGTGGCTCTTGGCAAAACCCAGAATTTAGAACAACTACCTTACCTAGACCCCCAAAACCCAAGATGCAAAGCATACATACATTCAATCCCCACGCCCGATAAAAAGGCAAACAAGCAACCGAAAAAAACAAAAACAAAAATACAAAAATAAAAAAAAAGTAAGAAGATAGGCCCGACTGACTCCCGAGGTAATACCTAATCCACCTACAGAGTGCCATGATTTAGCTTTTCCCAGCAGGGCGGGTTTGTACTCTATACTTCCTTCTCCACTCTGTTTATGCGGGGATTTAAGTACCTAGTACGTCTTCTCCTCTCCTCTCCTCCCTTTCCTTTCCCTTTTCCTTCCTTAGGTAAGAAACAACTATATATCGTAATTCCAGCTAAGGTACATAATCAATAAATACGCTCCTATTATTGGATACTATCGTACATAAAGTTCTGGGTCCGCGAAATTTTAAAGAAAAATTTAAAATTTTATTTTATTTTAGGTAGCTAGGTGAGTGGATGGGTGGGTATTGGGGGTATTGGGGGTATTGGGGCAAGAGGGAGGGGGTGGTATTAGAAAAGAAAGAAAGAAATAGGTTGGACGCTAAATATGATGAGTAAACAATGAGTAAAGTAAGAAGAAAGAAGCGAAAGAGGCTAGAATGTGTGATGTGGATGATGTGGGGTGTGGATTGTTGAAACTTGTATTGTTGCTTGGGTGATTGTTGGATTGTGGGAAAGGAGGGGAGAGATGGAGAATGGAGTATATAGGTAGGTATAAGATGTGGAATGGAAAGATGAACCTCTACCTTACCTAGGTACCTAAGCATCTTCATCATATTCACATCTGCACATACATACAGAGGCACCTCCCTCAAAAAGCCCCAGTCAAACCTAAGGCATCAAACCCCATATCCCAAATCCCACCTCCTCACCATCAATCATCTCTCTCACCAAAAACAACCAGAATCCAGTCTAAATAATTCAAAGTGCGAAAACCTCAGTACTTGCAATAATACGTACCTTTACCCCTACCTAGTTGACGGGAATACGGCAACGTAGGAGGTGCGCTAGTCAGGGGACATGGGGGATAGATGCGGACGCCTTATGGCGGATTGATGATGATCCCTGATTTTTGGATTTTTGGTGGACGCGAGTGACGCCACGGATGGACTAGGGGTACGATTAAGATATGAAGAGTATTATTGACAGAATATGATTATTTGATGCCGCACGTAATAAAGACCGTGTACTTTTTAGGGAAAGGTTAAAACGTTCGATTGACAGACTGATTTGATGCCGCATTATTGAACACCGTGCGCTTTTGGGGGAGGGATTTATTTTATCTTTATGAAAAGGGGAAAGAGCCATGATTAACTATTGGTGATTTATTGATTATCCACTACGACCAACCAACCGCCCAACCGCCGGCTGCTAACTACATGGTATCCTAAGAAGAATTAACAAGAAGAAAAAGAGAAGCCTGAAAGCACTAAATTGCAGATGAAAGATAACGAAGATATGAAGATCCCACACTCCAGTCCGTCTATGCCGGTTAAAAACACGCGTTCTATGCCTGACGATGCGAAACCGATGATTCCCCCTAGTTGTGATATGTTGAAAATGTGTGTGATGTGGTGATGTAAATTTATGCCAATTTTTGGTGCAAATGCCTGCTTGCCTGCTCTTCTCTCCCCTTGTTAAGAAAATGATAAGAATAAAAATGATATGATAAGGATTGATAATTTGTGATGATGGATGTGTTGAAGAAACCGCAAGTGAGAGTGATTTTGAATGAAGTTGTGAAGTCTTGTCATGACTGTCGTCAAAAGCCCCCTCTCTAGAATTCACGCGTGATGAAGACTCAGGCGTGCTGGCGTGGCTCTGCAACGCTACAGCTTGACCTAAGCCGCACCCGTCTTCAAGGTCTCCTCGTCATCGCCGGAGTAGGCGTACTTCGAGCGCTTACGGATCCTCGCGCCGAAGAAGTAGAAGACGTAAGGGATAGCGCAACACGCGAGACTGATGAAGGCGAGCAGGGAACTGGCCCATTGGTAGTCCAGGCGGTGATACATCTGGACCGTGAACAGCACGACACCGGCACCCCAGAAACTACGGATGCAGGTCTTGGCGGCGAGGGCAGAGGCTGCTTGGTGCTGGTAGGAATCGACGAGGTAGTTGTTGGCGGAGTTGTAGAGGAAGATGAAGCCGAAACCAACGGGGAAACCGCCAAATGCGGGACCAGCCCAGTTGAGACGCGGGTACGAGGTCCAGGCGAAGATGAAGAGACCGATGGGGATGAACCAGCAGGAGACCATCATGGGGTACAGTCGGGCTTCGGCAGGGGGTTTTCCATTGTACTCGGCAACCTTCTTCAAGTAGTGTTTGTTGACGATGGGCGCGCAGGCAGCAGAAGCTAGCACACCGACCGCGAGGGGAATGAACATCAGACCTGTGATACCTGCGGAGTAGCCTTTACCTTCTTGGTAGACGATGGGGTACGCCACGAAGAACATGTAGAGCAAACCGTACAAGACCGACATGTAGATGGAGACAAGGAAGACGATGAGCTCCCGGAAGAGCAGTTGGAAGGGTCGAATCAGGAAGACACGTAGACGTTCGGAGAATGGGCGGGTGTCGAGTTCTTGTTCCGTGACATGGCTCTGGTCTCCGGTGGTTTTACGCAGTTTCTTCGCACGAGCGGCGAGGATGGTGGGCGCGTAGGTTTCAGGGACCGTGAAGGTGATGAAGATATAAACTGTTCCGGAGAAGATGAGTTGGATCCAGTACAGCCATCTCCAGCCAGCCGCGTCGGACAAGAAACCACCGATGAGGGGACCGATAGCAGGACCAATAAAGGGAGCTGCTGAGAAGGCTGCCATGGGCACACCACGCTCTTCAGTCTTCCACAGATCCGCAAGAGTACCTCCGACGAGCGTCATAGGGGCTGAGAAGGCGATTCCATCGATAGCACGGCAGACGATGAGAGTACCGATGTTGGGGGCCACAGCGCAGGGAATGGTAAAGATGACAGCCAGCAACAAGGTGGTACCATAGATCAATCTTCGACCAACAACCTCTGAGAGGGGGGCGAACACCATCGGACCTAGAATGTATCAGAATGAATAAGAAAACAGATGCCGAAAAGACTTGCCCACTCCGAACCCAATGACGAAAACTGTGATGGTTAAGAATCCAACTTCCTCAGAAACATGGAACGTTTTCTCCACGCCCTCGATATCTGCTGTAATGACCGAGGAAGCAAAGGCGACGACGAAACAGGTGACGGCCACTACCATCGTGCAATACCACTTATACGCCTTGGACCAGTTCTTTGGGTTTTCCGGGTCATCGGGTGTGAAGGTGACGAGCTTGTAATGAGAGTGTCCATCTGGCTCAAGCCCGCCGTCCATCTCCCCACCTGGTTTCTCGACCGTGTACTCATTGAGGTTCGCTTGAGGGCTCAAGGTTCTGTAAGGGAGATTGATATCCAGGTTCGGGTCTCTCCCCTCCTTCTCCGAGAGATGTACCTCCTCCGTGTGGGGAGAGGGAGATCCAGTGGCATCGTTTCGAGAGTCATGTGTAGGAGCGACTGTTGATGAAGGCGCTGGGCTCTCAGCGCCCGCTGGCAAGCCAGCATCTAGATTAGACATGATCCCAGGAGATGGAGCAGAATCCTGATCGAGGCTGGTTTCCAAGGGGGTTCAGGGGGGAGGTTCGCCAGATGGGAAGAGGAGGGAAATCAACTCCTTACCTGGGCGTAACATGGTATTTATACCTACAGCAGCAGCGAGAGGTATGGACCGTATGGGAGCCCGGCGGCCCCACGTACCCCTGCCCTAGATCGAGATGGGCGCCCGACGCATCAAAACAAAGCCAGACGAGGAGCCAACGCGAGCCGTGGAGTTCGGAAGCCAGCCGCGGCTACGGGCCAAAATATAGAACATACCTAGGTACCCGACTGGAGTGAAGATAGAAGAGCAGTACTTCAATGGTATTGGCCGAGGTTGGGGGCTAACTCGGGATTCGGGAAAAGCGATCCAAAGGGGGCAGTTGATATAATGTGGCAGCTGCTCTTGGGACGCTGGGAGCTGGGCCTCTACGCCTCTGGGCCTCTCTCTGGCGGCAAGTCGGTAAAGTCGGCTCGTTGCTGAGGGCTGGATGGGTCCGATCCAGGAGAACAACACCATTGCACCACACCATCCAACTGACGTTTCTGCGACATCATGTATTGCTTGTCGATCTGCTGTGGGCAGAGTCGTGTGCAGGAGATGCAGATCGAGCGTCCCAGATCAGCGGTCGCCTTTGCAGTCATGAATGAAATAATGATGGATCGCGAGATCAGCGCGGGACGACAGAGAAGAGTACATGAATAGACAATGTACCTGATGAAGGTTCGAGCCAGGCCCCCAACCGAACCGCCGTGCGCCCAGAGGGTACGCGGGTGCGGCGATCAATGTCTGCGCCACTTTAGACAGGGCCAGAGTGATGCTAAATGCCAATGTCCAAGCTGAATGGAGGTAAATAAACAGGAACAAGAACAAGCGCAGAGTCGTCTCTCGTCGCCTGCGCCATGATGGGAGGCAGGTGGGGCGCCGCGTGGATCATGGACTGCGCCTTAGATACTGCTAAGACGCAGAAAACCCACCCAGCAACTTAAAACTTAAAAAGTGGCCTAGCTGCTTTTGCTTAGCGTATCAGGTCCGTCATCCTACTGTGTCTCCTAATCCTTACCCGCAAAGTTTATTGGCTCTAGTACGATGCTTGAATCGAGGTCGACCCAGACTGACACCGCACGAGACAGGCTCCCTTGACATCCTCCGTATGGTGACAGGGCTCAGGAGCACGCTCAGATATCGTTGATGAATGGCAAAACATCTCAGTGCGCTCTGGGTTGGGTTGGGAAAGCGTCAGGCGACGATGGCGTGGAGTGGTACGTCCTGTCCAGGATTGGATTTAGCGTGCCATTGATAGGTGCACCTGGAAACACCCCCTGCTAAGATAGCGCGCATGCCTTGCATGGGTCTATTTAGCGCCACCCTTATAATAATGTAATTCCACCGTAATATAACGCATCATTTTTGAGGGTTGCAGAAATTGCCTTATCCTGCGCACGTCATGATGCTCTCTTTCCTCTGGAACCCCGTGCTTCATCCACAGCCATGCTTGTCGCTCAGGGAGAGCTGGACGCTGTCACGGGCGGTTGGCGACTGTCGTCGTGGTTGTCGGAGCGACTACCTTAGGCCCTGTCATCTTAGCGAGCCTGTGGGCTGACCTTGCTCCGTACTTTTAAGTTAGGGGAGCCGCATCAGGGGGGCTCGCCGGTCTCCTATCGGCGTGACAGCAGCAGAACGGCTAAAAGAAGCATAAATCGATGTACTCTACTTACTGTGCATGCCTAAGGTACCCAGCGAGCAGTATCCCAATCCCACCGCGTTCTTAATCATGTCATGATGGTCATGCATTTTTGGGTACTGTTTCATCCTGACAGGTAAAGACTCATCTGCATACCCAGTTTTCTCATGGTTTCTTTCTCAAATTATATCACAGTGATATAATTCTGCAGTGAAAATTACCGCGGCGCGCAGGCACTTGAGCCGAAAACCTCGGCGTTCCGGGTAGGCTCGGTTGTTGCTTGCGGTCTCGGCTTGGCCCGCTAGATGAACCGAGGCTGGCAGCTACAAGTACAAGTACAGTGGTACCTTAGACGAGCGACCTATTTCGAGAAGCTTGCCCTAAAGCCTTCACCCGCACATCCACAGTGCTGCACAGTAAGAACTTTGTAATAAGTTTATTCGTGGTTTCCACCATCCTGCAGCAGGCCTGGAGTCGTCGCGGCAACCGCCTTGTTCTGCCAAGACAGCACCCAGAGCTGTAACAGAAGTTCTGTCAACTCACGCGCCAAGATTCCCATCGTGGACCTCTGCCAAGATCGTAAGTCAAGGGTAAATGCATGTCTCTTCTGCGGCGCGAGGAGTAAGCCACTCTTCATTCGTCGTGCTTCAAATCCCGAGATAACTGCAGCTTCTATCGTTATCATGGAATTTCCATCGACGATAAGAATCACCGCCACTTGCGCCTGCCAATCCTTCCGATTGTCGGTCGACTTGCCAACTGCTGCACTGCCCCTCCCTGCCGCTCTTTGCCTCTGCAACTCCTGTCGTCAGCTCTCTGGTACCTGTGGGACGTGCTATGCTGGCGAGGTTCGCGCTGATGATCTTCCTGATCCCTCTGTACTCAATCTTACGAGATACGAAACATCTAATGGCGGGGAGCGCTGGTTCTGCAGTACGTGTGGCGCCCATGCTCTCATGAGGGCCACGGAAAATGGACCATGGCATCTCGCAACGGGACTGTGGGATCGTACGGAGGGCCTCCTGAAATGGGCAGGGTGCAAGTCGATTCGAGAGACGTTGGATGGAGGGGTCAGTGTTAGGCTGGGCGACGTTATGGATCAAGGTAGGAAGGAGAGAGGACTGCAGTCTTTAGAGCCGCATGATGGGGACGGGACATCAGTTCTGGGAGATACGCTGGGAGAGTTCCCGCGGCCAAAGAATGAAGATACAGGTGAAGAGAGATTGAAAGCTTCCTGCAAGTGCGGAGGAGTCAAGTTTTATATCACCCGACCGACCACCGCTTCAAAGAGAGTGCGCTCACCGTTCCCGGATCTCATGGTCCCATACTGTACCGGCGCCTCGTCCGCCAACCCCGAGAATGAGACTTGGTGGCTCCGCGACAACGATACGAAGTATATGGCAGGATTATGCATGTGTAACTCCTGCCGACTCGCGTCAGGGTTTGAGATCCAGACGTGGGCTTTTGTGCCGAAATGCAATATCTTCCAAGAGGATGGCAGGGAAATGCATTACAATATGGGGACAATCAAAACCTATCTAAGCTCAGATGGCATCTGGAGGGAATTCTGCGGCGTCTGCGGTGCAACAGTCTTTTGGCACTGTGACGAGAGACCGGATCTGGTTGATGTAAGCGTTGGATTATTTGATCCTGAGGAGGGAGCTAGAGCGGAAGGCTGGCTAGATTGGTGGACAGAAAGGGTGAGTTTTGAAGAGATGGCTGTGAGCAAAGGTCTGGCTAGGGATCTGGCCGATGGGCTAAGGATATGGGGGCGGGAAAGGAAAGCTTAATACTACGATCTGCATTGCTTGTCTGGGTATGTTCCGGCTGGTAGGTTTCGGGTTGGCTCCGAAGATAGGTACCTTGCCCAGGAATTGCTTCAAGGGTAAGGGATATGGTAAAGCAGAAGTATTAACTGATATGCCCCACACCACAGATTTATCGTTCCTTTTCTCATTTCCTCAATATCTTAGCCTTTTGCTACAACCATCCATCACAAAATGTCAAAGAGCAATAAATGCAACGACTTAGTCATTCATATGGCACCAACCTCACCTCCCCTCAGACAATCCCTCTAATTGGTGGATCTACATCGGCCTCACCGATTGCGCACAGCAGATGGCGACTCGATGCGCTGCAGTCCGCTTTGGCTTCCAGCCATTGATGTACGTTGCCAAGCTCGGCAGGTGAGACAAGCTTGGCGCGGGGTGGCTGGGGCTGGAGCCCATCGCTTATCCCCCACACAATACCTAACCTAACCTTGTTTTTACGGGGCCTGGGCATGTGGGGTTAGGACCACCCGATTGTCGGTACATATTATCCACCGAAACTCCCGACCGGCTGGCTTGGCTAGCGATACATCCGCGCCCGCCTACCTTACCTACCTTACCTAACTTTAGGTACCTTACCCTTTGAAGTTTTCTGCCACTGCCATCGACAACACTCGCGTCTTTCACGATCGATTTCTTTAGTTATATATGATATGATATGATTTGTATAGTATAGGTACCTAGGTAAATCAAAGACTTATAATATCATCCTACCTAAACAGAGTAAAGTAAGTAGCTTACTAAACAAGAACTACCTACCTACTTTTAAACTAAACTATACTTTCAAACAAGGTCTGAAATTAGATAACAGCCCAAACAAAAACAAAAACAGTTCGAGAAATCATCTATGATGTATTATCTACCCAGAATTCCTGTATTGAGAATGTATTTCTGTATAATAAGATGAGATGAGTAGGGCTGTGATGTCGGGTGAGCTGATGACAGTGATGAGTAAAAAGGATGAGTGAGGTGAGGCGAAAGGTGGGAAGGCGGGTGAGCTGTGGTGAGCTGTGGTGAGTGGTACTTTATGTGCTTTTCGCACCAATCGATCATCGGATGATGATTTTGAATTGAATTGAATTTGTGATCAAATGTGAAGTATTTTTAATGAACAGGATATCATATCATGTCTTTGATGACAAAATCAAGTCTCGATCTGATTCTCAAGGCATCCATCTGCCAGCTGTCATGAATGCTAACCATTCGACATCGATGTGCACCTTCTAGAAAGCTTTGCAGAAACAATTGAACACACACACAAATTGAACTTCTGCAGTAGTACAATTAATACTATTTAAACTAAAACCAGCTAGCTACCCCGATTTGTTTGCCTGAAAAGTAATTTTGGATTGACTTTTCAGTCTGCTAATTCTGTGATAATAATAGCATACCAGCAATGAATGGAATGAATGGGCCCCATAATAGCATAACAGCAATGGGCCCTGTCAGCCCTGACATGGGTTGATGATTGGTTGTTGTTCTCCTTGCAATTGATGCTTTATGCCCGACGACGGAGAAATGGGCGCCCTCTTTGTAAGCCCTCTGTTATTTATCAAAACATCGACCATCCTTTCTCAATCAAATGATCAAGAGCTGCCGCTGAGCAGAGTCCACCCGGCGCATACAGCTGGAAGAACCCCGCCACACCTCCACCGCTGACTCCTTGCTGTGAGCATGGAAGTTGCACTATCGGCGCGCCACGGATGCCATCAACCAATGTCTGACTACCAAGTGCTCCAAACACAGCCCATGTCGTTTTGTGCTTCAAATGGCTGTACTCAATCTTTCCTGCTCCAGCTGGTCGCATAGGGAAATCTGCTTGGACTCCTCGGCATTGGAGAGCCACCATCCCAGTAGACATTCCGTCTGCCTCAAACCAAGTTCCATCTGGAACTTCCGAGTTCTTTAGCAGTTTCTGTGGAGCTTCTGCACCAAAGTATGAGCTGTTAGAAAACGGCAGACCCTCGATTGGCTCAAATAAAGCAACATCTTCGGTTTCATACCTCTCCTTAAGAATGCCAATGAGTCTATCATTGCCATCAGGGTGCCGAACCTCGTCATCGTCTGTGGTAGGCGGCTCATTGTCAGCTTTGGGAAGAAAACCGTGGTTCGCGGTAGTGATTCTGATGTCTCCACTGGGATTTTTGAGGCGAATTCCACAGGTTGCTGACTTGTATCTTCCTTCCAAGCGTACTCCAGGGCTGAGGTATTTGTCTCCAGTGATGAGATAATTCGTAGTATCTTGAACTTCTGTATCAGGATTGGGTATCATTTCGCGGGCGCGGATGCTTTGCGCAAGCGATTCCTCATCCCAGAAGTTGCCTCCATGATGATATGTCGTAGACCATGGTCCAACCATCCCAGGCAATGATCGCTCCGAATAACTTCTGCCATCCTCCCATAATACAACCGTAAGGTATGGATATGAAAACTTCAAGCTTCGAACATTACAGATCTCAAGGAGCGCATTGACGATCTCTGTGATGTCTGCAGGTGAGGGGTTTGTCCATTTCTTGAGTGGTATCTTTGGGCATGGATTACTGACTCTGGGATTGGCGTAGTTTGCATTTCCATACGGCAGCAAGGGGCTCCATTCGGACTTGAAGGTCTCGGGAGAAACGAAGCATGCTGTCGCGCCGGCAATGGTGAGAGGCATGTCTTTCGGCGGGTTGAGGGTGGAAACAATGACGAAGGGCCACTGATATCTGATGGATTGGGCATTGTACTTCTGGAAAATCTCCTCTGACTCTGCATCTGATGGCATTCGATAGTCATGTGCGTTGACGTCCCACAAAGAGAATTCGAAGTCATCGTACGCGTGCCGGGAACCATGACCGTATTCCGAAATCCACTTCCAGGAAGTTCCCGAGCTTGAAGCGGGGATAGAGTCAAAGTGCGCATATGCGGTCAGGGACTTTTTAACAACCACTTCTAGGCTGCCTCGGAGCTTTCGATGAGGGCGTGTTGGTGTCGCCATGTTGTATGTCGAAGAAAGGAGTCGTTGTCGAAGAAAGGAGTTGTTGTCGAAGAAAGGAGTCGTTGTCGAAGAAAGGAGTCGTTGTCGAAGAAGGGAGTCGTTGTCGAAGAAAGGAGTCGTTGTCGAAGAAAGGAGTCGTTGTCGAAGAAAGGAGTCGTTGTCGAAGAAAGGAGATGTTTGGAGGTGAGAGATGTCGAAGAAAAGAGATATTTGGAGGTTGAGAATCGTCGCTACCATCGAGAAACAAAGCTTGGGTCGAGGTACAGTCACAGGACAATCAGTAGAGTAGTATATAGCATGTTACTATTAACACATCCACAGTAAGCCATTGAAATTTACATAGTCACTCACATAGATATAATACTCAACTCCAGAGTCGATAGTAACACTATTTTGGTAACTATTCTAATATTTTGTTAACCGTTAGATTAAGGTAAGGTGTGTAGGCGACAATGAGTTGTGCGGCAGTAGACACAGACTCACCGCCTACAGATATAGCTAGCGACATACCACAAGGTTGCCGGGGGGTGAAAGTGGCTTTTTCTTTCCTGGTCGAGAATAGACGGTTGTTCAAGGTAAGGGATGGGCGCCGGTGTCAGATGGGGAAGGGGCCGATGTCTCGCTAGCCGAACCGCCCCGGCAGACAGGCTTCCCCGCCTCCGCCCCCCGCCCCCCCCAGAGTAGCTTCGCTCCCCTTTACACCGAACAGCTGGCTTGGCCTGCAGGAGCACGCAGCTTGATTGATATACAAAGGCTTTCCCTTGTTGTCCAAACGCCAAAGTCGTCGATCTCTCATCACTACCGCGTTTTGTTTCAAGAGAGGGAAGATCACTCGACGCAAAGGACATCGCTGTTGATAATTCAAGACACCATTGCGCGAAAGGAGAAAGGAGTCGTTAAGATGAGGATAGGGTACAGGCGCAAGATCACCGTCTCTGACGATACCGTCACTTCTGCTGTCCATTTGACGCTGAAGCAGTCGCTGGTGCCATGTTTTCTGGGTGAATCACGATCTACCATCTGGTCTGGTCTCTGTGGCTAACATCATATTGTAGTGACGATCCTGTTCTTCCTCTGGTAAGTTGTTTTTGTCCCAGAACAATTATCCTGGTATTGATGTCTTTCCAAGGGGATTCGCGTACGGGCTTCTCGATGTCCTCAACCCCCACTTCCAGGCGGCACTTAATGTTACACCATCCAGATCATCCGGTCTTTCGGCTGCATACTTCGGTGCATATTTCATCTGTCCTCCAACCATAAGCGGCTGGATCCTTCGCAGATGGGGTTTCCGTGTGACGTTTATGTCGGGGCTCGCCATCCTCGCCGTAGGATGCCTTCTCATGTGGCCCAGTGGAGTGAAGCATTCCTTCGGCGGATATTGCGGTAGCATGTTCGTTGTGGGTGCTGGACTCTCGACCCTCGAGACTGCTGCCGACCCCTTTCTTTCTATCTGCGGTCCTCCTAGGTATTCTGAAATCCGCCTCAATCTCGCACAGGCTGTGCAGGCCATCGGATCGTTTGTCGCTCCTCTTCTCGCGTCCCGCGTCTTCTTTGCAAACACTGTGGACACTGACCAGGGGCTCAAGAATGTGCAATGGACTTACCTTGGTGTAGCGGGTTTTGTTGGTCTGTTGATCATCCTCTTCTTCCTGGCTCCCATGCCGGAGATCACAGATGCAGATATGGGAACCCAAGAGATGGAAATCGCAGAATATGATCCTGGGCCATTGAGAAAGCAAACCAACCTCTTCCTGGCAGTATGGAGCCAGTTCTGTTATATTGGAGCACAGGTATCCGTCGCCAATTACTTTGTCAACTTTTGTGAGGAGGCTGGAAAGAGTCCTTCCACGAGCTGTAGGTTACTCCTGAACCCCTTTGTCCCGGGAATTGGATACTGAATTTCAGTGAAGCCGATATCTTCGCCTCTGCCCAAGGTCTCTACGCCTTCAACCGTTTTGTGGCAGGCGGCCTCATGACCTTCAAATCGATCAAACCGCGTTTCATCCTCGCCCTCTACCTTTTCATGTCGTTCGTCTTCGTTCTCGCGGCTTCCCAATCTCATGGCAATGCATCTATCGCGATGCTGTGCCTCGTCTTGTGCTGGGAATCGGCATGCTTCGCGACGATCTTCACCCTCGGGCTCCGTGGCCTGGGACGACATACCAAAGTCGGCGGGTCGTTGATCGTAGCCGCGATCTCGGGTGGCGCGGCGTTCCCGCCAATGACCGGGGCCGTGGCGACGCATCTGCAGAAGAGGGGGAGCAAAAAGCCTTTCCACATAGCGATGCTCATCCCGATGATGGCATTTGTGTGCGCGTGGGTCTACCCGGTCTATGTCAACCTCTTCAACAGGGAGACGGTGGATGCGCGCCGGGAAACGGACTTGGGCATTGTGCCGGCCCCAACGGAAAAGGAGCTCGCACTGCAGGACTCACACGTTGGAGAGAAAGAGGAGGTGTCTACCGGCGAGCAGAAAGAGGTGGTGTAGAGGGGGCAGATGTGGGGGTTGGAGAATGCTGCGGCCAATGCTATGTAATCCGGATCTTCTGGTCTGCAACCAATGCTATATGGTTTGAGTTTTCTAGACCGTCCAGACTGTGAATCATGAGATTCTACCTCCGTAGATTGGGGGGTATCTGTCTCATGACTCCACTTCCGTCCAATCCGCCTTGCAGAATACGAGTAATACTGGGACGTCCAGTGAAGACGGCTTTGTCCAAGACTCAAGTCCACGGAAGACTCCTTCCGGCGCTTGAGATTCGAAGACGGAAGATGGCATCTGTCTCTACTGTACCTGATCTTATGTAAGGGGCATCGTAACCGTACTGTACCTAGCATATGAGAAGCCACGCCAGCTCTCGCCCACAGTCTCGCCCACAGTGCTCTGGTCGAAAGAAGAGAGCCTTCGCACTTGCGTCCTCACCTTCCTCTGCAGTTGTATCTGCCCGCCGTCGCCATGCCTTACCAAGCAATGCATGGTCGTCGTCGCGGTCGTCGTCATCGTGGTGGTGGTTGTGGCCGTCGCTAACCCAGGGCCTAGGACGCTTGGATTGCTTTGAGCGTTGAAGATGGGACGCCCGGGGGCAACTGGCCAATCCGCAGCGCGCGATGCTCGAGCCGAAACGAGACGCCTCGTAAATGAGGCCCACTCCGGGAACCGCGCATGCCAAGACAGGCAAGGCGCCGTAGCTGCCGCGTAAGGCTCCTGAGGCTCCGGACTGGCTGGCCTCAGGCTCGTTCCGCCACAACAAGCTTTCTAGCCACACCAAGCTTTCCCGCCCCGCCCGCTGATTGGCCCCGCGCTGCCCCCAAAACCCCCAAAACGGTGCTCGGGGTCCCAAGGGTTCTTAACTCCCCCCCTCCCCCCCCGTGGCGGCCTCACCCCTCAGGCATCTCCGCTCAGGAACCCGCCCTCAGGAGTCCCCCTGTGTCGGCCTCCGCCACCGACGGCGAATTGTGGAGCCGCGAACGCTCATTTCATTGCCAGGCCGTCCTAATCTATACAGTGCTTAGCTCTTTCGTGTTTTCCCCTGTTGGGATCTCTTGGAAAGCTTCTCTTTCCCCTAACTCCAGTCGCTCTCTTGGCTTTCCTTCTAGCTGCTGCTTGTTTTGCTTGCCGTCGATGTCGCCAAGGAGCAGGTAGGACCCTGATATCTCTCGTCTTCTACGCGTTGCATATCGCTCGTTTTGACAGTCGTTCGTTATTATCTTTCTCCCTGCGCGCGGATTCGAAGATGAGGTTGCAGAAGTTCTTGGGCTATGGAGCCGCCATTTGTGCCTCGTGGAGCCAGATGGCGAGTGCCATCACTCTCGATGTCCAGTCAAGCGGTAAGCAGCTCTCGCGCTGTTGTCCGCTGCGCAGCTTCACTAACCCCTTACCACGCAGAGTCGGTCAAGAGCGCGGCAAGCACTGTGGCATGGGGCATGATGAAGTACTACACCGGCAACAATACAGGCGATGTGCCAGGAAACCTGCCAGATCCATACTACTGGTGGGAGGCGGGCGCAATGTTTATGACACTGATAGATTACTGGTACTTCACAGGCGACACAACCTACAACGCCGAGACCGTCCAAGCGATGTTGTGGCAGGCCGGAACCACCTACAATTTCATGCCCGTAAACCAGACCAAGACCGAAGGAAACGATGATCAGGGCTTTTGGGGCATGGCGGCAATGACTGCCGCAGAGTCGGGCTTCGATAACCCGCCTGACGGGACCCCAGGATGGATAGCCATGGCACAAGCAGTGTTCAACATGATGGTTGCGAGATGGGATAACACGACTTGCGGCGGAGGGCTGAGGTGGCAGATCTTCACGTGGAACACCGGTTACACATACAAGAACTCCATCGCCAATGGATGTTTTTTCAACATCGCCTCAAGATTGGCTCGGTATACAGGGAATCAGACGTATGCGGATTGGGCCACCAAGATCTATGAGTGGGAGACATCCGTTGGTTTGATCGCACCTAACTACGCGGTTTACGACGGGACGAGCGACTTGCAGAATTGTACCAGTGTCGACCATCTCCAATTTACATATAATCAAGGCATCTACCTCTTCGGAGCAGCCATGATGTATAATTTCGTAAGCTCCCCTCTCACCACCCCACGGCAGGCTCCCTAACAAACCCCAGACAAACGGCTCCGCTGAGTGGCAGACTCGTGTGTCTGGCTTGCTGAACGCCACTGCAGTCTTCTTCAAAGATAACATAATGTATGAACCAGCATGTGAGGACGTCAACGGCTCCGGCACATGTGATGTCGACCAGCAGAGTTTCAAAGGCTACCTTGCCCGCTGGCTAGCTGGCACCGCCCAACTCTGCCCCTGGACCCATAGCACCATCATGACCTACCTAACCACCAGCGCCGTCGCCGCCGCCGCACAATGCGAGTACGTCCACCCTCCCCCCTTTCCCTCCCCCCCTTTTCCCTTCCCAATCAACTAACCACCCACCCCCTCACAGCGGCGGCTCCAACGGCATCACCTGCGGCGAGCACTGGACCGCCAAAGCGACCTGGGACGGCTCCTCAGGCGTCGGTCAACAAATGTCCGCGCTCTCCGTCATCCAAGCCACGCTGATCGACAGCGCCCGCGGCCTCGTCACCAACGACACCGGCGGCACGAGCAAAGGCAACCCAGCAGCCGGCACAGGCTCCGGTCCAGGCTCCCCCGGCTCCGACCCTGCCGTCATCACGCCCCCGACCGGCGGCGACCGCGCTGGTGCCGGTATCCTGACCGCGGTCGTCTTGTTCGGGCTTCTTGGCGGCGTGGGCTTTTTGGTTACGGGTGAGTAGGATGGGGTAAGGTAGATAGATGATTGGATGCGTTGCGTTGCGTTGCGTGTGAATTTCTTTTTTTTTGGTAAGGAAGGCAGGGAGGGGGGTTCTGGGATGTATGTGCTCTTTTTTGGCCTTTTGGTGGGATCTTTTTTTATCTTAGCCCTGTAATGAATTTCCCCCCCTTTTTACACACCCCACCCCCGATTTTATTAGAGGCATAAATGGAACCACCTAAAGATTGGATTTATGTATCACGTGCACTTCTTCTTCTCTAAATAAGTTCCCAACAAACTTGAGTAGGTAGGTAGGTAAATGATATCATATCATATCGTTGACCATGAAACATTACTTTACTTTACTTTACCTTATATACACATATACCAGATACTCATATTCATCAGAAAGAAAGGAACAAATCTCGACTACCTAGGTAGACTCCAATTATACATACATACATGCATATTTCCCTATCTACCTACCTACCTACCTACCTACCTAAGCTAGCTAGAGTAAATATGGTCAGGTAAGGTAGGTATAGCTCACCCATAATGAAAAAAAAGTAGCCTCTCCCTGATTTGCCATTCCTCTCATCTGATCCTATGATTGAGTTGCTACCACATTTTGCAGAATGTTTTCTCGTATTTTGTTGTCTTGAGTCTGGGTTTGAAGGGATCCGTACATACGGTATGATCGAGCCAGAGGCGGAGGGATATCGCATTTGCTTGCTTGCTTGCTATTTGCTAGTCCGGAACGCCTCGTGTTGTTTGCGAGATGGGAGATTATGGAAGAGGAGTGCGCGTCAGTGATATAATGGGCGCGACTGGGGAAAGGAACAATAGCCCCCTATGGACGAACTTCAGCGGCGGAGATCCAAGCTAGAGGCACGGGCGGAGTCAAAGCTGGGGCGCATGGAGCTGCTGGAGCTGCGGCGGCGGCGGTCGCGCTGGTCGGTGGGACTCAGGGGGTTGAGGCCGGATTGGCGCGCGAAGAGGTTCAGGATGTCGGTGAGGGAGATGACGCCGATGAGGCGCCCGGAGATGCGCGCCCCTGGAAGGGCGGCCGTGGAGATGGAGGGGGCGGGGAAGCTGCTCATGCTGGGGGATGGGGGTGGTTGGGGTGAGGTAACAGCGTCCCTGACCGAGGGTGCTGCGAGGGGGGTTGCGGGAGTCGACGGGGAGGGGGAGGCGGATTCTACGACCCACATCCGGTGAGATCTGGTTGCAACGAGCCGGGCAACGGTGTGCGCCAGTGTAGAGTACGGGTTGACGTAGAATACTGTTGGCAGGATATCAGACTAACTGATCGAAGATTATGTTGAGACTATGACGGGTAAAAAGGGACTGGCTTGCGGCCACTTACCGGGGAACGAGTCCTTACCAGCACCAATCCCGCGTTCGCTGAGAATGACGGAAATGAAGTGGATGCAGGAGGAGTGGAATAGAGGTAAGGCTTTTGAGGTAGTAAGGAACCTTACATCTGCTGTGGAAATGTTGCCAATAACATTCCAAGCATTATCCACGACAGCAACGCTGGTCAGCCCTTCGTTGTTCATCAGCTGCAATGCCTCTGCCAGATTTCTGTCGCCACTACAACGAGGTTAGTTCACTGCTTGTATCTAGGGATTCGTGACTTACTTGATCGATATGGCCTGAACCGTACCGACGCCTAGATCGCGTAGAACCATAGGATACAACCGGTCAAGAGTAGGAAAGCTGTTCGCATTTTGCCATAGGAAATTGACCAGCTTCAGTTGACTTAGGATGCCAACAACCTCCTCTGTACCTTCCTTGCAGATGATGATTCGATGTATACCACTTCCAAATATTTCTATAGCTTTTGACAAGTCTTCTGATTCCGAAAGAGTCACCAGTGGTGATTTCTTGGCAATTGTTACCGCTTCTCGGAGTGGGATAGGTTCTTGTGCGGTGGCTCTTTTCGCAAGATCCGTCCATTTCTCCCTTTGGTCCTCTTCTGGATTAGCCAAGCCTAGGACGACCAGAAGGTAGGCATTGAGGTCATTGTAATCGAAGCTATCGCGCGCAGTCTTATCTGTCGGGCTCTCCCGCAGTAGGATGACGTTTGGCGGACCATGGTCTATGAGTGCCTATGCCACGGGTTAGACATGGCAGTAATCCGCCCAAGAGATGACAGCAAACCTTGGTAGCGTCTTGAACATTGGTGTCCAGCTCAGCCCATCTAACATCACTCTTCTGTACGAGTTCGCCCACATGTATGCTCCTCCAATCTCGACCGGCGAATCTCGGATCACTGGTCTTGGAATTCGGGGGATGGTTGAGCAGCTCTTGAACTGCAGCTTGTGTAAGGGAGGGATGGCGTTGGGAGCGGGGGGAGTGTCTCAAATTTTCTGCGAAGCTGGACCGGTGGCTGATTGGGCCATTATTGCTGCTGGGACTGGATGTGCTGTTTCTCGAAGGAGGATCCGAGGATATGGCGTGGTCAGTCATCTCAGGATAGAGTTTGGGGGATTGGTGGTTCCAGCAAAGGGCGACGATTGAGAAGGGTCTGGGATGGTATGCAGCTTAGATGCGACCGTCCTATGTAAGAGTTGGGCTTGGAAGGGTCAAGATGCGATGGATGTACATGCTGCTCCATGGTTCGTCAACCCCATGACGACAGACGGCCGGGGGTTAGCACGTGATTTAGGGGTCCTGCCCCTCAGGGACCAGGCGAACGGCGATTGATTCAAGATGGACTCAGAGAGGAGTCGGGATATGAGGGTAGAAGATGAGGAAATGTATATCTTTGTATATGCGCCTGTATACACATGTGATATATGTACGTATATATATTTATATATATTTATATGTGTATATATATAGAAAACCACGTCAATCAGAGCCTCAAGAGCACTTATTATCGAGCGCACCGTGGAACGGATGGTACTGTACGGTGGACCGTACGGACACTCGTCATCTACGGCGACCGGCACAGCGCACATTCTCCCTCCGCCCTTTTGTGGTCGCTTGCTCTGAAAAAAAGTCATCTGCTGCGAAACCCCACTACGCGGGCAAGAAAGGTGGTGATCCCCAGTCAAAACACTACGATCTCCTGCTCTGGACCCAACCAATACGCCCATTCGTCTCATATTTGCTCCCCAGTGCTCGAGCGGCAATCGTCCACCCTCCTGCGCAGCTTTCCCTCGAGGTGCCTACGAGAGATCTGCAGCTCCAGTGTGCGCTTTGGGCTTCGGCGACCTCCCCACCGGAATCCCCTCTCGAAGGACACGATTTCTGATCCCGAATTTTCTGCTCAATCACCAACATGTCGGTCCTTCCGCCTGATGTCCATTCAGAGCTTACGCAGCTGCTGGATGCGCTGCAGTCATCCGACAACAATGTTCGATCCCAGGCAGAAGAGCATCTCTCCAACAACTGGCAGGCCACGAAACCCGAGATGCTCTTAATGGGCCTTGTTGAGCAGCTCCAAGGTGCTAGCGAAGCAACGGTAAGATGTCTCTGTCTGGAAGGAAGTGCGGGCAGAAGTGATTCTCGATGCTGACTACTGGCTATCCGCAGACACGTTCCTTCGCTGCTGTCCTCTTCCGCCGAATAGCATCCAAGTCGCGCAAGCTGCCTAACGGTGACAATGTAGAGCTTTTCCTATCTTTGCCTCGGGAGCAGGCCTACGCCATCAGACAGAAGCTTCTTGAGGCCTTGGGCTCTGAATCGGTCAACAGTGTCAGGAATAAGATTGGCGATGCCGTCGCTGAAATCGCGAGGGAATATTCTGATAACAGTGCGTTTTCCGAAGTCGATTCACATTCGACGGAGCTCTTGATTATCATTTATCAGACTGACCATGCCCAGAGGAACAATGGCCGGAGATTTTGGGTGTCCTTTTCACTCTCAGCATATCAGAGCAGGTTGGACAGCGTGAGAACGCATACCGGATATTTTCTACAACTCCCGGCATCATCGAGAAGCAGCATGAGGATACTGTGCTTTCTGCTTTTACAAAAGGCTTCAAGGATACTGACGTTTCGGTAAGCATCTTCAGCCTCCCGACTATGGGCCCCTATTGACAAGCGCAAGGTCCGCCTTGCCGCTATGGAAGCATTTGCTTCGTTCTTCCGCAGCCTTTCCAAGAAGTCTCAGACGAAATATTACCCTCTCATTCCCGAAGTCTTGAACATCCTACCACCAATCAAGGAATCTCAAGAATCAGAGGAGCTTACGAAAGCGCTTATTGCCTTAATAGATCTAGCGGAGGTTGCTCCGAAGATGTTCAAGCCTTTGTTCCACAACTTGGTAACGTTTAGCATATCTGTGATCCAAGATAAGGAGCTCAGTGACCAAGCTCGACAAAACGCTCTCGAGCTCATGGCAACCTTCGCAGACTATGCACCATCATTGTGCCGGAAGGATCCTACTTACACTAACGATATGATCACGCAATGCCTGAGCCTTATGACTGACATTGGTGTCGATGATGACGACGCTGCTGAGTGGAATGCTTCTGAGGACGTATGTATTCCACTGTAACTCACGGCAATATCTAATTTTCTATAGATGGACCCAGAGGAAAGTGATCTCAACCACGTTGCGGGCGAGCAATGTATGGATCGGTTGGCCAACAAACTTGGCGGTCAGACAATTCTTGCTCCAACCTTCAGCTGGTTACCACGCATGATGCTTTCCGATGCTTGGCGGGATAGACATGCTGCTCTGATGGCTATTTCGGCGATTTCTGAGGGTTGCAGAGACCTGATGGTTGGCGAACTGAACAAGGTTCTAGAACTCGTGGTCCCTGCTCTCAGAGACCCACATCCCCGGGTTCGATGGGCTGGCTGCAATGCCCTTGGCCAGATGAGTACAGATTTTGCGGGCACAATGCAGGAGAAGTATCATCAAATCGTCGTCCCGGCAATCATCCCGGTTCTCGACTCTCCCGAACCTCGTGTTCAAGCTCATGCGGCTGCCGCACTTGTTAACTTCTGTGAAGAGGCGGAAAAGGAAGTCCTGGAACCTTACCTCGACGGTCTCCTAACCCATCTGTTCCAACTCCTTCAAAGTCCAAAGCGCTATGTCCAAGAACAGGCGCTTTCCACCATTGCCACGATTGCAGACTCTGCTGAAGCTGCTTTCTCAAAATACTACGACACCCTCATGCCTTTGTTATTCTCTGTCCTACAGCAGGAAAGCACCAAGGAGCTTCGACTCTTAAGAGCAAAGGCGATGGAGTGTGCGACACTTATTGCTCTAGCAGTAGGCAAGGAGAGACTTGGCAATGATGCGATGACTCTAGTTCAACTGTTGGCTACTATCCAACAGGGTATCACGGACGCCGATGATCCCCAAGCACAATATCTCATGCACTGCTGGGGGCGAATGTGCCGAGTCATGGGACAAGATTTCCTCCCATTCCTACCGAGCGTGATGCCTCCGCTGATGGAATTGGCTAGTGCCAAGGCTGATATCCAGCTTTTGGACGATGAAGAACAAGTCGAGCAGGTCCAGCAAGAAGAAGGGTGGGAACTTGTTCCTCTGAAGGGCAAGGTCATTGGAATCAAGACAAGTACTCTGGACGATAAGCATATGGCTATCGAACTCCTGGTTGTCTATGCGCAAGTCCTTGAGGGGTCATTTGCTCCCTATGTTGCAGAGGTTATGGAGAAGATTACGCTACCTGGCCTAGCATTCTTCTTCCACGATCCTGTTCGTGTGGTTTCCGCAAAGTGTGTGCCTCAACTCCTGAACTCATACAAGAAGGCTTTTGGAAATCCGTCAAACGAATTACAAGCCCTCTGGAATGGAACGATTGTCAAATTGCTGGAGGTTCTTAGCGCCGAGCCCGCTGTTGATACTCTCGCAGAAATGTACCAATGCTTCTACGAATCAGTCGAAGTCATGGGAAAGAACTGCCTTACCCAAGAACACATGTCGGCATTCATTGATGGCGCAACTTCAGCTCTGGAAGATTACAAGGACCGTGTGGCCACTCGAGCAGAGGAGAAAGCTGAAGCAAACCCAGAGGATGGTGAGGAGGATGATGAGGATACGTTATTTGCTATTGAGGATGATCAGACTCTACTCTCGGATATGAACAAGGCATTCCACGTCATCTTCAAGAACCATGGCGTCGCCTTCCTCCCGACTTGGGAACGACTGCATGCAACTTACACCGACTTCCTCAAAAGCCAAGACCCAACACAGAGGCAATGGGGGCTTTGTATCATGGATGATGTCCTTGAATTTTGTGGCGAGCAGAGCTGGAATTACAGTTCCCATATTATCGAACCCCTTATTGCCGGTTGCAGAGACCCAGCACCTGCGAATCGCCAAGCAGCTGCGTATGGCATTGGTGTAGCGGCACACAAGGGCGGCCCACAATGGTCTCAATTCTTGGGGGCTGCCATTGAGCTTCTGTTCCAGGTAACGCAGTTCCCAAATGCGCGGGGCGATGACGATGTGTACGCGACAGAAAATGCCTGTGCAGCGATCGCCAAAGTCTTGCATTACAATGCTGCAAGCGTACCAAATCAGCAACAGGTCATAACCCAATGGATCGATACCTTGCCGATCGTAAACGACGAAGAAGCTGCTCCGTATGCTTATGCCTACCTTGCTCAGCTAATTGATCAGTAAGTTCTACTTCTATTGTTTAGTATCGATTCTAAACTAACATTGGCATAGACAAAACCCCGTTGTTGTTTCGAACGCATCAAAGATATTTGTCTTCATCGCTCAAGCTTTGGAAGCAGAGACCTTGCAAGGACAGACCGCTAATCGGATCGTCCAGTCAGCGAAATTACTACTTGGAATTGCAGGATTGGATCCGTCACAACTGTTACAACAACTTCCCCCTGAGACCCAGCAGACGGTTCGGGCGTATTTTGGTTGAAAATGTGACGGAACAATCTCTCAGTTGGAGGAAATTTGCTGCAAACTTCGAAGGAGATTGTACTGGGTGATGATTAGAATGATACCACATGAGCACAACATCTTTTTACTTTGTCTCGGGATGCCTGGGCTGGGATTGAGGCCCATGATTTAGCATAGCGAGAAACCTTCGGTGGAGGGCCTTGGTGGAGGGATAGCATTCTACGGGTTGCGTTATGGTTGTATGGAGGCTATTTTGAAGGCCACGACTTCCCCATCGAATCAAGATTTCGATTCGTAGATATCAATAGATATCAGAAATCTCTTTTTTTTTATCTGTGTGACGAAAGAGCATGATGGTGATGGGCGATGCAGAAGTTCCATGCTGAGTAATGATGTATCGTAGCAAGCGCAGATCGTCCCTGTTTTGACGATTACAACAAATGTTGGCGGTCACATCGGGGCGCTCTTCTACCAGTACAAACCCCCCCGATATACCCAAACTTGCTCTTTGACGCTTTGTATCCTGCAGCACCAATTGCCCCCTCACAAGCTCCCGCCAATGTAGCCGCCTTCCCATGTCGCACTGACCAAAGAGCGCAAGCCGAGCTGTCTCTCTCGTCGGACACCACATTATCACAGCGTCTGCTGAGCTCCAAATCCGGCATACGACACGATAATCTGGCCTGGTGCATGCCCTTCTCTGCAGAGCCAACGTACCTCTGTGCATGGTCTTTGCATACCACGAGATTCGTCACGGCGTGATAGTGGCAAACAGTCTCTATGTTCGCTCGACATTTCCCCTCGGACTCCACCAGCACCTACGAACGTTAAGGTACTCGAGCGTACCTTGAAGACGAGCTCTGACGGATGCTTGCATAAAGCAGAGGTTAACGATATCAAGCTCGGGCAGCTTACGACTTGACGATTTCACGACAGATTTTTGCCAGAAATACGCCCATGAATATCCACTACGATTTGTTCATACCGACGACAGAGGAAGTGAGACCGGGCAAATGTTGGGATCATGAATCAGTTCTTTGGGACGCAGTACTCCCAGGAGGATTTACAGCGGCAGGTGGCACAAAGAAGGAATCGGAATGGCACTCGGGGCGTGGGCGTGTCGATGCCGCAGCCAGGCGATGACGGCGCGATGGATACGACTGGCATGATGGGCGGCGATACGTTGGATGATATAATCATGCAGAACAACGAGGAGATTCAACGGCGACGAAAACTACAAGGGGATCGCAGGTCGTCGATGATGGAGTTTGGCTCGACTGATAACAACCTCCACGGCTTTCAATTCGCGCCAACGTCAGGCGCCGGTAATCCTAATCTACGACGGCAATCTACAGGTGAATTGGATACGGCTGGTTACGTGGATATGAATCCTGGAATGGATATGCCAGACCCTCAAATGGGTTACGTTTCATCCATGCAAACCGAACCTTTAACGATCGATGGGAACGTGTTCCCCGGTATGTCTCCAGGGTTGGTTCAAGGAATGATGGGATATGGTTCTATGGGTATGGAAGGTATAGTAGAAGATCCTTCGGCGATGGACATGTTTCCACGCACCGACTTCTCGCAGCCTTTCGATTCCAGTATGGCGCCCATGCCCAATGATTTCATGGTCACAGGGTCCATGCAAGAAGGTCCATCTTCTCATGGGGAAGATATGCGTGGCAATGATGAGATTGATATGACATCTGGTATGCCAGCTCCTCCTGTCTCCGATAATAGTCTGGTTAGCTCGCCCACGACTATGGACATGGGTCAGAATATGGTGGATTACAACTCTCCCGTTGCTCCAGTGAACACAGGTATATCGAACGTTGCAACTCAGGAGTCTGCATACAGCATGCCAGCAGAGACGGCTTCAACCATGCCTCGAGAAGTGGGGACTGTGACAAAACGAGAACCGGAGCCATCTCGGTACGAAAATGTCTACTCTGATAGCGGCTTTGACATGCTGAGCGCCTTGGTTAAAGTTGCAACAAGGAAGAATCCAGAAATCAATATCGGAAAGGTTGACATGTCATGTGCCTTCGTTGTCTGCGATGTTACACAAGACGATTGTCCTATAATTTATGTTTCACATATCTTTGAACGCTTGACCGGGTATACCAAGTTCGAAATCTTGGGACAGAATTGTCGATTTCTTCAATCACCAGATGGAAAAGTGCAGGCTGGCGCCCGAAGAGAATTTGTGGACAATAAATCAGTCCACTATCTCAGCATCAGCATAGCGGAGAGAAGAGAAGCTCAGCGTAGTTTGATCAATTATCGCAAGGGGGGGCAGCCCTTCATGAATCTTTTGACGATGATACCCATCACTGGAGAGGATGATAAAGAAATCAAATATTATGTTGGATTTCAGGTCGATTTGGTGGAAAAGCCCACTTCCGTGGAAGGTAAAAACATCAATGGGATGTATACTGTCGACTATACACAGTCCGAATTACCACAGTACAACTGGCATCCACCAGACAATATGCGCTCCCATGGGGATGGTAGCCAGACGATCAGCCGTGATGATGTTTCTACCGTCTTGAGTTCCATCAACAATAAGACCGAATCGGAATTGACAAGGAAATTGCGGGATAAGATGCTTCTGGAAAATACAGACGATGTAGTCCATGTTCTTTCCCTCAAAGGCCTCTTCCTCTACTTGTCACCTTCATGCCACCAGGTCCTGGAATATGATCCTTCGGAGCTTGTTGGGACAGCATTGTCATCGATCTGTCATCCAAGTGACATTGTGCCAGTTACCCGAGAGTTGAAGGATACAAGCGCTGGGGAGCCGGTAAGCGTTGTGTTCCGAATACGACGGAAGAAGAGCGGCTACACTTGGTTTGAAAGCCATGGTACACTCTGCGTCGAGCAGGGCAAGGGGCGAAAATGCATCATCCTGGTCGGAAGAGAACGGCGCGTTTATACACTCGCTCGTCATGATATCGAGTCAGCTGGGGGAATTGGCGATAACGAGATGTGGTCGAAGCTGTCAACTTCTGGCATGTTCTTATTCGTGTCCTCACACGTGCGGACGCTTCTTGATCGATCACTTGATGACTTAATTGGAACCAGCTTTCAAGCCTTGATGCGGTCTGAATCAAGAGTTCAATTCGGCCGTGCTCTCGAGAAAGCAAGAACCGGGAAGCGGGTGACATACAAACACGAGATCCTCAATAAGAGAGGTTTGGTCATGCAAGCCCAAACAACCTTATACCCCGGTGATGCTGTTGAAGGCCAGAAACCGACCTTCCTCGTAGCCCAAACGCGACTACTGAAAGCTTCATCTCGAGCTGTTGCACCAGCCCTCGGCCCTCCAGGTAACTCAAAGCCGATGAGCTCAGTAGGAAATCAATCATCCGCAGAAGGAACATCATTCAGCCATTCATCCTCAATGGTGAGTCATGGAGGGTTTACTCCCGCATCCAGTGAGTATATCCCAGGTCCAATAACTCATGCTGGCGGGCTAGGACTTCCAATTGGAAGTCAAGGTTTGGCTCTCGCCTCCGAGGACAATATTTTTGATGAGCTGAAAACAACACGCTGTACAAGCTGGCAATTTGAGCTGCGACAAATGGAAAAGAGTAACAGGTTACTCGGAGAAGAATTGGTTGCTCTCTTGTCCAACAGGAAGAAACGGAAGCGTCGGAAAGGAGCAGGAAATCTTCAGCGCGATTGCGCGAATTGCCATACCCGCGTGACACCAGAATGGAGACGAGGACCGAGTGGGCAGAGAGATCTGTGTAATAGCTGTGGACTACGATGGGCAAAACAGGTAAGTCGGAATGCTTCTGATCAAAGTGACACCAACCAACTCGCGGCGAAGGGCCGGACCCAGTCCGATTCCTCCACATCTCGGAGTTGATAATCGACGATTGAATCTTTCAACCATCGTCCTCGTGGTTGCTTTGCATTCCGTCTATTTGAAAATGCCCGAGTCAGCGTTCACAATGCGATTTGATACGAGACAAGATGCCGTATTCTCGCCGTGTTGCACCATAACGTTGCTGCTTCACCACCAATTCATTAACTATATCGTATATACCTACGATATTCTTTAATTGCATCTGCCCATGCCATATGTATAGCACACTTATTCACCAGTACCTTCGTCACCTTCTGTTCTGCTACTGTCTCCAAAATGCCAACACCGAAGCCCGCAGCCTGCTTCATAACTCCACCATGTTCACCGACTACAGCCAAGGCTTTCCATAACCCGCGAACTAACACCGCCGCAGACGGGTCGCATCTCTCCTCGCACTTCTAATCGCGGCGGTGATGTCGGTTCCAGATCGCCCCTCCAATCGCCTCTCTTACAGAGCGAAACCTCAAAATCCCAGTCGCAATTCCCGCCGAATCACGGTCATTCGACTATCGGAGCGGGTGATGCTAAGGGTGAGGATCTCGCAGGCCGAAATGCCGCAACTACAGCTGCAGCTGCCCCGGCAAGTTTTGGTGATAAGATGGCAATGCACAGTATGTCAACTTCGCAAACCGACTCAAGGTCCTAGGGAGCCTGGCAGATAGGGAGTTATGAACAAACAATGCGGGACAAAGGAGGTGAGATAGGTAGATATATAAAATCGCTGGGCGAGGTTTTAATATTCTGAATGGATGGAAATATAATGATCGTAAGGGGACGAAAGTACTCTGTATAATCACCAGGAGTAATATTTACCAACATCAGATCTTGACATTCTTACCCAGCAAGATCCCTATAAATAACAAAATGCATAATTCTAAACCAGCACAAAGTATTTCAAGAGCAGTGCATTTCTAAAACATATAACATTTTCAAGAATTCGGAACTTTAGCGAGCCTGCTTGGTCTTTTGTTGCACATCGCATCGGCGCCCTTGTCATGAGGGCTTTTGACGGCAGCGGGATTAGCATCACGTGATATCAAGACCGTGATACGGACGGGAAGGGGGAGGTTTTGTTGCACGTCGCATCGGCGAGCTTGTCATGAAAGCTCAGGTTTTGACGGCAGCCGGATTAGCATCACGTGATATCAGGGCCGTGATATGGGAGGGAGAGGGTTTGTTGCACATCGCATCGGCGAGCTTGTCACGAAGCCTTTTGACGGCAGCAGGATTAGCATCATGTGATGTTAATATTTCACTCGTGATGTGGGTAGGCAGGTAGGAAGACAGGGAGGAGGAGGTAGGCAGCTCATATCAAAACAGCGATGTGTAACAATCCAAGTGGTGGTGCTTGATACTATGTGATGCACTTTCAATCTAATAATCTAATTATGACCAGACAAACCCCGGTTCACTTGGGCTTCAATGCCTTGGGACTCTAAGAACACGATATCATCTTTGGCTCTTGGCACTCTTTCTCCCTTTACTATACATTTGCAAGATCTAAGCAGATACAGTATTACAGTAGTTCTAATGCAGCACATGGGACTATCTGCTCAGCTCGGCTTTCTAGCGCTAGTAACGGGGATATACGCTGTAGAACAGACTGAACAGTAAGGTACAGAGTTATATTTTACTACATAGATACTTTATTCTTTGTAACATGCGACCACCATCTTCCCGTTTTACATATTTTCCCCTTAGACCTCTACTTTCAGGTTTTCCACGACCTCGCCAGGTGTTTGCACTCCGATTACCTGTTGAATTTCCCTCTGCACCGCTTTCCAGCATGGTGACCTCCGGGTTGACTTGTCACGGGGAAGGCGGAAAGCGCTACCGGCTTGTTCATCCTCTCAGATCACGAATTCGCGACCAGGGTTCTAATGTATGGCTCGCGGTAGATGATTCCAACACTGACATCGAATATGTCGTCAAAGGACCTCCTGAAGACGACGCTCATGAAGAGTCAGCGTCTAGTGCACTATCTGCCTTCGAACACGAGTTGGAAATGCAAAGGCTTTTTGCAAAAGATCCAATGATTCGGACCCTCGTTGATTATATCCCCGATTCAGAGCCCGGTGGGCCGATGATGGTTCTTGAAGCGTTTACAGACTCACTCTGGGAAGCTCGAAATGCGAGGCGGTTCACAAAGGAGGAAGTCAAATGGATTATGAAGGGCATTCTTTTGGGCATCTTTACGGTGCATACGAAAGGCCTGGTTTATACTGGTAAGAGTGAAGCAATACAAGGGCTGGAAAGCAATAGGTATGGAAGCTAAGCATGGTACGTCTTTAGATTTAAAGATGGAGAATGTTGCACTGGGCGGGTTTGATCACTCTCAACCAAATGAGAATGTCCGTGATCTCATCGTCAGACTCGCAGATTGCGGAGCCAGTAAGTAAACCCTTTAGTCTTTCTTGTCAGCACTTCTGACGCATTCCACAGTCAGCAGACCATCTACCAGAGAAATTACCTCCGTCACATATCGAAGCCCTGAAGTTTACTTCGGAAAATCTTGGACCCAGAGCACAGACATTTGGTCGTGGGGAATAATTGTCAGTGGTTCACTTCCAAGTGGCAGATGCCTTGTATATGTTTTAACTACTGACTCTTGTGATCACAGTTGGCCCAATTGTTGCAGGCCCAAGTTGATTTCAAGTCGCCAGGAATATATGATTCAATCTCCACTGTAACCCTTGGAGAAAAGGAAAAGGTCATCCGTGATAAGCTAGCAATCGACTTTGACCTAGCCTCTGTACCATTTTATGCCGAGGATGAGCAATGCGCTCGATTTTTGCCTTCACCACGACCGGACGAAGCGTACATGTGGGCAAATGAAATGGTCGAGAAGGGCGTTTCGGGTGAAGATATCCAGTTTTTTGTCGAAGTTTTAAACCCGGATCCAAATGCTCGCCTCACGGCGCGCGAGATCCTCGAAAGTGGGTACTTGGAAGGTTAAGAGCCTCGGCCCGTTCTGTTCAGCAGCCGGTATCATTTGCATCGTACTCTCTATGAAACGAAGGTTACATTCCAGCCTGGACCAGGTGGACCGAGCCTAGGGTCTTCAAAATGTGTACATGTGTACTATAGCGAAGTAGATAGACACTCGCCTTAAAGGGCTCTGGTTATTGCGAAATTCTATGTAAGTCTGTTAGTTATCTCCTTTGATAAAAGCTTCGTACTCAACTTAAATAAAGTATCTTTACCTTTACTTAGGAAAATACAGAAAAACCGAGGACGAAAATTTGCAAAAGGAGTGCTTAAATCTATTGTCGGACTGTTAAAGGAAACCTACATGAAGTAGGAGGTGGTAATTGGCGTTGAGGAGCTTGAGGAGCTGATAGTAGAGCTTGAAGTAATTGAAGATGAAGAGCTTGAAGTTGGCGGTGGTGGGGTTGGGGTTGTTGTGCCACCAGTGGCGTTGAACGAGCCCACGTATGCGTTGTAATTATAGTAAACGCAAGTATCCGTGATTTGAAGACTACTGGTTCCACCCATAATAGTAGCACCATTCCTCGCAACCTCAAAGGTTTGAGAGCCAAGACCCATTGTAAAGTTCCAGGTCGAGATACCTGCAGGTACATCTATTGTTACCGGTGCGTTGCTGCCGCTCGTGACAGTCAGCTGTGCTGGGCTTGTCAGCAGAGTGGTAGCAAATACGACATCAGCGAGAAGTTCTCTTCCGTTTGGCGGCCCTAATGAATCTCCGGTGCATGTCACGTCCCAGGGCGTTGGCCGGTACCAATACACCAGTTGGTCTTCTGAAACACTTGGGGTACTGGCTCCGGCTTTGTAGGCGGCAATATATGGCTTCATTATTATCCTCCAGCCGTCATGAGGAAAACCTGCTGCCCATTCTGAAGACCCATCGTCCGTGTGGTGGGGTTCCGCTGGCCCAATGTAATGAGACTCGCCGTAGTCTAGGAAGATTAGCCAGACCTGTTAAGAATGTAGATTGCTCTACTTACCGTTCCAGGTAACAATCTCAATCAGTTCTGGCTGCAAAGAGAGCATTTCATTCCATCTGTCGGTAATCAGCTCCTCGCAGATGAATACCCAATTCTTTGAGTTGAAGTGGGTTGAGAACCATGGAGAAACAGCTGGAGCAAAGAGTTCATAATTAGCTTTGATAGTCAAAAGGGTGTTAATTAGAGACTTACGAGCCATATATGGTTTTCCCTTGAGGTCAGTCCCAAATCTGTCGTCCCATACAGTTGTCATAGGGCCAGGAATAATACTGTTCCCACCATCTGTCGGCCAAGCGTACCACGAGAAGGCTCCGTCAAAAGAAGTTTGAAGAGAATTGGCCTCTGCAGGGTCTTGCAAGTTGGGAATAGCAAATATCTGGTGTGAGGTGCCAGATTTAACTGGTCCCCAGTCAAAACTATCGCCAACGAAGGTGCTCACTACGGCACCACCGTTATATTGCATGGCAGCAGGGTGCCCAGCATACTCATTCATGTATGCTGTAATTTGTGAAGTATCTCCGTTGCTCCAGTATGCAAAATCAAAGGAAAGAAAACATTTGAAGCCAACATTTTCGGCAGCCTGGTATGCATTGGCTAGCTGAGTTGGGGTGTAGCTGTCGACCTTGGCATTGTTGAGTGCAAAAGCATCAATTCCAATCTCCATGGCATAAGCCATATCAGTCTCCCAGTCAGCCACTGTGTAGTTCTCGACAATTCCCACCTGTATCAAGGATTAGTTTCTGGGCTATTGATGAAATTAACGGTTGGATAACATAAAATGAGCGAAAACATATTTTTGGGTGTCTCGCCCAACCATATGACTTTTGGTTGGAACCGACAGCACAGGAGATGCGAGAGCAGGCACCAGTGCCGCCTTGAACAATTGTTTCCAGAGCATAGTTGAACAAACAACTTTCAAGTGTTAAACTCTGTGATACCGTATTTTGGGGCTCAAGTCCTGAGGATGACCAGGCCAACACACCCTCTAGAGGACAATATGGGACATATGCAGGCAGTTTAGAGCCGGCTTCTTTGGGAATAAAGGACTCATAACCTTCTTCCATCTTCCTTGGCTATCCCTTGTAATGTAGAGCCTAGTCAAAATTTGCCCCGCGTTTTGTCGTCAATCTTAGTCGAGAAGAGAAGGATTCCCGTTGCCGCCGGGGATACCCTGTAACACACTTTTGAATATTAAGTACCGGTACCGATGTTCGAGGCCTGGTCTGGAGCCACCTATATGGGCCATCCTTCCAGTCATTTGACTCCTGTGATCCTATTGAGTAGTATTGAACGACTGACGCGCGCATCAATCTCGGCCCGTCTCCGACATAATTCCTGATACAAGACCCAGTCACCTATGCATTTGCCCTGGGCTGGCCCTGTGATAACCATATAAGCCATAAATGTAACGTTTCGGCGGTACGGATTCCTCAAGAAACCCAAGTTCGGAAACCTGCCTCTTACATGGTTCAGGGGCAAATATATTATTGTATCGGTAGTCAAAAGGGGTCCAGAAGCGAGACCCTGGCAGCTCCGCCACTGCCGAGACCCTATCGGTTACTGTACCGAGGTAAGGTAGAGAGTAGAGATATCTTAGCATCTTCCACAGATTATAACACGTTGTAACAGGTGCGCAAGAACTTCTGAACGTTATCTCTACATCAGATGACCTTTTTCAATGTTGCATCCTGTGAAGAACAAGAACCTTCAGGAATAGGCATTCGGATGATCTACGCAGTACCCCGCAATTGCCCCGCCCCCCCTGTGCCTGTCGCTCTTTGAAAACCCATCGAACCTCGTCCGTGGAGTTGTGGACTATTGGAGACTGGCAATTTCTGGAAGGCCCGAATTCTTCGGAGCTTAAAGCTTGGTATTTAAGTACTCTCAGCAAACCGTCACCATTGCCGTCCTAACCAGTGTACGTCAAGTCGATGGCACAGGAATCCTCTTACTGTGCCACAGGGGAAGAACACATGTATCGACTGGCTTTGCCAAGCTTCACCCCCCGACAACCCCAGAAATAGGACTCAGAAAATGACTTTCCCATCTGCAACTCTCTCCGAAGGAGGGCGCCACAACCCACGATCTCACCGAAGCCAGGATAGACAAGGGGTAGGATTGGTAGGGTGGCAGCTGGAGTAGGTCTAGACTCTGGAGACCAAACATCCAGACCGGTGTGTATTCACCCTGAATAGAGGTAGGGAGAGGAGCCAATCTCAGGAAAATACCTCCGAGGATCCAGAAGTCAAGATGCAATACGTAAGGGTCTCTGAAAGATAGACCCCGCCGCAAACCTATTTAGAGAATCTGTGGCTCTCACGCTATATAGATCTCCAACAACACCCAAGTTCAAGATCCGCTTTATTCTTCGGCAACTACCATCTCTGATAAGATACTGGGTTGACTAGGGTTGTAATGGTCAACCTTTTAGGCATCATGCGGTTCTCGGCTGCACTATGGCTGATGACAGCCTCTCTTACTTTGGCTGCTCCAGCTTCGAATGGAGTAAACCTGGGCGAGAGACAGTCTACGGATAGGCTTGTCTTTTGTCACTTTATGGTGAGCCCCTCGTAACCTGCCAGAAATCAACGAGAGGACTAAAACTCTTTTAGATTGGCATTGTAAGCGATCGTACCAGTGCCTCGGACTACGATGATGATATGCAACGAGCCAAAGCACTTGGTATCGATGCCTTTGCGCTGAATATTGGAGTGGACCCCTACACGGACCAGCAACTCGGATATGCCTACCAGTCTGCGGCCAACAATGGCATGAAGGTCTTCATCTCCTTCGATTTCAATTGGTACAGTCCAACAAGCGGTGCCAGTGCTGTCGGCTCCAAGATTGCTCAGTATGCGAATGAGCCTGCTCAGCTGAAGATTGATGGCAAAGTGTTTGCTTCTTCATTTGCTGGGGATGGTCTAGATGTTGCTACTATGAGATCTGCCGCCGGTGTGCCTGTCTTTTGGGCTCCCAACTTCCATCCTGGTCAGTCTGATTTTAGTCAGATTGATGGAGCATTGAATTGGCTTGTACATCCTCCCACCCTTCCTATTTATGATTTAGAGAGTTAATAAGTAACCAACAGGGTTGGCCAAACAATGGTAACAACAAAGCACCAACTCCAGGAGCCAATGTCACCGTTGAAGAGGGGGACGCTTCGTATATCTCTGCCCTTGCTGGGAAGCCCTACATTGCACCTGTTTCTGCATGGTTTAGCACTCACTATGGGCCCGAAGTTTCTTACAGTAAGAATTGGGTGTTTCCATCCGATCTCTTGTGGTACACGCGCTGGAATGAGGTTCTCACTCTGGGTCCCCAATTCTTGGAAATTATCACTTGGAACGATTATGGCGAATCCCATTATATTGGCCCCTTGAGTTCACCACATTACGATGATGGAAACTCCAAATGGACAAATGACATGTAGGTTCAAGCCTTCAACTATATATACTTTGACATCACAAATCTGACATTATAGGCCTCACGATGGCTGGCTCGACATGGCCAAACCATTCATCGCAGCTTTCCATGCTGGTGCAACCTCTGTCGACCCCTATATTACCAGCGATCAGTTGATCTACTGGTATCGCCCAACTCTACGAGGACTCGACTGTGACGCGACGGATACTACCATGGTCGCAGCGAACAACGCCAGCGGGAATTACTTTGAAGGACGACCCAACGGGTGGGAGGATATGGAAGATTCAGTCTTTGTCGTTGCCCTGCTCACATCCCCTGGCACTGTAACCGTAACCTCCGGCGGAAATACTCAGAGCTTCAATGCTCCCGCTGGGGCCTCAGCTTTTCAAGTCGACATGCAAGTTGGACAACAACAGTTCGCACTTACTCGCGGATCAACCACCGTACTCAGTGGCGTCTCCCTTAAAGACGTCTCCTCGATCTGTATCTGCGGCATCTACAACTTCAACGCCTACGTTGGGTCACTTCCTGCAGGCTTTTCAGATCCTCTGGCTCCCGATGGCCTCGCATCACTCACAGCCGGTCTCCACGTCAGTACCTGTTCCGCGACACCCTCCCTTGGCACGGCTCCCGCAGCCCCAATCACAACCCCATCTGTTTCGACCACGTCCCCAGGATCCCCGAAAACCACAAGCACAACAACGAGTACTACCACTCCCCCTCCTCCAGTGACCAGCAGCAGCTCCTCGAGTCCCCCCGCTGCCCCACCAACATCCACGAGCTCTTCTGCCCCCAGCAGCCCTAGTAGCAGCGGGACATGCATCGCCGGCACCGGGTCTGGGAACTACGTCGGCTTGTGCAGTTTCTGCTGCAATTACGGGTATTGTCCTCCTGGGCCCTGTACCTGTACTGAATACGGTACTGCGATCCCGGCTCCGCCAACGACGGGAACTCAAGGGTATCCCTTGCCCGGGGAAGATGATAGCTATCTTGGCTTGTGCAGTTTTGCTTGTAATCATGGATATTGCCCATCCACGGCTTGCACTACCAATTGATTTCGTAATTTATTTGGAAAGCGAGGGTGGTTTTGGAAGTTAGGGATGAGATGATGGGAGCTTAGGGCCAGTATTTTGTTGACGGAGAAGAATGTGTATATACGGCAATGATCGGTCATGATATATAATGTAGTCGACGTCTAAGTGTCCAAGATACGTATGTGCTTTGCATGCAATGTGACACCAAAAAGGGCGTCCGAGACTCTGCATAAAATCTATTCTATCGTATAGAGTAGAGGGTATCCTCCAACAAAGTCTTGGTAAGAAGGGGAGGTAGCTAGCTATATGACGAGCAGCGGTGACACGTATAAGAGTTATAGATACATGACTTGAATTTTATTACAAGTCTATACATTATGATCTAGATCAACATCGTTTCGTTTCCGTCCCCAAAGTTTGCCCAACCGAGAAGAGGACTTTTCAAAAAGAGAAGGGCGTGCAAGAGAGCTGACCTTTCCAATGGCGCCGTTTTGCGTCGTTCCTTCTGTCATCTCTATGCCATGACTGGAATCGCTGTCTTTCACAGTCGTGCCATTGATCAGGACGTTGCCGTCGAGTCGCGCGTTGTGAGTAGTGGTAGCAGCACGCTGTCGAGGTTCCCGGGAAGTCATGTCATCAATTGGCCGAAGCAGCGCCTGTCTTCTCATAATCGCCTCGGATGTAGAAAGGGATCTCGTCTGGACTCCTGAAAATTCTATACAGAAATCAGCAGAGGACTCAGTCTAAGAAGTTATAATTCACGACTTACCTCCCGAGCCGCCATTTCCATCGTCTGTACCCCTGGATGGTGTTTTCGATCGCCTGAAGTTGGCTACCCATGAACCGAGACGCTTCCACTTCTTGCCCCAGAATTCTATCCCGGACGTCGTGTTCAAGGATCCAACTATGAAGAAGAAGGGAACGCATATCGTGACCATCACTATCGCAAACCATTCACGCCAGTGCGAGCTTTGGAGGTTTGTCATGCCAAAGACAGAGGTGACGAAAGTAAGGGGTAGGAAGAAGATGCTGACCTACTATCATCAGTTTCCTTTCATGGATACGGAAGGAGGGCTCAACTAACCAAAGTCAACACCTTAATATTGCGTCCCTGAAGAATCGTCACAACAGCCATATCAAAATTCTTCCTACTCTCTTGTACACTCGTACCGGAGAAGAGCTGATCCCTCAACGTGCGAATCTCCTTTCTCATATCATCGTTCTCGTCCCAAAGCTTCTGCAACCCTTTAACCTCTTTCTCAAACTCCTTCTTCAAGCCAAGCATCCGTTTCCTCCAATAGATATTGCGCGCGGAATCGGGATCGAGCATGGGCCACAGGGATTTATGCCTGCCTTCCCAGACATCATCCGTGAAGGTGTCTTCATAGGAATCAATTATGGCTTTGATGGCGTTATTCATCATCCCAAGGGTCTGGAACGCCCAGAAGTAACGGCGGGAGTAGGTAAATTCCGCATCTTCGAAGAGAAGCTTGTCGCGGAGGACGCGGCTGAACATGAATTCCGGCTACTGAGGTTAGAACTTAAATACTGACTGTTCATCTTGACATAATATCTCAAAGTAGGGTCATCAAGAGGTTGAAATTAGTCTCGCAGAGACTAATTTGGAAAACCGATCATATTATGAATAAAAAGTTCGGTGCTTACTGGAGGCGTCACGAGCTTACTGATTCTGTTGTATATATCCTCAAATCTTTTCTGTGAATCCTTGAACTCAGCGAGCAAGGTAGTCAAAAACGCCTCGGGTCCGTTCACATAATGTTTCGTTGAATCATGACTATCCATACTATGCTTGTGGTCAGGATAGCACTGAATATTAAGAACGTGCCACTGCAAGAACACATTATTAGTTCCCTCACGAGAAAAACAGTTGAATGTTTCATACAGGTGCCCACGGATCATATATGTATCCTTCCTGTGGTTTGGCTCGTCGACGTGCGTTCTTCAACTTCCTGATATACTTTCCTGATAGCGATAAAACCACCACCGAACTACATTTCGAGATTGGGATATGCTCCGCTTTTTTCTTGGGGATGATATCAGTTAGTTGCCAGGCCATAGGAGAACAAGTTTCTCCTATAACAGTATAATAATCAAAATTGAAGACGAAAGACCGCTGCTGCCGTTCATCATCTGAGAAGGCACGGTCGGTCATGTGAGCCTTAGAGGTTCCGTTAGATCGGGATATTGAGAACTCGCAAGTGGTACGTACAGCAGATGCATCCGACGAAACAAGAAGCTTGAAAACTTCATCCATGTCGATATGTTGGTTCATTGTCAGATGAAGGGCACCCAGTATGATTGGGTTTGGTTCTCGGATGATGCTAAGCTGGTCAGAATTGAAGTTTAAAAGCTTGAGGTGACTTACCTGATCCGTCCCACTGCAGGTCGTTGAGAGCTTGGATTTGCATTCAGATCCTTGAGCAATATCAGTTACTGAGATTGTAGTTGGCTTCTTTCATTGGAAATCCCGTAATCTCGTCTCATCTCATCGCCGAACATAACGCCTTTACGCATTTATTCCTAGAAAGACCCACCTGAATAGCTTGCCAAATAGCATAATCAATGTTACTCCCATCGCTCACGACTGCCCTCCTACTCACAGGTGCCCCATCAGTTCCAACGTCCAACACCGAATAATGGCTGGTATGTGAATGATCCGGCAAAACTTCCGGGAACAAACTATCGGGGTTCCTCAACCTGCCCCTGTCATCAATGACCGACTCCAATGCCTTTCTCCCCTCCGCATTAAACTGATACCTCTTCAAATGCTCCCTCAGATGCTGGGAGTCAAACTTATAGCTGGGTAATATGTCTTGGACGTAAAGGCCTTCATCTTCGTCCGAAAAGTCGCTCTCGTTGCTGCGATGCGTGGGGGCGGTTATTCTGGGGGGCGAGCGCTCGCCATCGTGCTCCAGTGTTGAGCGACGCCTTCTTCTTGGAGTTGCAGCGGGGGAGCCCAGCGTCAAGTTAGCAGCGACGTTATGTGATAGAGCATCGTGAACCAAGCGGAAAGTTTCGAGGTACGCTTTGTGCTGCTCGTCCAGTCTGTTCAGAAGCTCCTCCGTATTTATACTGCCTACCATGATCGTGGAACTTGGGTGTTTGCTAGGCAGAACAGATATGAGAGACGGGTATGATATAGAAGGTTATAAGCAAAAGTTCGGCTGGACCCAACTTGATTGATCAGACTCTAAGTACTCGGTGGGACGGGTGTATGACCGTTCAGCTGAGCGGCTGAGCCGCCTTGACAAGGCTGGTGCAGCGCGTGCTGCCTATTCAAGACGAGGCTGGGCGGAATATGACCCCCATGTTGGAAGCGGGGATCAAGTTGTATGTTCGAGGCTGTTCGATTTCTTTAGACGTTTACCCCTCGAATTGATAGATATTAGTGGATGCGATAGGTTTGCGCTTTGCAGGCTTTATATGGCCCCTGTCACTTATTAATAGCTTGCCAAGGAGATGTGGTAGTATTGGGGGGCCTCCAAGAAACCCAAGAAAGGATGAGGAGTGATCGAATAGAATACTTGTGTTTCTGCACCTTCTTAGAGTCTTACAGTCGATTGGGAGACTTGTGCAGAATGCCAGAAGGTCTGCCTCACGAAGCTACTTTGTAGCGCAGATTTGCTAACCATCGTTCCATATTTGAATCGCTCCTAATCCGATATACCATCCTGAGCCAAACACCTGAACCATAAGCCCCCAGCAGAAATCCCGAACGCCATCCTATCAGCTCAAAGGAATTTTCCGGTGATCGAGCCAAGGATCAGGCTTCTCTTCTGTTTCGATACGAATTTACTGACCTCGTCCGCCCACCCCTCGCTATTCTCCTGCAAGTTATCCATGCTATCCCCCATAAGATTCAGCCTCTGCGTCCTCTCGTTCAACTGTCTCGTCATGTATGATCCCCATCCTTCGGTCGACCGCGTTCCGGGCATATAGCCTGGTCCTGCAGCTCGTGCTAGACGTTCCTCTTCCGCAGCCGCAGCCAGCATGCGCTTACTCGGGGGTCTATCCGGACCACCGATGAGAATATCGAGATCTGTAGGACTCACATACTGTGTCCCTGAAATCCATTGAAGATTGGATATCGTAGGTCGAGGAGGGATCACAGCTTCTGGATTGAAGAGTGTGTCCGGAGACTTGGGAAGTGATTGTCCGGCACCCCAGACATTAAACATGGCGATTTCCGAGGGGCCGGTCCAGCCAAGTACACCACCAGAGCGTGTGACAATCGCGTTTGTTGTTCTGGTTTTATCAAGCACGAGAAGCTTACTTACGCCGATTTCTTTGAGAGCTGGGATCGAGTACGCTCGCACCGTTCCGTCACTGAATACACCAACGAGTGCAAACCCGCGAGTTTCACATTCTGTAACTTCAGCAGAATCACAGAAAACGTTGTCCCATTCTTTATGAGCCCCTTTGGCGGTTGCAGGTTTGAAAATTCGAGCCTCCGTCTGAGTCACTAAAAGAATTATCTTAGTAATTGTACTTTCAATCATAGCAGAGTGTTTGTGAACTTACCAACTACAAGAGCGCCATGGGTCTGACGTCCAGTGCGAAGTGCACCTATACTCTCACCTGTTGCGGCAGCTACTTTGCCCGTACTGGCGACGATAGGGGTGATCGAGATAATCTTGTCTGCAAGGGAAGTGGCACCAGCGAACTGAGCTGTATAACCGCCATTTGCCTGAGGGAGAATCTTGAAAGTGGCAACTTTGCCCAAGTTTGTCCCAACGAAACATGCGATACTGGAGTATTCATCGCCTTCCAAGGTCATGACACCAAATTCAATGACAACAGGCCAATCCGCTCCCCCCGATGCGCTACTGCTTCCCTTTTTGAGGAAGCTGCTGCGTTTTTCGTGTTTGATAAAGTCGCTCGTCGATGCACTAAATATCACAGCTGGCCCTCGAAGGTCGATTAAGGAAAATAACCCCTTCTCGGACCCGATTCCAACAAACCCCACATCTGAGACCTTGACCGCACTAATAGGCCCCTGGGCCATATCATAAAGCACGTAAGGTTGCAAACCTTCTTTCAGAGCAGGTTCCGAACGTGAGGATATGTCAGTAATTCCGCCCTTGTTGACTTGTGTAGGTTGCGGTGCCTCTCTCCCGAATAATTTATTCCCGCCCCAACGGTATATCACGACCTCACCAGCGGACGTTCCAACACCTAATTCCCCAACGCCACCCATGCTCACAGCTGTAATATTGACATCATCGAAACGGTCGACGGCCCTTGCTACGTCAACTTGTAAGACGGCGCTGTTTTCGATCTCATCTAGGTGGCCAGCATCCCAGATACGAACTGTTCCATCTCCATGGGCCGTTTGAATGACATTTCGAGCCTCATATCTCCGCAGATGTTTCGGACCTTCAATCCCGCCACGAAGTAGTTTAGGTCCCTGTTGTCTGTTTTCTGTCATGCCAAGCCATCGTCCTCTCTCAATCGCAGACGCGGAAGCTTTTATCACGAAAGGATGTACAAATGAGACCGAGGGGTGTAATTGGTTGGTGGGAGAGATAGGGTGGCCGCTGGGGAACGACAAAGTGACAAGCTCTCCCGAGGTAAGGAGTGCGAGTATAGCAATTGGGTCTTGAGCTCCAGCAAAATGAGGTGAAGCCCGTGGAATGAGACAGAAATCCACAACTTCTGCACCCGGAGGAGTCGGGAGGAGATGCTGCTTCTTGATCTCGAAATAGTCCGTGAGGACCGACCAAGATGATGTTGCATAAACGGGAGTAGGGCCTAAGTCGAGGAAGCTCATGCCCTTCTGAGGAAGTGTCGTTGGAACCCCTCCGGCCACTAGAATGCCAGTATCGTCTGGGTTGTTCTTACAGCACCAAGCTACCTTGGCAAATGGTTCCTTCAGAGCGAACGTTCCAGGGGTGTTACCAAAGCTCTCGGATTTAGTGCCAGGTTTGTCGACATGCGTATCCGTCAAGGTCCGGGCCATCACAATACGACCATCCTTCGGATCCCAGAATACCAAAGTTGCATCATCATATGCCGCCCCAATGAAAGTCCCAGTTGGGTGCCAAAAGACCTGTGTCAAACGGGGTCTTCGAGCAGTCTGAGCAGATAAAGGATCTGCGTTACCTCCTGGTGCACCAACAGGCACTTCGTATTCGAAGAATTTGAGGGGTTGATTCTCCTTAAAGGAGTATATAACAACTCCTTCATTATAGCCAATGAGTAATTGTCCGATGTCTCGAGGATGTAATTGCATAGAGACAACTGCCAACATTCTTGATCTTGGGTTTCGCTGCCGCCAGAAGTTGGGCAGCCGTAGCGGCGCTGTTTTCTCCCTATCCAGATCATACATAATAACATCCCCACTTTGTAGCCCTATGAAAGCCCAATCCAGCATTGGGTCGGTCACCAACGTCGTGGCCACGCCTGGGGGTGAATAGCTGGCCAATCTCTTGCCATCCTTGAGGTCCCATACTATGATTTCATTCTTCGAGCCGAGACTGATGAGTCGGTCGGAGCAGAAGTGTAGAGATTTTATGGAAGCTCGGCGGGGTAGTGTGAAGATGACTTGAATTCGTTTTTGCCCGAAGACATAGATTTGACCGCTGCCAAAGGTGGTTTCATTTGTTCCTATTGCAAGGAGGGACTGGACAGGGTCGTATGCTAATGCTCTGTATTGAAAAGTCTTGTCAGTCTCGTATTTTGCATTGCATATTCCCTCACGTACCCAATCTGCGAGTTGATACCAAATCTCGCCTGGTCGTCGGGAGCGAACAGGCCTGGCAGAATACCGGCCGAAAGATCATTTTGGATACCTGCTTGCTTTCCTCGTAGAAAGCCCGCCATGGTGTATTGGGAGGCTTGAGTTGACTTGTTGAGGGCCAAGACAATTCCTAGAATCGGCGGCTGCCTTTCATCAGCGGTCGGTCCAGTGGCCGGGGCAAACAAAGCAAACACCAGTCTTGCGGTCGTTCCGCGCGCTATCGAAGCGGCATGACATACCCCTCATTTGATATACGAGGGAGGACGACCAAGAAAAGGTATTACTTACAATACACGCCCGCAAGCAGCCAAAGGTAAGATAGGGAATTTGGAATTCGGTTGAACTCCGATGACCAGTGTCAGCAACAAAATCCGGACGAAGGATTGCTCAACTGCGCCTCTGGTCTGCACACGATTAGGATTCGGTGCTTGAGCTTCTCGCAAATCTACCGAAGCAAAGTGCAGCTTTTACCTTATGGAACGACAATAATATTTGGCGAAAGAGACATTTGCTGTTGTTCACTTCGAAGTGTGTCAAATTACCCTCATTTTTTCGGTCCTTTCTATTTCTCCCGTTCTCCCATCTATGAGCAAGGTTTACGGCGTGGGTTTTCCACCCGTAGCAAGCAATTATTGCTGTAGTCAGCCCAGCCAAAGGTCTATGTATTCCATGCGTGCTCTTATCCAATATATTATCTCCTTACTTTCGCAAGAGAGAGATTCCTTGTATCGAAGTGCACAATATACCGCTTGCCCACAAGGATTCAAAAACCCACACGAAGTGGTGTGTGTATCTTCGTCGCAAAGCATTCAAAGGCTGTATTTATATTGACTTTAGACCCATCTTCCTTCACTTCACAATCCCTACGGTGGATCCCCTTAAAATATTAAGTCCGCAAAGGGCTATGTCAGAATGCTCTACGTTGGATTCTTGGAGAATCTATTTGCCTAGACACTTTGCTACAACTGGAAAAAATGCGTTGAAAGTCATACACCTAGTCATACGTCAAGATATTCCCGGGTCGCAGCGGGCCGCCTGAAGGACTTGTAGGGAGTAGCTTCAATGAGGTATCGGTTCAACGACCTATAACTATGCCCATGCAATTCGACATTATTATTGGTGAGAGCACCTCTTCGTCCTTAATCAGATTATGGTTAAAAGTGGAGTAGTACCGATCTTCTTCGGACGGACCCGTCTCACAGTCCAGAATGTCGGATTCTCTTATATATAATTCTGTATAGTCAAAGGAGCGGGGAGAAAACAGGCCGGTCACTGGCACTGTCAGTTACTGATATGGGTAGAGAATAAGTCTATTTCCAATGATCGACCACAGCCCCTTTCGAAAGTTCTGACAATCAAGGGCCGAATCATTCAAGATCTCTCACTATTCCACCTTTCCCCAAATCCCCCAAAACCACTCCCAGGCCCTCCTCACCTCCTCATCTCTCTCCTTGGTCTTCTGCGCTAGCCTCTCCCTCATCCTCGGCAACGTATTCTGCAAAGCCTCCGCTTGCACACCTTCCAAGATCAACTCCTGCGCTAACTCAATACTCCTCTCGATTTCCTTGACCGGATTCGTGTAGCTGGGGGGCGGCAGTTCGGCTTCGATGGCTTGCTTGTAAGTTAAGACTAGGTCGCAGTGTTGGCAGCGTCGGAGTGATCGGTGGATGGAGTATAGGGGCGTGATGGTTGGGTAAGTGGTGAGGAGGTAGTGGATGGTAGGTGGAAATGTCAGGGGTCGGGTGCATGTTGCGCAGGTTGTCATTTTTGACAGAGATTCTAGGAGAAGGCAGAGACAGTTGGGGGCGACAGAATGAAAACATAAGAACTTGTTGATGGTAATTCACATAGCAAACATGATGCAGACTGAGAAGACATGGAGGAATCAAAGGTATCTGCATTTATGCTATGTGTATAAAGAAGTGCATTACTGAAAGCAAAGAGACCAAGTATCGTTGCGAACCAGGATATTCTTTCATCATTTGATGAGGCGTTCTTTGTCAACGGCACCCGAATAAGCATCGTTGAGCTGGGATCATCCAGTCATTTGAATGAATTCCCATGCCTCAGACGCACCCTTTCAAGAAGAGACCTCTGCCATGGAGGGTAAGTGTCCCGCTGTTTATATTTCTCCGCACCCAATGCATTCTCATGCCGCAGGCTGGAGGGTAAGTATCAACGAATTCTCCTCTCTCCTCCAATTTCCCCTCCAGGACCTGTCACAGGAATAGACGTAAGCCAGAGTGAATATGAAGGATTGTAGTTTTATGTGAAGAAGAAAGAAGAGGAAGAGAGTCGCGTCTGTGATAAAGGAAAAATTTGCGGCAGGTCATGTGATTGACAGGTATAAGCGAAGGACTTGCGAGAAATAGGGCTAGCGTGGAAAATGATTCAGTGGCGGGGTTGTGAACCTCAATCACAGCCCCGCCATTTCGAATAACACCCGTGGTAAAGACTTAATACTAGACCAGGACTCGTGATAAGGTGCTTAACCGCCTCCCGTCTCCGCGAAGTAATTCCGAACGACACCATTCGACGAGACCTTCCCCCTGAGAACTCTCTGCCAAACTAAACAACCCTTTGATCGCACGAACGTCCTGCAATCATGGCACCAGGAGGTCCCCCAGGAGGCGCGCGTGGCCGAGGCGGCAAGTTCAAGAAGTTCACACGTGGAGGCAAGTCTATGATCATATTCACCACTGCTTCTAGCACGTCTGCTAACATATCACCAGGTGGTAAGCACTTCTCGCGCAATCTACGACCGCTCGACTCGGACGGAAATGAAATTATAGAAAAGCCCTCTGATGCATCCTCGTCCGAGGAAGACTCCTCAGAAGAATCTTCTTCCGAGGAGGAAGAGGAAAAGCCCGCTATGACCCGTGAGGAGCGTCGTGCGGCCGCCAAAGCCAAGAAGGAAGCTGCTATAGCACGCAAACAGGCTAAGGTGGCACAGCCTGGCGATATGCCGTCTAGCTCAGAAGATGAAAGCGAGGACGACGATATGCCAGCCAACCCAAACCATTCGAAGGCAGCGAGGAACCAGGCGAAGGCCGCGCCAGTCAGCGTGGATGAGGCCGCGGAAGGAGTCAAGGAGTTGAGCGTTGGAGGGAAGGGCAAAGGGAAGCCGATGGCAGAGCTGAGTCGTAGAGAGAGGGAAGCTATCCAGGCACAACAAGCAAGGGAGAGATATCAGAAGTTGCATGAAGCAGGGAAGACGGATGAGGCGAAGGCAGATTTGGCTAGATTGAAGTTGATTCGGGAAAAGAGAGAGGCGGAGGCTGCTAGAAAGAAGGTTAGTATTACCATACAAGGCATAGGGATCATACTAATAGTGTCTAGGCCGAGAAGGAAGAACGAGAGGAGGCTGAGAAGGCAAAGAAAGCTGAGCTTCTGGCTCGTGAAGCGAGGAGAAGAGAGGCCGCGCTGGGACCCTCAAAAGGGAAGGGCAAAGCGGCCAAGAAGTAGATGCAAGAAGTAGAACTCGCGTTGCACATCTGGATGTCTTTGGGTGAGGCTGCGTCTGCGTCTTATGTATCGTGGCGGCATTCTTGGCATAGACCTCGACTTTCATGTTATGCATGGTTCTTTTCATAGTTATGGAAGAGAATACCCGCCGCTGTGTGGATCATATGAAAACTGTTTCTTTTGACTATGGGTTTCAAAACTGTATTTCCAGCTGGCCGTAAAATACCCTCGTTTATGCTACCAAGAAACGTTGCATCGTTATTATGCTCACTCTTTCCTTAGATCTAAGAACTATCCTTCTAATCGTTCGGTTGGCCAACTCTCACCCGCTCCGGTTAATCACCGTATTGGGAGAGAGGGCTGAACTACCTTACGTTCTCTCGCAACCCACGCAAGCCCGCCCATTAACGTACAATTCCTACGTGCTTTCGTCCACATCATACACCAAATCCATTACCTGGCACATCATAATCTTTGTTTTCTAGCTCAATATAACTCGAGAAACAGGAAAATATAGAACTGAAAATTTTGGCAAGAGGCCTTGAAATTACTATCTAAGTAAAGAAGGAACACGATAGGAGCCACTCCCCAGATTAGATTGATAATGTCTCGAGCGATTATACAGATATCGTTGTCGGCATCGTCGCGGGAGGGGCGGAGACCCGACAGTTAGAACTTTTACTCGCGGGTCACAACAATAATAGTACAATAACAGCATGACTTCGACACTTTCCTTTCATCTTCAGAAACATTCAACGAGTTCATTAAATCGGTACGCTACTTCTGGACGTTTAAAATCCCCTAGAGGCTCTTATAGAGTTCAAACAACAGATAGCCGTGAACAACTTTTTCTGAACCGTGGTGCTGACAAGACATTCCAGAAAATTAAGGACTTAGAAGGATGGATTGATGGTAAGTTAATAGACAGAGGGCTACTAGAGAGTTGACCTCTGTTCCGAAGGTCTTGTTTGTCTTTTTTAAATCTCTATTCAGACAATATCTTGGTTACTGAAGACGGCGCAATTTACTTCGTTGACTTGGGCATGCCAGGCATTTACCATCTAATCTTTGAAGAATATGGACTCTTATATATATGTTGGAGCAGTTTTGCCAAGGGACTTTGACTGACGCTCTTTGGTAACAAGCCTTTACCCAACCTACGACCGATATCTTTGGTGGCGCGAATCAATGGTCAAGGGACTAAGGTGGTCAGTTATTGTCTTCTTCATCTCTTTCTGTTAAATAGCGAAGGTTGCCCAAGTCAAAATAGACTTTGGTTGGGGGCCTGGGGCAGTTTTCGTGGCAGACTTCAGTTGTAGACTTCATAATAATTACTGATAATCTTACAGTATGAACGACCAACTGTCAACAATCCCTTTGATTGCAAGATTATGTCTATGAAGGTGGCAAAATAGTTTTCTTTTCTTTTGAGGGGGGGTCCGAAACGTCTATCAAGTGCCCTTGCCCCTAAAACGCACTAATAGATTAGATAAGAGCATTTCTACCTAGTGCGACTTCAAAATGAGTCAGTTGTAAGGTGGAGGAAGGTAAAAAAAGAAAAGCTCAAGAGCAAAAAGAGAAATGCAAATGAATGCAAAGCTGAAGACTACCCGACTTGAACGGATGACCCTCTGGAGATTCCTAGATGAATCTGGAATCAGAAGCGCTACCACTGCGCCAAGTCTCCTTGTTTGCTGAAAGAAATGTGCAAAGAATCATAGAAGAGTGGTGGTACAAAGCGAGAGCGCCCCAAAAAAAGGAAAAAAAAAAAGAAGATGGCTGCAGGTCGGAAGGGGGGCAAAAAAGCCAAAACTGGCAAAAATGAATTGAAGACTACCCGATTTGAACGGATGACCCTCTGGAGATTCCGAGATGAATCTGGAATCAGAAGCGCTACCACTGCGCCAAGTCTCCTTTTTCTTGAAAATAGAGAATTCTATTCTGAACTATAGGTGAGGAATGAGAGGAAGGCGTGCAAATCTCACTTTCGTCAACTCATCAGCCATCAGGGCAATGGATGACACACTTTAACATCACATATAGGTCATACGGGAATTGCAACGTTAATAAGTAATGTACGGATATATAATTCCAGTCTCTGTTTCAATTTCACGAGGAATTTAAACCACACAATGGTTGGCACCAGGCATTGAGGGACGATCATGAAAAGAATGGAAAAGCAGCATAAGTGAGGTACCTTAGGTACACACATGTACAGCCGGGATCTCAATTTATTCACAAAGAAGTGGTGTTGTGGGAAGGGATGTAAAGGGCTCGATTCGGATGCAGAGGCGGCTCAAGTTGCCCTTCTTATCAGATATCACATGAAATTTTCTCTGTCACGTGGTAATAACAAGAAGGGCAACTTGAAGAAAGTGACCTGGGTATACGACCCACTCAGATATTTAACCTTATATGAATCCCAGCCCAGAACTCCAGATCTACAGAGGGGCAGAGGTCAACGGCGCCTCAACTTAGGAACGCTCAATTCATTCGAGATGATGATCTAAGATATGAGGAACGGGAACATTTGGTTTTCTGGTTTCCAGAATTGTCTTGCATGATTGCACGGTAAAGAATAACAATTATTACTAAATGAAGAGTTGTTTTGGAAGAGGGGCCGCAAGGCCGCAACTTCACCGGGTTACCTTAGACATCGTATAGGAAATAGCCAACAAGCGAACAGCAAAATCAAATCAAATCATATTCGTAGACTACCCTCGTATCGCATCTAGCAGCTCGCGTCATAAAGAACTATGGCAACTCCTTCCTCTACAAAGAATTTATAAACAAAGTGTGCATGCCATTGGGTATATGCAAATCAATGAGCCATGACTGCGTCCATGTGCTGCCCAGCTGCGCCATTTGTACCATGGGGTTTCTCGACACCGTCCATTTCCATTGCTTCATCAGCATCACCCTCAGCCGCTTCTTCCTCGAGTTCCTCGTCTTCGCTGCCACTGCTCTCGGCTTCGAGATCTTCACTGCCTTCGTCAGACTCCTCGCCGGCAGCAGTGGCGGGATCAACCTCTGCTCCGGCCATCTCAGAGTCTTCGGCCATGGCATCGGGATCAGTGGCACCAGGACCCTCAGCACCCTCGGCAAGCTCCTCATCCTCTTCCTCGGCTTCATCTGCACCATATTCTTCTTCATCGGCAATCAAGTCGGCTTCAGGTTGGTCAGGAGGGAATTCGGCAGGGGCAGATTCATCAGAATCCCTATATATGTTAGCAACCAGGTATGTTAATGTCAAGCATCCAAGCTAACCATTTTATCGCAAAACGCGTAACTCTAGGCTTCTCAGCGAGAATGTTTCGACGGACTCTTTCAAAAATGGGCTTTGGCGGTGGATCCGCATTGAGCTCATCTGAATCATACTCGTTGTTGACGTAGTATCCTACTCGTACGAATTCTCGACCGTCGTAGGAACACGTAAGGAGGATCACCGTAACCCCCAGGATTTCTGCATCGGGAATCTTGGAGGTGTCCGGTGGGTCTGCGTCGAAAATGAACTTATTGACCCCCACAGGGATTGGGCCAACAAGGAGAGTATCGAGATCTTGGTCATGTTCAGAGCTACGAGGTGTTAGATTCGAGAGACAAGATTTGACAAACTCGGGGAACAAACGAAGTTGCAGATCCAACATAAGTCAACTTCCATTCAAGATCTGAGCCAGAGTCAGCTTTGATAACGGTAGCACATAGGCTGTCTAACATACCGGACTTCAGGGTTTCGAGACATTCAAAGGTTATTTCAAACTGGTACGAATCGCCGAACTTGGCAGGATTGTTCAGGATGTTGACACCCAAGAGAGATACAACCGACATCTTGTTGATGGATAATGGTGCACCAAATTGTGATACGAGCGTGGTAGTGGTAGAATCAAGATGCGTGAGAGGGAGAGTATTTGTATGTGTGGTGAACCCAACGCGCTTTATGGGTGATGGGTAGAGAACCTGGGTGAGGTTGCTTCCTCGGTCGCGTTTAAGGGTCGCGTTGGGGTTTCGCGCGATATTCAATTAGACCCCGGTGGGCGAGGTTGCACAGGCCCGCGAGTCATGTGACCTACGTGAGCCACTAAGGCACTTTACGCTAGAGAGGCGCGCTAGACTGGTTTCGTCAGGCTTGGCAACCGAAACTGCGACAATGAATCTCGACCTAGCTGGTCATTAAACAACTTCTCTTCAACTTTCAACTTTGAACTTTCAACTCGCCACCTCTACCTTTGCACTTTTATCTTGGTACAAATACCGCGCAAGGGGTGGATACGGGCTTTCTGTCACAGATACAGGTTACTGTTCTTCCCACGCGCGTGTCGTCAGCCAAGCTAACAACATGCACAGTTCAGACTCCATTCTTTTGTCGCGACCGCGAGCCCTATTCTGATAATATCATCAAAATGGCGGAGGAAGATGCAGAGATAGCTCTCCTACATCAGCTACAGGCAGGGCAGGAGAGTGTTGCTTGGGGAACTGATGGTGAAAATGGAGCCGCTGAGGGCGAGCTACCTTCAAATACTGAAGATAACAACGAACAAGACAAGAAACAAACAGTTGCAGATGATCAAGTTCTTCGTGCTTTCCCCCCCTCAGGCTCTGGTGCTGTTTCCGATGGTGGTGATCACAATCCATCTTCTGTCACTTCTGTCCCAGCAGTTACCATTGCAGGAGAAGAGCAATCCCGATCTAGTTCGAGGTCATCATCGCGAAAGCCAAAAACTGTGGGTGGATTTCTAGCGGATGATTCTGACGAGGAATCCGATGAATCAACCCCAGTACAGATCTCGACCGGCCCTCAACAAGCCGCTCCTAGCACTGTTAAGCGAACAATATCCCCTTCTCCGTTGCAAGTGTCTGTTACACCACGAGATTTGCAAAGCCCTATACAGAATCAAGATGATTCACATTCTGGTGCATTATCATCGAATACCCTTTCTGTGAACTCAAGTGTTGCTGGAGTCACCCCATCTTTGCAAGCTCCTACAACACAGACACTTACATCTGCAGCACCATCAACCTCTGTCCAAAGTACATCTGCCCCAAAAGCTCGCCTGCCGCATGACAGAACAGGTATTCTCGAAGACCGAATTAAGGAGGATCCTCGGGGAGACATAGATGCATGGCTGTCTCTAATCTCTGAACACCGAAAGCGCAACAAGCTTGATGATGCAAGGGCAGTCTACGAGCGGTTCTTCAAGGTCTTTCCTCAAGCTGTCAGTGTCCACTTCCTCCTATTTCACTTATCACTAACTCGCAGTAGGCCGAGATTTGGGTCGAATACACTGAGATGGAGCTCGAGAATGACAATTTTGGCGCTGCTGAGCTGATTTTCGGCAAATCCTTATTAGCCGTCCCAAATGTACAGCTTTGGTCCACCTACCTGAACTATATTCGACGCATGAACGACTTAACCAACGATGCAACGGGGAATGCCCGTACTACAGTGTCGCAAGCATACGATTTCGTGTTGGCCAATATAGGAATTGATAGGGATTCTGGAAGAATATGGCAGGAATACATACAATTCGTCCGCAGCATACCCGGTCAGCTTGGAGGCAGTAGCTGGCAGGATCAACAGAAAATGGATCTTTTGCGAAAGGCATACCAACGTGCTATTTGTGTTCCCACGTCAAGCGTTTCAGGCTTGTGGAAGGAGTATGACCAATTTGAGATGGGACTGAATAAAATGACTGTAAGTGGTATCCTCCTCGAAGCTGCGAAGCTGACTGATTTCTCTAGGGTCGCAAATTCATACAAGAGCGATCTCCGGCTTACATGACTGCTAGAAGTGCCAATACTATGCTGGAGAACCTCACTCGGGGACTGATCAGAACTACTTTACCAAAGCTTCCACCCGCCCTTGGCTTTGAAGGAGATGGGGAGTACTTGCAGCAGGTTGAACTTTGGCACAAATGGATATCATGGGAGCAAGAAGATCCATTAGTATTGAAACCAGATGAACCAGAGGTCTATAAACAGCGGGTGCTCTATGTTTACAAGCAGTCCTTGATGGCCTTACGATTTTGGCCCGAGATGTGGGTCAACGCAGCTGAATGGTGCTTTGCCAATGGCTTGGAAAAAGAGGGAGATGCGTTCCTGTCAGATGGGATTGCAGCAAATCCTGAAAGTTGTTTACTTGCCTTCAAAAAAGCGGACCGTCTTGAAAGCACCCTGCCAACGGAAGAAGCGGACAAAGGCCCAGCTGAGCGAGGGGCGATCGTTCGCGCCCCGTTCGACAAACTTCTTGATTCCTTGTACGACTTGATCAAACAACTGAAGATCCGGGAAGCTCGAGAGTTGGCTAAGGTTGAGGAATCAGCCGCTGTTGACGCAAATATAAGTGCTATTATTGCAAAAGCGGAGGATGAGGATGAAGAACGTGATGCCGACAGAGAAGCTAGAGAAACGGCAAAGGCCAACCAGCAGAAAGCAATTCAACAAGGCTACGCTACACAAACTCAGATGCTTTCGAGAACTATCTCTTTTGTCTGGATTGCTCTCATGCGTGCTATGCGTCGGGTTCAAGGAAAGGGTGCCGTAAAGGATGCCATAGGCGGTTCAAGGCAAATTTTTGCTGATGCTCGTGCGCGCGGCAAGATCACGAGCGACGTCTATGTAGCCAGCGCCTTGATTGAACACCACGTTTATAAGGACCCGGCAGGTACCAAGATCTTCGAGCGAGGCGCCAAACTCTTCCCAGAAGACTCGAACTTTATCTTAGAATACTTGAAGCACCTGCTATCCATCGGAGATACCACTAGTAAGCTACGCCCTCGATACTCTTCATCACTACTAACATTTTGATAGATGCTCGTGTCACTTTTGAGACATCTGTCAGCCGACTGACGGCGAAGCCTGAGCTTCTCCCAAAGGCAAAACCCTTGTATTCATACTTTCACAAGTACGAATCTAAATATGGCGAACTCTCTCAGATTAGGAAGCTCGAACAACGTATGGCGGAGCTGTTTCCCGAAGATCCCAAGCTTCTTCGCTTCGCCTCACGATACAGTGGAGACAGCTTTGACCCTACCGCAGTCCGCCCTATAGTGTCTCCCGCAAGTCAGATGCGTCCGAAGAATATCGTGCAATCTATTGAGAAACCGGCATCGGTCCTAGACAGTCCACGACCTCAATACATTCAGGATAATAGTCCGAGACCGCAATACATACAACAAACCAACTCTCCAAAACGTCCTCTCCCTACTGAAGACTTAGAGAGTGATCTCAATCGTCCACGAAAGCTTGCTCGTGGTGAATCTCCACTGAAAGGTGCGGCAGGGCGAAGACTGGATCAACAGAAGCGAATGCAACAGGCGCAGGGCGCTCCGCAGTGGCAAAGTAATGCTCCTCCATTTGTCATCCCCCGAGACGTTACATTCCTCCTTAGTATTATTCCACGAGCCGATCTCTACACGGCTACAAAATTCAATCCAGAAGCGATGGTGAGACTGTTAAATCAAACAAATATTCCAGATTATATGGCGTGGAAAGCATCGAGGGATCAGCCCCAGCATCATCGATATGATGGTACGTATTTCAATTTTATTTAATTACCAGCCTTCCTCTCGAACCCCTTTGCTGGCATGGTGGGATAAGCCCAGGTCAGAATGACGTCCGGGTCGCTGCCCGTCGTGAACCCTCCTCTGCTGGTATTTTTGTCAGCATTCGAGATCGCAATGCGGCCACAGGCCAAGATGGAAAGCTATGTATCCCATGTTTTCACTTCCCTGCATGCCAATCTGTACGCCATCGGCCTCGGTTTCCCCATCGTACAAAACGATTACAGTTTCGGGTCCTGTAGATAGTCTCTGGGACCTTGAAAGATCGTCATTGGGAATTCTATGACCATCAAAAAATCCATGGCCCGTATCCATAAATCAACTCGGGATTTGAGAGAAAGCGCTAACGGATTACTGTCAGGATATTCTTATGGTCGATAGACTCCGTTGACGAGGATAGTCTTGAATAAATTGTAGCAGGAGATGCGGAGGGATTGCTTCGATGATCATGGAAAATCTTCCTTGCTTTCTCACTTTGTATTCACATGAATTTAAGAACACATGAGGGAAAGATGATAATTGCCCAAGTCGGGCAATTCATCCCCATCATAGCATGGCGTTGGTCGGTACACCGGGCATTAAAATGACTGCGGTCATGGAATGTATTATAAGGATAATGGATGCTGTGGGGACGATAACAGCTTACTTTTCTTGATTTGACTCCGATCTTCTTTTTGCTTTCAAATCTGAATTGTTTCCTGCCCGGGTCGCCTTGGTTACGAAAGGACAGCGGGTCGAACCTTGTTTGCCTCAAGCAAACAGGTATCTTCCACGCCACGACCCTCTAGTAGCCCTCATAATATCCCAGCATATACTTATGTCCCATTTCCTCTTGTGCTCGAGTCACAGCTTTTGGAGATATTTGGGAGGCGCGGATAGCAAACACGGGCCTTGCAAACCCGGTCTGCACCCTCCCGATCTTACATATTCAATACCCCTACTGCATCCGCGCCGTTCTGAGATCAGCAAAGTGTTAATGCTGCTTGCACGGAAAGGCTTGAGTAGAGCACGAGCCCAATATGCGTCAACCCTCAAAAACAAGGGTCCCCTTAATCCAACTGTTCTCACATGCGTAAACCCCAAGTGCATATCGTATCTAAGGGTAGATTTAAATACCTACCTTACCTACTACCTAAGGTATAAGGAAGGGGGACAGATCAGGTGACATTGGACTAGCGAGCTGCTCTGTTTACTTCACCTTGCGAGGAAAGTACAAAAGGAGGCTCTTTTCTCCCAATCCTCCCTCTCCACCACAACAACACGATATTCTCCCCGACCCCGTCCCGTCCCCCATTCCCAGTCAATGGAATATAAACTGAGAGCATTCAAGAAAGAATAAGATAGATCTCAGGTACGTTCTCTCTTTTGTTCTACTGTCAAGAGAAACCTTTGCTCGCACTCCTGATTGGGGCCAGCTGGACGCGCTTGTTGTTTTTCATCTGTTTACCTGCCTCAACAACACCACCACCTCGCAAACCGCAAGCTCTACCCAAAATTGCCTCATTCAACGGGGATCAAGCGCTTAGTCTGCAACTAATAGTGGAAAGATCTCTTCTTCGATTGGAGATCTTCCCCCAGGAGCAAACCTGTCCGAAGGAGGCAGTTCCCCGTTACATCGATCTCATCTTCCGTACCCGGTCTTTTAGCTACTTCCTATCTTCTGTCTTCCCCTCGTCTCATCTTCTCTACCTCACTCTGATACCCTCGCTGACGAATACACCTTCATAGACGCCTCCCACCATCGCTTGCCCACTATGGCTGGTGGTGCAGGTATGAACCGTGCGCGTCAGTCGCACAATCCAGAGTCTGGCCCGCCCCAGGAATTTGGAAACAATGGAAACAACCCCAGTATGAACGCTGCTGGCCGTGGCCCTCCACCCTATGATGGTCCTGGCAGTGAAACATCCCAGCAAGGTGGTCCTCGGCAGAATCCCTTTGCCCCTGGCTTGGGTTATGATCCTGCAAAGCCGGCTGGTCAGAAGGAATCGATGATAACTAATACGCGCATTGAATTGCCTTATGCTGCATACGCTTTGGATACCACGGGTGTAAGTTGTCCTCTCTTTACTCAAAATATATCTTATAGCTACATCGGATGAGGTCTCTCTCTCGGAGAGTTTAACATAAAACGTACCCAACACGAGGACAGCAAGCTCCGAAAGCCGGGCCTATAACCATCAAACTCTGAAGTCAGAATTCTGAAAGATATATCTTCCCTTATTTCTATTTTAGTCTTGTTTTCATTATTTCTCTCGCTGCAAAGCAAAACACCGCTATCACCATTTCCGGTGCCATATTATCATTCACTTGCAAATTTCGCCATTTGAGCTCCATTACGGTTTGGATTGAGAGCTTTAAAGCTGCACATTTAGGCATTCATTAGGCGAGGACTGCTTGAAGTTGGGGAGGTCCTCTATAAAAAGCACTTCTCTTTTTCCAGCAACTATACTTTTCTTCTCCATCTACAATTATTATCTTCCACCTGCGTCGCAACCATATGGTACAAACACAAGTACAAACACACAAGCCATTCAAGGAAACCAACAGCGATTAGCATCAAGCAATCTATAAACATCTCATATCAACGCGAAAGTTGAATACTCTTCTGGCTGTTTGATATAAACCGCAAATACACTCTTCCACAGCTACTTATTTCATTCTGCCTCAAGCATCTTGGTCTTCGTTATTATCTTTTCTCGATATCATCTTGCTCTTCGTTTTGATACTACAAGATGGAGCCACTAAGCTTTCGACGTGATACTGACGTGGAAAAATACCAGTTCGCCTCCGAGCTTCCATATCGTCCCGGTACCAACACAACAGGAAAGGCGGTTCAAATTCGTGTCAATCAATTAAAGGTCACACAATGGCCAACCAAGGATGTCTACCAGTTCGACGTATGTTCTCCCATTCACATTCACCTTATGAATACGAATTTACTTGGCTACAGATTCTCATTGGTACTGGTGCTGAGAAGCGCGGCAAGGTCTACAAGGTCTGGCACTCAAAGACCCTACAAGACAAACTCCGTTCTCTCACAAATGGTATGCCATGGCTCTGGGATGGCAATAGAATTGCTTGGTATGTTTATATCCTTGATCTCTAATCAATTGCATGACTGAGACTTCGAAGGACTTCGTTCAAAGTTTCAGAACAACGTTGCACTGTTGACCTCGATGCTGAGCAAGGACGCCGTCCTCGTCCGACCGGACCTGATGTAGTCCTTTGTATTATCCGCCCAACAAAGACCCTTCGCATGGCCTGTATTGGTGCGTACTTGAGTAAACAGATGGCTTTTGACAATACCATCCTGGAATGCATCAACTTCCTTGATCATGCCATGCGTATGATGCCTTCTGAGACATAGTATGTATTTCTACCTAATCATTTTACCCTCTCACTGACTTCTTGCTAGTACCTCCCTCAAGCGATCATTCTTCTCTCGAGGACCTGGACGTCATCCATTGGACAAGTGCATCGAGGCTATGCGTGGAGTTTACTCTTCAATCCGTCTGTGCAGTGTAAGTTTGCACCCTAAGACGGTGTCGAATATGAACTAACACCACGACAGCCAAAGCCATCTATTGGTGGACCTGCTACTGGTTTGGCATTGAATGTTGATGTTGCTAACGGAACCTTCTGGACCGCGCAAGATCTTCATCAGGCCGCCCGCAACTTCTGCAATCAACGTAATCGAAACCTTGAGTATCGGATCTTCCAAAATCTTTTGCTCCCCGTCAGCGATGGCAAGGGTGGTATCGCTATGTCTGAGGACTTCAAGAACTTGCGCAAGATGGCCAAGCTTCGCTTTTGGGTTAAGCATCGTGGCAAGACTGACGGTAGACTTCTACTCTCATACGCCAAGGAAATCTGCTGACATTGGAATAGATAAAAAGGAGTATATCATCAAGAAGTTTACTTTCGAGAACCATCCTAAGTTTGCCAAGGAGGGCGCACATTCGAAGAACTACACATTCAAAAAGAAGGACATGAGTACCAACCCTCCTACAGAGACGGAAATCACCATCTACGATTACTTTTGGACCAAATACGGTATTCGGCTCGAGTACCCCTACCTTCCATTGGTTCAAACCACTCGTGATGGCGTCTTCCCTATGGAGGTCTGCGTCCTCCTACCGAACCAAAAGTATCAGTTCAAGCTATCTTCCGAGCAGGTATAAATGCAATCCTTTCTCATGTAATATCCGATTTGCTGATCTATTCTAGACTGCCGCTATGATCAAGTTTGCTGTCACCCGCCCCCGTGAGCGTATTGAGGCTATCAAACATGGTGTTGGCATGCTGAAATGGCATGACGATCCTTATCTCCGCCACTACGGTGTCAAGATTGACCCAAACATGACTACTGTAAGCATCCTTATTCATGTTATCTTCTTGGTGTTTCTGGCTAACAAACCTAGACACAAGCCCGTCTTCTCCCGCCTCCGGAGGTTCAATACAACGGATCGAAGGCCACTCCCCATTACTCCGGTCGTTGGGACCTTCGTGGAAAGAAGTTCCTCCTTGTGAACACTGAGCCCTTGAAGTCCTGGGGAGTCTGTGTTATTGCCGAAGCAGTAAATGAGCCCACTATGCGCAATTTCTTGAGGGTCTTTGTCCAGACCTACATGAACCATGGTGGTAGAGTAGAGAATAGGAACCCCACAATTTACATTGCAAGAAAGGGTGAAGACTTGGCCTTCTCTGTTGCCGCTGCTCGAAACATGGCCGGTAACCAAGGTATGTTTTTTGATTACTTCTGAAGACAGAGCTAACATTATAACTAGCCAATTGTTTACCGCAAATCCTCCTTTTTGTCCTCCCAGGTCGGGATTCCTTCATGTATGAGCGACTGAAGAGAAACATGGAGTGCCGCTTTGCCATGGTTTCTCAGATGTTGAATGTTGCCCATGTCCAGAAAGCGACACCTCAATATTGCTCTAACGTCTGCATGAAGTTTAATGCAAAGCTCGGTGGTACATCCTGCAAGGTTGCTGATACCAAACCAGCAAAGCCATTCTTTTCTCGTCCTACCATGATCATTGGCAAGTTTCCTCATCATCCCATTGTCCATTTTGATCGATTTGTGCTAACCTTACATACCTAGGTGCGGATGTTTCTCACCCTACCCCTGGCAGCCCCCAACCCTCCATGGCTGCACTCACAATGTCATTCGATAAAGATGCATGCCGCTATGCTGCTGCTGTTCAGACCAACGGTTATCGCGTTGAGATGATTACTCCCCAGAACATCAAGACTATGATGCTGCCATTATTTCAGCAATGGATTTCGAAAGTCGGTGGTGGCCAAGGCCCTCAGCACATCTACTACTTCCGTGACGGTGTTTCCGAGGGCCAATACACGCATGTGCTGAATCAGGAAGTGAAGGACATGAAGGCTGCACTTGCTGAAAAGTTCGGACCTAGAGCTAGCACTGTAAGTTCTGTCGACTTCTCTTGCGTTCTGCAACGTCCGCCAATGCGCCATACTTCCTTGACTGCCGCTGGACGCCCTGTACGCTGTACACTCAGCTAATGAAGTAATAGATCAAATGGACCGTCACTATCTGCACGAAGCGCCATCATATTCGATTATTTCCTAAGGAAAACGATTCTGTCGCAGCCGATAGAAACAATAATCCGCTCCCTGGGACTTTGGTCGAGAATGACGTTACTCATCCGTAGGTTGATTGATGTCTCTGATTTGAAGATAATGCTGACTCCTCTAGATTTGAGTATGACTTCTACCTATCTTCGCACTCTGCGATTCAGGGTACTGCCCGCCCAGTCCATTACCATGTTATTAAGGACGAGGCCGAGGTCCCGGTGAACGACTTCCAGCGTTTGATCTACAACATGTGCTACCAGTACATGCGTTCTACTACCCCAGTCTCGCTGTGTAAGTATTTTATTATGCCTTGATTCTTCAATGCTGATGTTTCAAGTTCCTGCTGTATACTACGCTCATTTGGCGTCCAACCGTGCTCGTTCTCACGAGAACCATCCTGCTTCTGATGGACCTCGCGGTGGTCAAAAGTTCGAGGAGATGCGTCAAGATCAAGCTCAAGCTATGCGTGCTGCTGCATCAGGTCTCGGTCCCACCTCCCACAGCGGTAGTCGTCCACCACCGCCGCCAACTGAGGCTATCCCGCTCGTTCCATTAGGCAACGATCAGATGAATGGCAACATGATTGTTGTCCTCCGTACCGGCATGTGTCAGTATCCCTTTTCCTTTGTTAATAAACCATTGACTGACAATCACAGGGTACATCTAAGAAATACTACTTGACCCCGTGAATGATCCTTGGTCCTTGCCTCGGTTCACAATGCACATTTTCGATTCTTGCCTCTGTATTACTTCTTTCTATGATCATTTGATCCCTGCTTCTCAACACTTATGAATCTCGCTGGTTTACGCCTGCGAAGATTATGGTAGCTGCTTGTGGGCTTGCATTTTTCGATTCTTTGGCTTGGTCTTCGGATCCGGTCCCCTCTTTATGATATTACGAATGGACACGTCGGAATGATAGCTGTATGAGCTGGCGGTGGATAAAATGGGCATGATCATTATTGCTTCTAATTGCTTCTGATTGGAAGGAATGAAGTATTGCGTTGAATTTGGGTTAGATTTGCACAAAAATAAAAGCGTTGAGCACCATATTGATGTTTGCTGACTGTGATCTGGATGCGAATTTGTTGGGTTTTTGAAGTGATGAGTCTCTCTTGATTGATCAGAGGACTAATTAACGATAAAAACAAAGCTCTACATACTGCACGACCGCTGACACCTGATCTCTCCTGCGAGCAATCCTGAGTGCGGGGATACAGGAGATATTTGACACTCACTTACCTACCTATATTCGAGGCTATAAGAGGACGAGTTTTGGATCCTGTATAACCGCTCCTTTTTTCCGACGATATTCAAGAAATTTTAAGCCGTGAGGGGTTTTCTTTGTTCATGTGCATCAATCAATCATTGACTGCAGGAATGGCGGGACGTCTTGCCCTTTAGCTTCGCGGCTTTCTTTACTGATCTCTATTATGTATGTGCGCCCTTAACCTCTCGACGGCGCGGCTTATGTCACCATCTACTCCAGCTGCACGTAGTATCCTGTTGATCTTCAGGCCTAGATCTGATAATTGGCTTAAGGATCAACAGTAGTGGTAGTAGAAAACACGCCTGCCTGTCAATCTGCTAATATCGTGAACAGTGGCCGGGAAACCAGGAATAAGCTGGCTGGTTTTGATATCTACAAGCGGGACGAGTATTGTCTATAAGTCTCCTTAATGTACTATTCGTAAGTCGAGCGATATTGTTGACATCACTACAACAGTAAAGGTTAGGTTAATTAGCTCTTATGGAAGATGATGACACTAATACATACTGTGGGGTTGGGATAGATAGGTCTTGGGCGAACAATCGTATTTCTCGGGATCTGAGGAACTAGCAACGTCCTTTGGTTGACTTCGTTGACAACCCGGCCAAGTTCACCAAGTTTTTGATGAAGACTCCGCTCCATGTCATTCAACCTTTCCAAGATTGCAAGTTGGAATCTACAGGAATATTTAGCAAAAGAGCAGCAGCTCTAATACAGCGTTCCAGCTTACCTTGGTCTGATTGCGGTACAATCAGGCAGGCTTTTAAGGAGCTCGACCAGCTTGTGCTTCGGTCTCATGTTAAAGAATCAAGGAACTTGATAAGTTGAAGTGGGCGGTTGACGATTGCACCGCGAAGTTTATTTAGATATTTCGAGTAAAGTAATTTTTTGGGGATGCTGCTTGAGCACGAGGCTGTAAAGATGGGGAGTTAAATGTTGAAGTCAGGAAAGACTCACGCTTTCTGTTTTGCCAAGCGAGCTCTCCTTTCAACATCATCATTTGTTTTGCTTCTCGTCAACACTTCACCTTCATAGCGCTTCACCCCCTCACTCCCACCTGATCATGCTGTATACCAAGGATTTCAACACCGCATGACGTCTGTCACACACATCTGAAGCTTCTGCACCAATTAGGACTAGAGAGTAGCTTTAGACAAGTCGCGAGTAAATTTAGGTAGGCCTTTTTCATTCCTTGATCTGGGTATCTAAGCAACAATGGTATTAGCCCCCGTCCCTTTCATTATCCCTCCTCCTTTTCCCTTTCCCTGCTTCTCCTTCTTACTGGCCGCAAATCTCTCCCTCGCCAACTGAATCGCCGTCTTTCCCTCCCCCTTCTTCACCGCCGCCCCTTTGGTCTTCCCCTCAACCACCCCCACCTTCTTACTCTGCCCACTGCTAACCGCCGCCGAACCATGCTGAATATCCACGGACGAGACCTTTTCGGTCGCGGGACCAGCAGCCTGCACCTTCTTAACCCACTCCCCTCTCCGCCGCTTGAACAGATCCATACTCCAATTCCGCCAGACGATGCGGCCCGTGAACGAATCGCGCAGCTGGGTCTCCGCGGCGCACAGCGCGACTGCTACCCGCTCGATCAGTGACAGCAGGCTAGATGCGGATGGGAGCAGAGCGTCAAGGATGTGCGTGCCGCTGTTGGAATCAGCGAGAGTTAGGGCGGGGGAGGGGGAGCGCGGAGAGGGCGTGAGAAGCGCGGAGATGAGTTTCCGGCGGAAGGTCTGGTTCTGGGTTTGGGCGCTGGGGATGAGCGACGCTTGAAGGATGTGGGAGGTGGGGGTGTAGAGGGAGAGAGTGAGGAGGGTGCTGGGCGGGAGGGTCAGGAGCGATTCTTGGATCAATGTCTGAGGGGCGCCGGGGATGCGTAGCATGGCTTGTGCGAGGAAACTACCATGCGACTGGGCGGGCGTGGGTTTTGGTATTGTAGGTACGGGAGCGGGGGTCTCGGAGTCTGATGACGGTGGTGGAAGGACAGCAGTGCTGAGCGAATCGAGGTCTTCGATGCCCGCCATCTTCAGCAATAGCGTCTGGGGTTCGGAGCCGTACGCTGCGGCGATGGCTTCGGTGAGAGCCTTCGTGTCTGCGTTCCGCACATGGCATCGTTCGAGTATCGTCTTCACCACAACAGTCCGATTCCGCTCTACGAGACCCCCGATCTGTGGTGTGATCTGCTCAACCGCTTCCACCAGATCTTCCTTAGAAAGCCGGTTCAGCACCTTGATCACGACGTAGGATGCGATTTCATTTCGGGCGAGGCTGGCGATACGGTCTTTGAACGTGCTTCGGTAAAGGGATTTGAAAAGCTTTCCCGGGGAATGGGTCACAAGAGTTTCGAGCAGTCGCGAGCCAATTGCATCATATAAGAGACCCGAAATAAAGATCTGAGACTGTGATCCGGCAGTAGCAGGGTCATCAGGGAGGAGAGTTGAAAGAAGTGTTTTTGGCTTGGGTTCCTTGGATTTCGTTGTCAATTCCAGTTCCAGCAGAAGTTGGAGCGTGGGGTTTCCGGTGGGATGGACTGCCAGAACCCGGATGGTTGACTCGTCCATGGTTGATATTATGTCAAGTGTTATCTTTTCAATGGCGTAGGTGAAGGAGGAAGGGACCGCACGTATCGACTGCGTCATTTCGCTGGGCGTAGTGTCTAGGCCTGTGATAGAGACATTTTCCTTCTTCTTCGATTTCAATAGAGAGCGGCTAGAGGTTGTCTCAAGAGGCCGGCCGGCGAGAATAACAAGCAGGACTCTTAGAGTATGGGACGCGAAGCGGTCGGTGAGGAGGGAGGTCATTTGGCCTTCCAATTCATTAAGGGTATAGAGGAAGAGGTTCTCCATCGACACAAACACCTCATCGTCCTTCGTTTCCGCGTTTCCAGATGTCAGTTCCTCCGTAACAATAGGCGCACTCTGCATGAACAGTGTCTCGCAGCAATGGCTCGCAAACCGGTGTTGTACCAGATGTGCGAAATTTCCACTGAAGTCCTGGAAGATTTTCTTCTTCTGCTCCACGGTACTCAGTAGTATCAGCCGCTCCATGAGTCGAGAACATGACTGCGAACATGCGAGTTTCAGCTCTTTGCCTTCTGCCTCGCGGTAGACATTCGCAAGGAAGAGCGAGCGCTCTTCGGGGTCGGGAAAGTTATTGATTTCAAGAAGCTCGTCCGCGCGCCGGAAATATTCCTGTTCTTCGTCGGTGAGAAGACCATAGAAGGGTCTCTCTGCAACTCCCTCCTCTCCTTCTACTTCTCCTCCTCCCAGCATCCCATTTTCAGGGATCTCATTGTTGTCTAGTCTCAAGAAGTCCGCCCCTTCGGCGGGGTCTTGAGGTTTCTGCTTCTTGGAGGGATCGGTGTCATAGTCTCCTTCTTCGCGCTTTCTCTTCAACTTCTTCTTCTCTTCCCGCCGCCCACGGTGCTTGTTTTCCTTAGGCATTGTATTGTAATCGCTGGCAGTGTTGAGACTGAATGCTGTTTTGAAAGCCTTGCAAGCCGTGGGAGATCTCGTAGCTTTCTTTGATCGTTGAACTTTTTTTGAGGTTTCTTCCAGGATGCGGCCGCACCGCCCGAGGAACTAGGCCCCTTCTAGCGATTCTGCCAAGTCACGTCATGCTTCACTTCCATTTTAAATCCCTTTCTGATCCCGATAATTCGCGGCTTTAAACCCAGTTTTCTCCTCTTTTTTTCGCTCGTTTGTTGGGAGGTTTACGGGTCGGATTTTTGTGTGTTTTTGCCTTTCATTCCCTTGAACTTCCTCACGCGATATGACTTCAAACGGATCTGCTTTGCCCGTCCAGAATGGTGGCCAGAATGGCGATTCAGAGCCCTTGAACCGTGCAGACGAGGTCGACGATGTGCGTGGCTAAAATTCTCCGTGCAGAGCGCCCTTGCATGGGACTAACACAACACAATAGTTACTCAAAGCCGTCCAAGAGCTCATAATACCCTTCATCAGATCGGCGGATGAGGATGCTGCCACCAAGCATACCGGCCATGGGCTTTCAATCCCCGGTGGAAAACCGAGAACAGCTTTGGTCGAACATCACCAACCTGAGGAACTGGTGAAGCTTATGGACTTCAAATTGCCAGTCGAAGGTAAAGGGAAAGAAGGTCTATTGCAGACGGTTGAGCAAGTGCTCAAATACAGTGTCAATACTTGGGACCAGGGATTTTTGGACAAACTCTATGCAAGCACCAATGCGGTATAAAACCAATCTTTGAACCTCAAAGTTTTCTCAAATCATGGGCTAAGTATCTTCATAGGTTGGCTTGATCTCTGAACTTCTTTTGGCCACCTTGAATACCAATGTAAGATTCCAGAACCCGTGACACAACGTCGCGTAATAACACTCCTCAGCTCCATGTTTTTCAAGTTTCTCCCGCTCTCTCCGTGATTGAAAAGACCACAGCCCGTACATTTGCCAATCTGTTTGGCTTCAATGGTCCCCACGCAGGGGGAATCTCCACCCAGGGCGGCAGCGCCTCAAATACCACCTCCATAATAATAGCCCGCAACAATTTATACCCAGAAACCAAAACCGCCGGTAACGGGAACCACAAGTTTATCCTCTTCTCTTCTGCTCATGGACACTACTCTCTTGAGAAAGCGGCACAGATCGGTGGATTAGGGACCGACAACGTATGGCCCGTCCCAATTGATTCACAAGGACGCATGATCCCCTCGGAGCTGGAGAGATTAGTCCAGAAGGCCAAAGACGAGGGCAAGACGCCCTTCTACGTGAACGCCACAGCCGGCACCACCGTCCTCGGCTCCTACGACCCCTTCGAAGCCATCTCCGCCATCTGCAAGCGGCACAACCTCTGGCTCCACATCGATGCCAGCTGGGGCGGGCCCGCCATCTTCTCCCCGAAACACAAGCACAAGCTCGCCGGCTCTCACCTGGCCGATTCCCTCGCCGTCAACCCTCACAAGATGATGGCCGTGCCCACGACCTGCTCCTTCCTCCTCTCCCCAGACCTCCGCACCTTCCACCGCGCCAACACGCTGCCCGCCGGCTACCTCTTCCACGTCGAGAACGCGGGCGGCGAGGTCTGGGACCTGGCCGATCTCACGCTGCAGTGCGGCCGGCGCGGCGACAGTCTCAAGCTCGCGCTGAGCTGGATCTACTACGGCGCCTCCGGCTACCAGGCCCAGGTCGACCACGCCTTCGACGTCGCGGCCTACTTCGCGGCCGAGGTGCAGCGGCGCGCCGATTTCGTCCTGGTCAGCGAGAACCCGCCGCCGTGCTTGCAGGTGTGCTTCTATTTCGCCAAGGGGGGCCGGTTGGAGCTGCGGAGTGAGGATAATACGGCGAGGACGGCGAGGATCGTGCACGAGTTGATAGGGAGGGGCTTCATGGTGGATTATGCTCCCGGGGAGAGGGGCAGCTTCTTTAGGGTTGTGGTTAACTCGCAGACGAGACGGGGGACGGTGGATGGTTTGATAAAAGCGATTGAGGATGTGGGAAAGGATATTTAGATACCAGCGGCACTTGTGTATGTGTCGAGATATAAGACTTTTGGTGGAAGCAAAATGGTTGATTCAAGCTAGCCAGTATAATGAATGTATCCCACTCCAACTCCGCCCAGACAACCGATGTTATTACGATCCCAGTACCCCAATGCAGTGCCACGTCGTCCTCTAGTCATCTATCGTTCGTATTTGTATTTATTGTCCGGCAGCAGTGGCGGCTGTTTCTCGTCAGTATGGGTATACCTAATTAGCTATAGCGGGGAGGTGGAGGGGAGACGTACCTTGGTACACGCCAGTAGAGTCGAAAGCAACAACGTTTCCGTTCGCGTCGCTCATAGCGGAGGCCTCTGTCGGGGGGGCTGGTGCCTGTCTTGCGGTGATGTCTTGTCGGGAAGTGAGGTCTGGATGCAAGAGTTAGCTTGCGAGTCACGACTCGATGGCTGGGATTTCAAGAAGGAAACGGGAAAAAGGGAATGCCGAAAGGAACGTACCGTCGACACGGGATGGGATGGAAATAGGAGCAGCGAATGCAACGGCCACGAGGGAGAGAATGGTAATGATGGAGAACTGCATGATTATTGATGGTAGGTTTTCAGGTAGTGAGTGAAGATATTGATGGTTGGATGTATGTGGATGTGGATAGTGAGTGAAGAGTCGGCCGGCGACGATGTATTTTTTCTCAAAATTGAAATGGAGAGAGTGAAGGAATGTTTTATTTCAATCGAGAGAATGGAGGTTTGCAGAAGAAATGGGAGAATGGAGGAGAGTCAGGACCTATTTGTACATGCTAAGGAGCTTCGAAAAGTTGCAGTGGGCAACTGGGGGGAAAATTGTCTGAGTTCAGGCTTCACGACGACGCTAATGCAACGAACGACAGGCTTTCTGCTACTCGACGACAGTGCGCTGGATGTAGCATATGGGGATACCAAGATCGGATTTTGTTGATCGCAAAGGGGTGAGACGAGAATGGTTTGGGCTTGGCTTGACTGATGGACAAACTCAAACTGCAATGCTTCGGGTCGCTATGCATCTTTTGACGGTCTGGACCGGCAATAGGGGCCGCTAGACTCAGGGGTATTAAGACATTGGGAACCCTCAGCTCAAGGCTTTCCGCCATGATTATTTGCTCTCAAGTTGTCGATAAAGAATTGAGAAATGGGTGATAAATTCTCGCGTGCCTCAAATCATTCGACTATTCATCTGGAGCAACTGTGCCTCTGATGTTTTCGCCATCTTCGCACCCGGAATTGATGGATCGCTTCGAGTCGCAGTTACCGCTGGGCCTGAGACAGGGCTGAGACCGCATGAAGCACTCCCCGCCCCGCTATCAAATGGAAGCGAGACGATCAAACCGTTGGCGAGAGAACAATCCGAGGCAATGCTCTATTCGTATACTGATATCGTAAGCCAGGGCTTGGTTTCGTGTTCCCAAGAGACAAAAGGAAGGTCGAACATTCAAGGGCATCTCAAAGTTGCCTCAGGATTTCGATTATATAATCCCACGTGATATGAAATTCTTTATGCTCACTTGCACAAAATTTCACAAAGATGGGGCTAGAACTGTCGATGAGGCTTTATGCACCAGCCTCGGCTTATGAAGATAAGCCCGATAAGGTAAGGCTCGGGCCCACGTCATGACGCTGATTAAAGCACCTGGATGTCGACCCCGCGATGTCTCTTCCATCTTCATCTATCATCTCTCATCCCTTCTTTCACGCAGAGGTTATAGGAGTCGGCGGTAGGGAATCAAACTACACATCATCAACCTTTCCCTCGCTCTGTCTGTCTCTCTTTTTCTCTGACGGCGACCCTTCACAAAATCCAAATAACTCGAGTCTCGTCGTCGGAACCCTCTCTTTTACACAGCCATGGCAACCGTCGAACATTGTCTCTTTTGTTTCGAGACACTGAGCGCCACTCTGGAAAAGCGCTCTCCCTTGACCCTATCCCAAGTCCAGGCTTTGTGGGAAGAGTACCGCAAAACCACAGAGGAAGAAGACCAAGAAGATCAAGAAACCGAGGCCTCTTCATCTACACCCGGCGGTCCACTCCGCAACCCCGCCGTGCAGCGTCTCTCCGACAGCTCACCAAGCGGCTCCTCCACGCCCTCCTCTTCCTCTTCTTCTTCTCTTGAGCCAAGCACTACTGTCACCACCCCTGCGTCAAGCACGAATTCCATCAGTTCCAAACGCAGCAGCGAGCTTACCGAATACCCCCTCTTCGTAACCTGGAACACCGTATCGCCACGCACCCACGAGCATTCCCTGCGCGGCTGCATCGGGACCTTCGAGGCACTACCGCTCGCCACCGGGCTGAGTTCGTACGCACTAACATCGGCGCTCGACGACCACCGGTTCTCGCCCATCTCGCAGCGCGAGCTGCCCTCGCTCGACGTCTCCGTCACGCTGCTCACCGACTTTGAGACCGCCAAGGATGCCATGGATTGGGAGCTCGGCGTGCATGGCATCCGCATCTCGTTCTACGCGCGCAACCGCCGCTACGGCGCCTGCTATTTGCCGGACGTCGCGCCGGAGCAGGGCTGGACCAAGGAGGAGACGATCGTGAGCCTGATGCGGAAGGCGGGCTGGAGCGGCCGGAAGGAGAAATGGGGCGAGGTGTCAGATCTGAAGGTCGTTAGGTTCCAGGGGCTGGCGGAGAGTCTTGGGTACGAGGAGTTTCGGAGGTGGAGGGAGTGGGTTGAGAGCAGGAAATGAGGAGGAGGATGAACGAGCGTCAGTAAATGAGGTGCTGCTGGAGTAGGGGGATAAACGGCGTCAAGCTTTGATATTTGGGATTTTGCGGATTCGGATTCGGCGTGTACTGGGCTTGGGATTACGGGCAGATTTTTTTTCTTTTGCATAGGTAGATGGATACTAAAGGAGAGAGATCTTATCAGATAATGCAGCAAATACATACACTCACTCTTCAAATCATGTCCCCCTTCCTCTACTTAAAGCACTTAATTCATATAAAGCCAGAAACACCTTCGCCTATCTGACTAGGATGCAAAAAAAAAGTCCCATCCTGAACATCGAGTCGGCGATGATTATCAAGTCAGCGCCGAACAACAGAATCGGATCTTGACTGACTTCTATGCCCTATTTTATATATTCATAATCCGCTAGCTATATCACGCTCTTGGTTCTTCTCGAGGATAAGTCTTATATGTCTGTTATCTGTCTAATAGATATAATTTATGATCTCTCTAACTTCCCTTAAAATCTCCCCATCTCATCCGAGATATCCCCCCCCCCCCTCTTTTCTAAACGACCACATTCCTCACCTCCCCTCCAACCCACGCCTCTATATTCTCCACGACCGTCCTCCTCAACTTCTCAATCGAGCTCCTCGCAAACCACGCCACATGCGGACTCAAAACCAACCTACCCCCCATCCCGCCCTCCCTCACAAGAACATTTTCCCTCCCCGCCGGCTCCCGCGAGAAAACATCCGCCGCGGCGCCCGCGATGCGATTCTCCCTTAGAGCATCCACGAGCGCGTCCTCGTCTACGATACCGCCGCGAGCCACGTTGATGAGGATGGCGTCGGAGCGCATGAGCGCGAATTCGGGACTCGAGATGAGAGAGTGCGTCGAGGGTGTGAGGGGCAGCGTGATCATTAGAATGGTGCTGGTTTGCAGGACGGTGGGGAAGGGAATGCGGGAGGGCCGCGTCGAGCTGGGAGCCACGGATTTGCGTTCGGAGATTTGGACCGTCATGCCTAGGGCGCGGCCGATGGTGGCTACGCGGTTTCCTGGGGGGGGAGTTGTAAGCTTGAGCTAGGAAGGAGAGGTTGGTTCGGTGGGGACTGGAATTTTTGCATTGCTTGGGGGGTATCTGGAGAATTGAAGATTCGCTTCCCCGGATTCTACACCCCGCCTTTTCAGGTCTCGAATCCTCATCTTTGCACAAGAGCAAGAGAATGAAAAGTCAAAGAGAGAAGACACAAACCTAATTCCCCGCCCCCAATTATCCCCATGACTTCCTCCCTACATGTCCTGGGCACACCTGTCCAAAGGCTAGTCACAGCGCCTTTCTTGACCCATTCATCGCCCTGCACCATCATCTCGTGCATGCCGGTGATATTTCTCCTGATTGCGAAGTACAGCGCGATGGCGTGCTCCGCGACGCTCTCGTTGCTTGCAGCTGGGACGTTGGTCACTACAACGTTCCTCGCCTTGCACGCGGCGAGGTCGATCATGTCCGTGCCGATTGCTTGGACGGCGATGAGTTTGAGTCCTGGGCATTGGTCTAACGTGGAGGCGGTGATGGGGATTCTAGATTCGTGTTAATGGGGATGGAGGGCTTGAATTGGGGAGGCGTGAAGGCGCTTGGAGGGGGGTAGAAGAAACATAGTGTGATGAAGTATAGGAGATTGGTCTTCAACTATGAAAATCCTCTCCTGAAAACTTTATCGCAGTTGAGTAGGGAAGATTGATGTATATATTGCGTCTGCCCCCAGATCCCTTGAACCCGCGAGTAGGGCCAATAACTGATATAATGCAGGACATCCATCTTCATTAAGATACTCTCAATGCTGAGCAACTTGCATCCGCACCTATTCCACCATCCTAGCGAATGAAGAAACAACAACAAAAAGGAGAACAGTGGTCCATGCTAAGAAGAGATTGATGCACACCTAGTAGTAATGACAACATCCGCGTCGCCAATTCTGGACGCGACAGTTGAAAGATCAGTGGTGTTAGGGTATTCGGTGTAGGTGTGCGGGATTGTGAAAGTGGGGGAGGGGCAATGCACGCCGTCGAGATGGACGATCTTCAGAGGTTTAGCCATTCCGATTTCAACTTTGAAACTGATGCGAATCAGAGATGGGGGATAGCAGATGAATACGAAAAGTAGTGAAATCTGATGAGAAGTAGAGATGCTTGCCAGTCAGATCGTTGTTGTGATCTATCTGTATGCAAATCCCTACCCCGTATCTGCAGACCTACACTAGTAGACCCACGAATACTGTTGCCTACGGAGTATTGTCCAAGAGTATCTCATCCGTAGGGACCGTGGATAAGCAGTTGGAGAGGGGGGGGGGTGGTCAGGGAATTGATACCCCTCTCGACCCCTTTTTCTGAACCTTGAAGAGTCTCCATGATGCATCATGCCTTTTCAATGTCACTCTCTCTCGTTGCAGGTTGATCTTCGATAGTGCAAGATGTACGTTCTTAGAGGCTTGTCTCCATGCGAAGTCTAATGCCATGGACTGCAACCGCATTGTTCATTTGCCATGGTCGAGATCCCGCGATGGATTTCGAAGTCAAGAGCAAGGTTAGACAAGCAAAAGAGAAGTGTAAGATAAGTAGATAGAGCCTCTGCAGAGCCTTTGGATACGCCCGACTGTCTTTTGATCGACGAGGCAACGAGCCACACTATACCTAATAAGAAAACTCATCCAAATGGCTGTACAAATTCCTGAACTTGTCTTCTGCTACTATGATAAGTAGTCAACAACAATGCAAGGGAGTGGAAAGTCAAGCAAACATTTCGCCCATCGCCCCGAAAAGGGCAAAAGTGGTGAAGAGGTCAGAGTGGAAGAGCAGAAGCTACACGCACCGATATCCGAGCACACGTGCAGAGCATTAACCATAAAGCAGATTGAAACGCAAGGATCCAAGCCGTGCTCTGTTGACCCTTTACCCAAAACAACAATAGACTCCGAGGAGGTGGACGACCGTTGAGAAAGTGATCTGCTCCCATCATTGCCGACGGGCACGGCACTGTTCTGCGCACCTCTCGCGACGCCATGGACTGAGGCTTTGTCTGTTGCGAAGAAGATCGCCGCGCAGATCAACAGGAAAAAGTTCCGAACAATAGCTGATGCTACCTCGACAGAACCTGGACCTGGCAAGGGAGACGGCAGAAGTGCATATGCCATGTCTCTTCCAGCGTCTGTGCGAGCGGGAAAAGCAATTAAATACAAACGGCGCCGAAGGCATTTGTTTGTTATCAACATATCACATCACGTTCCTCGCCCGTCACATCTCGTCACATCTCACCCGTCTCTCCTTTCAGACATATCAAGATCTCTCTACAATCCTTTATTATAATTCAATATCCCTCCCTCTGCTGGGCGATCACAATCACTATTGTTCCGACTACTACGATCCTTCGAACTGCTCGCGGCACCGCTCACTCTGCCCTGCAAAGCGTACCTCCCTCAACCTCTGCCCTGCAAAGCGTACCTCCCTCAACCTCTGCCCTTCTCTCTCCTCCCTCCCATAACAAAAACCATGGACGATTTCCACCGCATAACCATAACAATCTGCGGTGACGGCGGCTGCGGCAAGTCCTCCATCACCCTCCGCCTCGTCCGCAGTCAATGGACGTCCGAATATGACCCCACAATCGAAGACTCCTACTCCCTAACGCGCCGCATCGACGGACAGACCTACCACCTCTCCCTGACCGACACGGCCGGCCAAGAAGAGTACCGCGGCATGTGGGCGACATCCAACCTCCGGTCCGACGCCTTCCTCCTCGTCTACGACATCACCAACGCCAGCTCGCTGGACCAGCTGGCCTACTTCAACGACCTCATCGACATGGAGAGCGAGACGCGCCAGGAGGCGTGGCAGGGCGCGCGCGACCAGCCCTACGTGAAGCCCGTCAAGATCGTCGCGGGAAACAAGTGCGATTTGCAGGCGCAGCGCGCGGTGCCGGCGCAGGTCGGCCTCGAGTGGGCGCGCAAGCGCGGCTGCGGCTTCATGGAGACGAGCGCGCGCAACACGGTGAATATCGAGGAGACGTTCGCGCTGATCGTGCGGCGGGTAGCTGAGGCGCGGAGGCTGGCGACGAGCGAGATTCAGAGAGCGGGCGACGCGAAGACGGCGGCGTCGTTTGGCACGGGGACGAGGAGAGCGGTGACGGCGCCGTTGAGCCCTTTGCCTGGGGGGCCAGAGAAGGCAATGGGATTCTCGGCTGAGGGGGCGCCGACGTCAAAATACAAGGACTTCTGGAGGAAGCTCGTCTGTTGGCGGTGATCCCGATCCTTCGACGAGGAGGCAGCGCAAGAACGAGGAACGAAACCCCAAAAAGTTCTCTTCAGCGACTACATAATATATGCTGAGGCATGACGCGAAATACATGTATAATCCATGTAAAGTATAACCAACCTACCGTGTAGAACGCGGACTGAGCGAACATTCTAAAACCGGGCGTCGGGACATACAAGCTTGGAGTTGGGAAACGGTGTATCGGGATAGGAGGCAGGAGTGCTGGGGTTAGGAATCAAGGGGGTGTTAAGGTCCTTTTTACTGTACCCTGCTGTGGAGCAAGGTCGCCTTGCAGCTCTAGATAAAGGGTGTGTTCACTCTGCTCTGGGCAGGCCCTTTTCAGTCGGGGAATCTCTTCATCTATTCTCGGGAAGGTTGGTTCACGGAAAAGTCGGGGAGTTTTGGTCCGTCGATCGATACGTATATTTCTACAATAATGATAATAGGTAGTAGTAATAAGGATGATACCACCACATCAAACGACTGGAAATCCTCCCCATCAAGCAATGACTAGTGGATTCGATTCGCGATATTAAATGTTGGGATCTGGAGATGAGAGACGAATCGTAGAGTGGTGATTATACATCTATATATTTATATACATAACAGGAGGTGGAATGGGAATTCAGTACACCCATCCATAGGTACATGACAAAACATCCGCTTGATATGTCTCAGCTCGTGCCCGTGCTATATGAAATACAATCTCATCTTGAGGCTAACTGTACAAACACATCCATACGCGGGAGGGCGAAAGAAGTGAGGCTTTTGCCGAGGAAAAGGGTAATCCGAAGAAAGCCCCAAAGGGGAAATTTCCAAGGGAGAAGAAATAGAAAAGGAGCAGTGTACGATTACAGATATCTCTTCTCCTCCCGCTCCTCGTACGACTGCACGATATCACCGATTTGGAAATCACTCCAGTCTTCAAAACTCATACCGCACTCGTTGCCCTTCTTCATCTCCGTGACGTCCTTCTTGACGTTTTTCAGACTTGATAATTTACCTGGTTTTCATCAGCTCGAGATCTAAACCTAGGAAGGCGGAAAGAAAGATGGAGGGGAATAGAGAGTTAAAGAAGGACATACCATTGAAGATTTCCTGGCCGTTGCGCAGAACGCGCACCTTTGCCGACCTGCTCACGGCTCCATTTCGGACCTTGCAGCCGGCGATGTTCTTTTGCTGGCGTCCTTTGACAGTAATCTCGAATATCTGCGCAATCTCTGCTTCGCCCATGACCCGCTGCGTTATTAATGGCGGTAGATGCTTAGATAGCTCCGCCTTCACATCGTCTACCAGTCTATAGATGATGTTCTGGTCGATAATACCAACCTTATTTTCCTCCGCTAATCTAGAGATGTGGGGTTCAATGGGGCAGTTGAAGTTGACTACGAGTCCCTTCGCTGTAGCTGCGTGTTCGATATCAAATTCAGATATTTGCCCGACGCCTGAACGTAGGATGTGGGGTTGGACTTCTTTATTCCCGAGCGCAGAGATGGAATCGATTACGGCTTCGACGGAACCGCTTACGTCGCCTTTGACGATGAAGAAGATGTGCTTCGTGCCGCTGGGTTTCTTCTCCTGCGTTTCCAGAGCAGCATCTTCGTCTGCCTCTTCCGTTTCCGCTGCGATACGTGCCTCTTCCTTCTCCCGCTCGCGCTTCTCTTGTTCAGCCTTGCGATTCAGGTTGACGGCCTCCATGTCCTCCGCCATCTTATCGCGTTCTGCTTTCTCGAGACGGTAGTCTACAACAGACTTTGCCTTTGTCTCATCAGGGGCTTGGAGAACTTCGTCGCCGGCTAAGGGTTGCTCGCGCCAGCCGTCTACCTCGACAGGTGTTCCAGGACCGGCCTCAAAAATTTCAACTCCAGCTTCGTTGCGGAGACAGCGGATCCTTGCCCACGTGTTTCCGGCGACGATGTAATCACCAGGTCGCATTGTTCCTCGTCGAACAAGAACAGTTGCTACTTTGCCCATGGACTTGATGCTCGCCTCGAGAATCCAGCCTTCGGCTTGTCCGTCTGGTTCTGCTCGCATGTCGAGGATCTCGGACAACGTTACGATTGATTCTTCCAGCTCGTCCATTCCTCGCCCTGTCTTGCCACTGACGCACACTACTTGAGTCTCACCACCATAGTCTTCCACATCAACACCATGACGCGCAAGATCTTGCTTGACGCGGTCGACATTGGCTTCTTCTTTATCAATCTTGTTGATTGCGACGATAATGGGAACCTTGGCTGCCTTGGCGTGTTTGATGGCTTCTATCGTTTGGGGTTTAACACTATCATCTGCTGCTACCACCAAGATGACAATATCCGTGACATTTGCACCTCGTTGGCGCATGCTAAGGAAGGCAGCATGACCTGGTGTATCGAGAAAGGTAATTGTTTTGCCTGATGGCATTGGAACCGAGAAAGCTCCGATATGTTGGGTGATCCCACCGTGCTCTGATGCGGCAACCGAGGATTTTCGAAGCCAGTCTAGGAGTGTGGTTTTACCATGATCGACGTGCCCCATGATTGTGACAACCGGAGGTCTTGGAGGCAATGAAGATGGGTCTTCCGCTGGCGGTCGGGCCTTCAAATCTTCTGATTCGCTGCGGTCGATGATGGCTTCGTAATTGAATTCCATAGCAATGAGTCCAGCATCTTCAGCATTCAAGATGTAATCATGATTGAACTCCTCGTAACCAAGTTCCTGTAACTTTTCAACGAAGACCTCAAATCTCACCTTGAGCGCCACCGCCAGGTTGGAAAGACTGATATATTCCGGTAAGAGGATAGGAGTTGGCGTCGCAGCTTTTCTGGCAGCCTTCTCGGCTTTTCGCCGTCTCTTGATCTCTGCTCTTCGCCTAGCTTCTTCCCGTTCAAAATCATCCTCTTCTTCGCCTTCTTCAACAAATTGTTGACGTCTCCTGGCTTTGTCTCTACCCTTGCCTCTTGGAACATCCTCATAAGCAGGTTTGGCTGCTGCAAATCGTGAAGGACGCCTTGTTTGTCGCTCTTCACGTTCCTCCTGTTCTTCTACTTCATCCGTTTCGTACCTCGATCCTCTCCGCCCTCTGCGTCTGTCTGGTTCTTGAACTTGTACATCAGAGTTTTCACTATTACGCTCCTGTGTCTGGGTTTGAGGACGAGAAGATTCATACCCCGTGGTATTGTCTGATTCAGCAGGTGGAAAATAGGGGTCCGGGCGGGATGGCTTGAAGGTAGGCTGAGAATCTGTTCTTGGGTATTCCTTTCCCCCGGCTTCATTACGCCAGGACTGTGCTTGATCTCGAGACATCCAAGGGGTATCATCCTGTTGAGAAACATCATTCCCAAGCCGAATCCTCCTGATACCCGGTGGGTTGTAAATCTGGTTTTGAGAATCTGTATCCCTTCCCCATGAACTAGGTTTAGATCTGCCGCCCAGAGGAGTATAACGCGCCAGCCTGGCTTGCTCTTCACGTTGCGCACGGTCTTCTGTGAATTTATCTTTGGCTGGCTCTTGCGATTCCTGGGCAGGGGTTTCGCGTCTTCGCCTTAATTGGCTCCATCGAGATGTCTCTCCTTCGGTTTCTGGCTCTCGATAGGATCGAGATATCCTCTCACTGTCGCCCATAACATGCCGAGGTGTGGATTGTGGACGACGGATCGTAAACCTGTTTTCGCTGTTTTCCTCTTTCTTCCGCTGCAGATCATACTCTTGTGCTTTCTTCTTCTCGACGGCTGATCTTGCTAAAGCAAGACGGTCTGCTTCTGACATCGGCCAAGGGCGACCAGCTCGGGTAGCCTGTGGCCCACTTCCTCGAATATTGACTTCTCTCTTTTGTTCCGCCTGGCTCCTTTGCAACAGCAGTTCCCTTGCGCGCTGTTCGTGAGGCAAAAGATTCTCTGCCGCATAGTTCGAACGGTTTGTCTGTTCAGAACCTTGAGCAGCTGTCAATTCACCACTTCCATCCGAGTTTGGTTGTCCCGAGCCTCCCACGAATCCTGCTTGTGCTGCTGCACCGCTGGCAAACGTTGGACGCCCCCAACTGGCAGACGCGGCTGGTCCGTTCCCTGTGGGGCGCCCAAATGTGGGCATAGGACGAGAGTACTTGGCAGATGGTTGCTCATCATTGTTCTCTCTCGAAGCAGAGCCTGACTCTGGTGGCTTCCTCGTTGGCTGGGAAGACTGTATAAATCGACGTTGGACATTTGAGGGACGGGACGCGCCAAGCCGGTGGGCACAAAAGGCACATACAGATGAACCCGCGGGTTCCTAGATGCTTGTTAGAGTCAGTAGAAATGAATTGGAGTATAGAAAGTACCTGTAATAAACTACGCCCCTTCATCTTGTCGCAATAGTTTTGAAAGCGGAGTTCAAAAATCTCAAGATTGGGGATGTAGATATTTATCCGGTGGTCGGAATATCACAAAGATGCACATAGGTTCCTATTTCCCAAAACAACACTTCAAGAGCTCCAAATTCTCGAGATCCCTGAACAAGAAGACATCATCATGCCTTCAAAAGGGAAATCCAAGGCGAAGGCCTCCAAAGGCCCTTCGAAACCCTCCACATCTTCAACAATTGATCCTCCAGCGCCTTTCACGCGACCCTCTCGGAAGCTCGACGAATTCCTAACAAAGCTGTCGAAGCAGCATATCTATATCACACATATCGATTCGAAACCGGAGGATTTCAAGAAGAAGATATTTATGGTGCCTGTTCTTATGAACCTTTTAATAATGGCTGGCATATTCTGGCGGATACGAACGATTGGGCCTTTCTATATGAAGATGTGCTCCTCGTTGATGGGAAGGTTCAACGAGACGACAATTGATACCAATAGCATACCATGGCAGGACTCTGTGCGGGAGGTACTGCGGCGAACGGGGATATTTATGATTGATCTCCTGATCTATGTTTTTATTTGGCCCTGGCCGCGAGATTTCTTTGCCGGACGCGCGATTGGAAACCCTGTCACTTGGAGATTTATAGTCGGATTTCGCGACAAAGAGATCGTTGTTCGGAGGAGCAGGAGGTGGGACTTGAACATTGGCAATGTGCTTGATGAGGACAGTGAAGGAAGTCGATTGGCGATGGACAATGTTAGGAAAGCAGTGGATCCTATCTGGATGAGTGAGAGGACGGGATATCTGATGCTGAACAGGGAATGGGATCTGGATTGGAAAGCAATGATACAAGCTACGAAGCTGGTTGACAAGAAGACGATTTCTCTGGACGATTTTAAAACAACAGTGCTGATCCATCATGACGATTTTGGATGGATGGCTATCGAGTCGGCTAGTGCAGGTGGGAGTGCTAAGGAGGAGGAAGGCCGCAGAAAAATCATTGCTTTCAAGGATGAGTTGACTGCTATTGGAAAAGAGAATTTGTTTTTCCGATGGATCGAGTTGGTCCAATTCGAATCTTCTGGGCCAGATGGCTTTGGACCTGAGCAGCAACGGAAGACAATGGCCAAGGCCAAGGAAATGTTTGAAGCTCAAGGGGTGGATTTTGATGAGTTCTGGAAGAAGATTGGAGGGATGGAAGGAATGCCTGGGATGGATGAGTCGTAAAGCAAAGAGACATCTACTCCGAGCAACCTTGGACCTTTTCTCTAACGAAGAACCCCTTGATATTTGTCTGCCGAGAATGACAGTAGATTGCATACCTTCTGCTGTTGTCCACATATAACGGTTCTCTTGAGCCACAATCCCCAGTCTTTAATAACACTGGCGTCCCGAGTTGATAAAGACTCCCTCACGATGCGACCGAAACCTTCATTCAAAGCCTGAAGTTTGGCTATTTATTGCAGTTTCAGCTCGAAGCATCTCTTCTCCGCCAGCACCATCACCTCCTAGTTCTCTCTATCTAAGAACTACTTCTAAGACTCAACTTGTTTGTGGACGACTGCTTTCGATAGTATTCGAGAGTTATGTCGAACATACGGGATCAAAGGAAACACCTCTCTATTCAGTCCCAATGGCCAAGGGATAAGCCCAACGTGAACCCAACGTGGCCAATAACTGTCTTGCTCCCAATCCTGTGTGCGCCTAGCCTGGTACAATATGTCGGAATCCGGGTGTCAGGCCAAAAGGTTCTTCATCGCGGATTAGTTGCGTTTGCAAGAAGGCTTTCGCCTCTATGCGCGAATATATCGGAGGATTTGACCCCCGCCATTATCCCCGGCACGGAAAGGCGTAGTCAATAAGACCAGTGATGACAAAATCATATTCTATTTATTCTATATCGGCCGTTTGAAACAAGTGATTTCCTGATGCAACTCCAGACATCATCTCCCTGTCCCTGGTCTCAAAAGGGCGTCCTAAACAAGTGTGAAGAGTGTAGGATCGGATTCCTTCCACGCTCAAGAGGCCAATGTCTCAATGGCGATTATCTAACCTGCTCACAGGATCTGTCAGCATTCCATCGTACATAATACGAGTAACAGGAGCTGCATCCGAGGGTTCCTATCGGTTGGTGTGCTTACCCGCCGTCTTCAATCACCAGACAGGGTTCAGACAGCCGGACCGTGGGGGGTGCACAATGAGACCACATGTTAAAAGGGAACATATCCCTTACCCAATTCTTGTTATCTTTCCTGCCAATATACCTTCCTCCTTTCGTTCTCTTCCTTGACTTTCTTATAGACCGTAAACTGCAAAGTCATTAGTCGACTCAAAACACCACGGAACTGGAAGCTTAAGAACAATGGAATGGGAAAACATACCAACATCCGTCTCATCATCGTCGTCGTCGCCAGATTTCGATCCCGAACTTGGACTCAAGGCACAAGCCTGCAATGATTTGGACAAGATTGCAGAATAGTCGACCAGTGACCTGCCCCCAAATACCGGCACAGCTGAAGCTTGCTGATGCGCAGCCTTCTCGTCTCTAATTCTGGATGCCATCTTCGATCGAACTATCAATGGTTTTCTTATAGAATGCGTATAAGATTCAGTTACAGGACACGGCAGCTGATTTACTTGCAGAGTATCGATGAGATTCATTCAACCGCGAGGGCCCAGGTCCTTTTATACCTATGTTTCTACAAGACCCAACTCTAACAGCGGTCTATCTTGCCACGGATCTGCCTAGGTTCGGGCATCTTTGGCTCTTCGACTCATCGACTCAATTACCTCACCGAGCACTGCCACCGATCAATATATGACTTATTGAGGAACAAAACGAGGCAAACTGGTCCCAGCGCTAGGCAGTTAGCTCATGAGGCATTTCCATTGTTTAGGACACCGACGTCGTTCAGGACCGCCAACGTTGCTGCGGATGCCCTCGCCAAGCATCACGCGGCCGTTTCTTGCGGGATAATCGCCAAATTGCCCTCTATCGCCCTTGGGGCACTGCGGCTCTGAGCAGGGCTGACATCGATGGGAATAGGCACTCATGTTCATATTGCTTGGCGGCTGAATAGGTGTAGAGGTAGGACGCCTCATGCGTAATTATTGGTTAACACGCGCTTGAGGCAGTGCTCCTGATGGAAATTTCATGTTGAATACAGCATACGGCGAGAATCAAAACAAACAATTCTGTACTAATGAGCAGAGCATATCACAAAATATGGATAATATGGGAACTTTCCATGTTCCGGCACTTTACCCGTCGCGGGCCGAGAAATCTATCTAAATAACTGCACTTTTCACCTCTCTAGGTATGATAGTCAGTGTCTTTCCTCCTTTTCCCTAGTACATAATCCTGGGTCTATCTCCTACTGCAAACTTTTTATGTATCAACAATTTAGAAAGAGAAATAACAAGAGAAAATGAGGAAGCCGTCTTCAAAGCACCGAATTCAGAATCTCTGAAACGAATATGCAATCCTCGGACTCTTTCTCCTTCCCATTGAACAGAGGCCTTAATTTCTCTGCCAACCCGCTTCTTTTTCTTAGGAGTGTGCCGGCACACCTACCCACAACCTCACTCAGCGACATCAAGATGACTCTCTGGACATCATTCTCATGCTTACTTACCTCCCAATCCTCGACTACTACTTCTTCTTTAACCTTACTCACATACTTTGCGAAGGCTCTCCCAGCATCTCGGACTGATTCTAGCACAGTGGCCACAAGCAGGACTACTGCTAGCCCTACCTCCGCATTCAGACTCGACGTTACGATATTGCTGAAGACATCATAAAGCAATCGTAGCTGGAGGTCAAAGATGCTAGCCTTCAGCTGGCGGGTGAGGAGTTTCGGTGCTTTTAGTGACGGGTTACCAGGTGGGAGAGCGGGGGACAAATCGGGGGAGAGGCGTGGAAAGAGAGACACGAGACTCGAGAGAGAAGTGACCCTCGGAACAAGACCCATGAGGGTGGTTGTCAGCGCGAGCTTGAATGCTGAGCGTAGGGTCTGCAATGCCGGTTCCCCGAGCTCTGTATTCTGAAACCAAGGGGCCAGAACTTCAAAAACCCTAGCGGAAAGATTCCCCTTCCGTCGCCTCGTCGATAAAATTATATACTTCTCGAAATCGCGTGGGGAATCGAGGATTCCATCGAGCCAAATATCGAGGCTCTGAGCTTGTAGTTCGGGCGAGAAGAAGGGTATAGCGAGTGGTAGCGATACTTGTACTTCGAGCTCTTCTTTCCCTGCCCTCTTTTGAAAACTCCGGAGCAGACTCTCATTCCTGGGGGTGAAGGCAGATAATAGAAGAATGAGAGGGGGACCAAAACCAAGAAAGAAGGGAATCGGATACTCCGGGCCTTCAAGAATACCGTTTGGGAAACAAAGTTCAGAAGCAAACTCGGAGATGGCGGTTCGGGAAAGATGTGAGACAAGAAATTCTGGAAGGGTTAGGCACTTATTATATGAGGAGAGGGATGTAACGTACTAGGGTGGACGAGAGAAACGAGGGTTTGGGGACACTGAAAGGTGCCACCCATAGGCTTATAGAGCTTTAGCCCTACTGCCACTGCTTTATTTTGATTTGTTTTCGAACTGGAACCATCCTTGTGCTGATCTTGGAGTCGTACATCGTGAGGCATGATCCAATTTCCTGAGGACCGTAGAAGGCTCGAGGAATCGATGTTTCGTGACTCAAATATGCCACTTCCAGAGGCAGATCCTGCAAGCAGCCTTGATGGGCCTAAAGTCCTAGCTATCTTTTCCCCATGAACCTTATCGTACCCACGGGTATATTTCCCTAACCCAGAATAAAGGTGCTCAAATACAGGCCCCGCACGTGGAGCAAGATCGATTCCATCATCCCAGGCTCCACGGAGGTTTATACTAGGATCCCAGGGCTCGGTGGTGGAACCGACTTGTGGATATGTATATTCTCCATTACTTGTTTCGTCAGTTATGTCGGCTTCATTAGCATAGTTCGAACCAGGTAGTGGTTTCCGGTATTCCTCTAATGATTTCATCCAAAGTTAGATTCAACCCCACAAATAGAAGAATTGCTAGGTATTTATTGGCCTTAACCACTTACCAGGAAAGCTTAATCCAACAAGAATCTGATCTCTAGCCCACGGCACGGCTATCTGAGGACCATCTAGGTCAACTTCACCGTCCTCGACGCTCGTTACACTGGTGTCAGGAGTAAACGACAACCCCTCTTCTACCACATTGTTTGGTTCTTCGTCGTCAAATCTTGTGTGCTCTGAATAGGAAGTCTCAGTGTCGAAAGCTGCCAGGGGATCGTTGCGAACACTTGGGGTCTGCCTTAGGACGGAGGGCGAAGTCCTGAGCATCTGCGAAGCAAGGTGGGGTAATGCTGGCCAGGTAGAATCTGAATTCGGAGAGGCTAGGCCTCTGGGAACTTGTGGGTCTAAGATACGAGGCGAGATTGAGCTGATGCCATACTCAGCGTGGTCAGTATGAGAAAGCTCTTCGTAAAGCTCTTCGTCGCCCGTCACAGTTGTTGATGCCCTGCTTGATGAAGAGGGGCCAAATGTCGGTGTCTCTAGTCCTGAGGTCGTACTGCGCAGACTAGACCTCCTTCCAGTCCTCAAGGAACTTGGTACAAAGGATCTTCGAGATCGATCACTCTCGAATGAGTGTTCACTGTGTTCTGATTCCTTATCGCTGTGGAGAGAGCCGTCACTCAGATTTTTGCTGCCGCCCTGGCTTATCGAGTCACCAAATGGCTTATCATCCAAGCCTGTGACGGTTCTCGAGTCCATGTCTATCGATAGGCTGCGCTTGAAAGGGAGAGGGGCTGACTGAAAGGGTGAGACCGTGAGAGGCTGATGTTTGCAGGACTTTCCTTCCACAAAGCAGTGTCAGAAGTCGTACTACAGTGGATGCTCTCTTCCAGCGGAAATAGAGATATGCTGTGACCGGGTTATGGAGGAGTGCCCTTGTGAGAGACGAACCCATCATAAGCAACTAGCGGGCCGTGTCCGCCGTGGGGGGTAGCACAAATCATCACGTGATCTGTCATCTTTCTGATTGTGCCAGTCTCTTCGACGTTCAATCTCCTCTGGTAGAACGAGGCAAAAGGTCTTAAATAGACTTTCTATTCAAGTAATAGGTACCGTAGGTCAGTCTCTAGGTAGTACAGATACAATGCCTAAGCTAGTAGTTAGCAAAATATCATGACAATGAACAGTCCTTCTCATATGATGTATCATGCTGACCACTTATCGATCTGCCCAATTTATCCAGTTATTCGCAACTGCGTAAGTTAAATTCGAGGTGCAGTATTGTGTCATAGTGTAGTGCTGTTTATACCTAGTTTGAACTTTGGATGGAGGAGTTAAGGGGATGTTGTTGACAGTGGGAAATCTCGGTCGCTAATAATTTAGTCTACCCCTTTTCGCCCCCTTTTCTTTTCGCCTCCCCTTTTTAAGATCGCTTACCTACTTAGCTCAAACCTCTCTTGGAAGACGCTTGAAAATAGATATCGAATTATGCTATGAATCAAAAGCTCTAGCATAACTATACGGCTAGAGAGCTTCGGACAACACCAGGTCCTTAGTCTCCGTCGTCCCATACGAGGTTCCTAGATAGCAATGCCGCTACCCAGGAAGGAGGACGATAAATGGTCCATTGCCTTAGCAACACTAAAATTTCTTATATATAGAGAACGACCTACGTAAACACTGAACTCTAAATCGCAATTGGAACTCAACATCTCAACATCGGACCCGTGGTCCGGAGACAGTCTTCGAGTTGAGAAGAATACAGGAAAGTACTCGAGAAACGGGCCTGGGTGGGAAGCAAGACATGATGTATAGTTACAGTGCAGAGAAATACAATTCCAGTGACTTCGTCGATTTGTTCTGAAAGGCCACCTACAATTACCATGTTGGAGACTAGGAGCTAATTCAGTATGGACGACACGGACAAACTGAGGTTGGCATGGTAGCAAGGACGTTGTGTATATTTGAAATAGAAGAAGCTTTAAAGAAGTCAAGTAGGCACCAAAGATAGATAGTGGGTTCTGATTTAAAAACTCTCGGGGAATATGTGCATCATCCATGCTTTTCTCATAGTAGAGCAAAATTTCACGTGGGCTATGGACCGTGGGTCTTTTAAGATACCATATCTGCATTGCAGTAGAACGTAGGAGATTAAATTCATAGTAATAACACAAACTCTGAAGGCCGTTATTCATAAAGTGAAACCCCGTCATTCCATGGGTTCTCAACAACTTGAATCCTAAATCCCAAGTACGTCAAAACTATTAAACCCCCAAATCAAAAGATTATCCATCCAAAGTCCCACGTTCAATGGCTCTGAAAATGCTAATCTACACTGACACTCCGTATTCCAAACGTATTTATGTCCGTGGACGTTATTAATCGTATTTTGACATCCTTTCACTTGAAAGTATTTCAATATCCTTTCCTTTCCTAAGATGTGCCAAAGGTGTATGCTATCGAAGCAAGTTCATCAAGCCAATCAGTATGGATTCACCTATCCATTACAATAAATATTGTCAAATGCCTTTATGAATCTGTTCAGGTTTTGTTTTTCGATCTTACCAATGAACCAAACCTTAACATTGTGTTCAATGGTGTAAACCTTTGCGTAATTAACGCGGGATTCCGGAACCAACTTGTCCCGGTGGGTCTTAGGTTTGATTTCCACTGGGCTATTGATAATAACTTCGCCTTCAAGTGGCTGGGGGCATTCTCGCATGTAGATAATTGCATGATGCTCGCTCTTGACGCCATTCTTCGTGGCGCCTTGGCGCTGGTACGTGACGATAGGCCTGTATGTAAGATTAGAGTAATACTAAACAGAAGGGAGTTGCATACTCACAAGCATAGACAGTGACCAGGGTACTCTTTAACTATTACAAAACGTCGAATCGATGAGTGAACCTTCTCCCCGTGCTTTACTATACTTATAGCTTCGGAATCCCGTGTAATGACGGTTTCGTTATTTGAAGTTTCTCCTGCTGGCTCACTCCATAACATTTTGAATACCTGTTGATGTTCAAAATGAGTAATGACTTCCTCATTATTTAGCACTTTCAGTCTTACATAGCCCAGTTTGAACTCCGAAGAACTGTGAATGTGATATCCTAGTGCATTTAGCAAGTTTGTCAGACTTCATATGTTTCAATTCAACAACGTACGCTTGTCAAGCTTTTCTTCCTTCCCTTTAGTTCCCCAAATGTGTTTCGGAGTTCTAGATGCTATAGGATCTACTACGTTCAGTGCAGCTAACTCACTTCAGCTAAACCCTTATAGCCATAGCCTATACATACGACTTTTACCTGAATTAGTACCCGGCCTAACAGTGGATACCGATGCGTATGAGCCAGTTGTTGGATCACCCGTGTAGTCAGCGGACGGATACTCGTCTTGTTGTGCCTGAGAGCCCTGATAGTAACTATTCGAACCCGTTGGAACTGCTGATCGAGAAATGTTATAACCTTATTTGAGTTAACTGCATAAGCTGTATTGAAGACCAAATTGTGTTTACCTCTTGAACCTGACCCTACTGTAGGATATCGAGAGGTAGATTGAGTATAATATGACACAGATCCACTTCCTGATTGTATGTCATCAATCGAGGTTCTGGCAAACGAATTTGACAGGCCATCGACAGAATTATATCCCTGCGATTGCCCCGCAAGGCGATAGTCGTAGTTCCCAAAATACGTATCTGAGCTGGCTGAATTGGGAGTTCCCTCCCCCCGTGCACTTCGTGGTGTCTCCTGAGATGAAGTGCCGCTAGAAGCTGGGGCCCAGTCGTAAATTAATCGTCCTATGTAAAAACTTAGCCTGGCCTCTCCATTATACAATGGCTATTTGATCTACCTCTTGCGTCGTATCGTGTACGATAATACTGCGATCTGTTCTCATCGTAACCCCAGTCGGACCATACTTGTTCGCCAGACATCTTAGAGGACTACAAAACCGGTGAGTAGCCACAGTAACTAGGCCTCAGTTCCGGGATAGCGGTGTGCGCCAGCAGAGGCCCCGCATAGCGGTATTCATAGGCACAGAGCCCGGAGCCGCATACCGCAGAGCTGGTCACTTGAGCCTTCTGCAGCATATCATGCATCTCCTATAAAGGTAACACACGCAGCCCATTTATTTTGAGAACTTCTCGTTGGCGGACAAAGACGAGGGCCAGGATAGTGGTTGGCTCCTCTGAAACGGAGTGTTGCAGTTATCTGCAGTGTCCGGAGAACAACGCAGAAGTGGTAGGGATGCAGTGGTATGGGGTTTAGACTTCATAGCCCGTCGACTGTGGGTTCGATCAGCTTGTGATACTCCCATGACCAGGTAAGCGCTCCCTACCCCCACGTTCCCCCTCTCTCTAAAAAGCAACATGAGGAGGGCCGATCAACGAGACGACAAGATTTATATCTAATAATATGTCAGCAGCAACTCTCGGCCAACTCACCGAGCCACCGTTGCTGTACAGGTGCGGGATCATACGCACATGGCAGACCATTACTCGCGGGTTGAGCATGGCCCGCATACCCGCATGCCTATAGGCTATAGCAGTGGGAGGACATGGTTTTGTACGTCAAAGAGCCAACCAATCGCATCATAATTGTCAGTTGAGTGACAATGAAAAAGAGCCTCCTGATAATGTATTGAAAGCATAGGCTCTCGAGAATCGACAAATTTTACGAGGCTATCAAATCAAATTCCTCGGGACTCTCCTCGTGCTTCCACCAACACAGCACCAGCGTTTCCAGATATATTCCCTCCACCAAACTTGCAGTTGATGGATTTGGATTTGTCCTTGGCTTCACTACGTATCCCTCACATTTTGGGGGCTCGATCGATATCCACTATCCAGTCACCTAAACGTGCCTGGTACAATGTCGGCTGATTCGGCTCCATTTTCAACCCACTATGGTCCTTTGGATAACTTCCTGGATCAATGGGATGACTTCATGGACTTTTCCCATAATCCAGACCGGATGGAGGAAGAATGGAGACGACTACGATCTCTTCGGATCAATGTATTGAGGCTTCGGGATCAACTCCGGAAAAAGCGCGATGAACTTCGCAAAAGCGAATTGAACAAGAGCTCTTCAGATGACGCATTCATGAAGTATATTAGACAGCGTCACCATACGGCTGTTGTGGAATCGTTGCGCGACCAAATCTTTGTGGATCCGACTTTAGAGTCGCATTTCAAAACGATGCAGGCAGTTAGAGATGACTATGGATCATTGGAAGACGATTATAAAATCCTGGAAGAGCGGTTGGATGATGAAGAGTTAGAGCTGGCTAAGGTTGAAGGACGTTTCTATCGTAATAAAATCCAGAGTGTTGCGGCGGCTTCGGATTTAAACTTAAGAGGCACTGAATTCTACACGCCGCCTCCTACTGAATCATTCCTGGGGTTTTCCACGGACTCTCTACAGGCAACTCACCCATTATATGCCAATTACCTTTCTAGGCTTGGAGATCTTGATCTGGCCAAAGAACGACTTCAAGATATGATACTAGAACGAGGAGATCTGCTTCGATTACGGGAGTCGAAATTAGTCGTCGGAATGGATCTTAATAACGACGAGAAAAAGTTTCTTGAGAACCTTCCGCTACGGGAAACGGAGCTTCAACAGGAAATAGAAAAAATTAAGAAGGACATTGGGCAGCTGAAGGAGAAGTGTCTGGAAGCTGGCATCGATATCAGTGAAAGCGTCAATGATAGCGACGGTGATGGGGAGGAAAACGACGACAACAAAATCGAGGAAGACATCCTAAAAGACATACATACTTCTAAATCAGTGAGCCCGGTATGTTCTTTTCTTTCACTATGATTATATAAAGTGTAAGCCGAAAGTAAGGTTCTGGTCGCTGATGTTGTGAAAGATACAGATGCCGTAAATTGAACTGGAGCATCCTTTGCCCTTTCCCGGTCTCTTTCCCAAAAGTTAAATTTTATTTGACACTCAATTGGGTTTCCAAACATGCCAAAACTATATCAGTTAAAATTGAGCATTTTCTTCTGCTCCGAAGCTGTCCTCTGCAAAGATGTCTTCTGCTCTTCTGCTTCAAACATGTCTTGTTCTTCGAACCTACTTCACTGCAGCATCCAGTCAAGTTGGTTATCATTGGATTCCATTATGCAGTCTCTCTTTCCAAATCGTTACTTTGGAGAACTTGTCACGGGAACTCGTCACGTAAAAAGAGAACTTTCACTCCTAACTCCTACCACAGAACTTTATTTCTCTGAATTTTTATCCCTTGCAGAAGCCTCTTTAAATCTCGCATATGAGCAACCAATTTATCACATGTATGAACTCATCTTTCTTTTGTTCAAGAACTATCGAGTGCCTAAGTATGCCCCTATCTTAAAACAGACCATATATCGCAGCCCCATCCACAAGATTCCTCTCGATCTCTCTTTATTTCTCTCTTTGCCTCTAGCATAATGATTATTGGTTTCTATTATTCTATTACCGGTGTGTAAGGGAGTTCTATATGTAATTGCCTACCATTACTTCTCCTACCTCTATGTCGGCTTTTATCTCTCTAGAAATGGAGCCTCAGTAATAGCTCCCTCAAAACATTTCGTCAAAGGCATAAAACATAAGGCTTCGAAATTAAAGATGTCAAAAGAGTATAGGTGCCATAGTTTCACAAATAGTAGTCTGATCTCTGAGATTCATGTTATCATAGGGTGTATAGCCTCGGAAAAGCCATGTGCTCGAGAGTGATGCAGATGCAGCAAGATTGCGGTGCAGAAGGAGGTTACTTGAACTTACTTCAAGCCCCTCTTTAACAGGCACAAATGGTGGAGTATTGGATAAAGAAATTCAACAGATTATATACGTATATACGCATTTTTTGTGGTTTTTATTGTTTTCCCACGAGCTTAGTATTCTTATGAATACTACAAACCCTTACTTGGTTCTATATGTGTTGTAATAAACCGGTTTACATTTCTATAAAGCGTTCGACAATAACTCCACTTGTCTTCCATAAGAATTTCACATCTGACTCCTGACGAGGAATGCAATGAAAAGACACATATTTGGCCAGGAAAAGACCAAAGCAATAGTATCGCAAGAAACTACACGCAGCCAACGATTGAAATCTCAATTTGAATTCCTCTCCAACCTCCATCCAGAACGCCTTCCGTAGCATTCTTGCATCCGGATATTCAATACTGTCGAAACATCTAGGACGTCGAACAAAGAGCGATTCTACCAGCAATGGAACGGTCACCAAGAAAGGAAGACAATGAACGGACTCCCAATCAATGATACTTTTCAGAATAATATCAATGGGTTCATTTGACACTATCATATTATGCAAGCCCATATCAGTGTGTACTAGTACGATCGGAATGGTGTCGATGTCAGCTGGACTTGCATCGAGTTTGCTCTCAACGAATCCTCGAACAAAATTGTCATTGTCATTGCACCTTCTTAGGTACGCCTCTAGGCAGTGATGCAACCATGCCCGAATGTAGGACTTAGCAGAATCAAATGGACCGCCAAGATCGTGCATTCGATGCGGGCCAACGGATATGGTCAAGTTCTTGGTTGTCACTGCCGCTATGGCTTCCCCGATTGCAACCTCTCTAGACCCAGTAACGTCAATCTTCCATAATGCTTTGAAAGCTCGAGCAATCTGCCTCACAAGCGTGACCTTCTGGGGTGTGGGCAATGTAGGGTAGACTTCGTTTGCCGCAATTCCATCAATGTATGACGATGTCTGAATCAAAAAGCCGTGACTCGAACGAAACTGGATTCGATGAGAGTCTGGTACGGGAACACTGTCCCTGCAATTAGCTGAAAGCCACGTTGTAAGGGTGTATATCGAGTCAAGATTTCCGCGCCATCTCAATTGAATGATATAACTCTTGGGAATGGTCTCTTCCACGGACACTTTATATGTGACGCTGAAAGCACCGGCGTTGATCGGCGAATGATCTTTGAGAGTCCCAAGCCCAGCATTTCGGACGATGCTGGACAGTTCCTCGCCATCTAGGTGTAATTCTTCTAGTTTGAGGATGGCACCGATTGATTTTGCCACTCGCACCATATACCTCGGAATGGGGTATTCGATGTCTTCTGATTGTTGTCTCTGTAGAAGCAAGCCTACAACAAGGGTCGTCATTCCTTTGTCTTCGACTAGAATATCGCAACTTGTTCCATATCTAACAAAACCGTCGGGTGCTAAGCCTTTCACAGCTTTTCTAGCAATGGATTTGATGCTCGATGCATCCATGACTCTTTGATTGAGGAGGGACCATGGAATAGATACTGCGAAGACGATGTTCAAAAGAGTCAGAGGTTATAGTGGTTTTGATAGCACAGCTATATACAGAATAAGTGTGACAATGCTTTGTTAATTGCAGAACAATCTGCCTAGCTGTATTTTCAGAAGGATGATATTCAGTACAGAAGACAGATCATAAGCCCTGTTATATGGCGCCAGACTTCCGAGTGTCAAGGATAAGCTTAGCAATCAGGCTGAAGACAATGGACAAGTCAATACAAGGACTTCTTCAAGACTATTCATTCTACGGCACCTATGATACTCCCAAGCCTCACTAATCTCAACACCGAGCTTTCCGAGCCTCTCCAATATAGCCTTCCTGTTGAGCTGAGGGATCATGTCGGAATCTGCACTACCTATTGAACGGTCACGGTCCGAACCCCGGCAGGATACCACGGTATTACGGCCCGATTTAGAAAGCCGATTTTGATTGGACTTTTCCCGTTACTACCTTACTGATCGTCTCCCTTATCTACTGGTACCAAACTTATTGCAATACCTAATAGGGATCTATTACCGTAGATCTGTCGTTCTAATTTACTACTATTACCTGTATATAGCCTCCATTTTGCTCCTTTTAGTAGTTAGTTTAGCACAGTTGAATTGACTTAATTCGTTACTTAATTCGTCACCTTACCTAGTTACGCCTAGGTATTTAGCACATTTGCATGTTTAACCCAATACCCGCTTTTTCCTTCACCCAGCGGAAATTGAAGTTTCGAATAACCTCACAACTCGAAGCCGTATAAACAAGGTTTTACCTTAATAGAGGCCCAAAGCTGGCACATCGATGGCGCCTTTTTGGTAATTTTGATCAGGATTTGTAGAGACTACATGTAGAACCAACTGTATTAATGGCCCCCTGCCATATTATAACGCCAGCATATTGATGACGCCCGGCTCATATTGATCACGCTGACGCCCGACCATACCTGCATACCGCCAAGCCTATCAGATATACAACAAGACTTGAAATCCTGGAACTTTGGGGCAATGGTGTGGCAGGATGACGTTCCCACAAGCCAAGCTGGGGTCCGGATGAACCCCACTGCTCTTGATATTTAAAGGGGCCGAAGAGCCTTCTTCTTCACCTCGCAGCTTCTCTTTCTTTGTTCTGAACTACCTGGATCAACTTGGTTTCAAGGCCTCAATCAACCGACGATATATATTATCAGATCGCACTTAACTACACCAAACCTCTCTACCTATGCCAAAATGCAGCTTATCGACTACGACACAAGCTCCTTTAATGGCATGCCAAGTCTCAATATGGCTCTCAATGCCTATAACACCCACAAACTCGACTCCATAATCTCAACCTCCATCCGAGACATCTTCCTCAAGCACGGCGCCCACTCCCGCTTTGCACTCAACCTCATCCACCGCCATTTCACCCTCCACAGTCAAGAGCGCAATGTGCATGTCAACAACATTGCTCTTCCCTGGGATGCAGCCACAATGCCGCAGGATATCTTAGAGCGCACAGTACCTATACTATGGCGCTTCAGCAAGAGTGGAACTGCAGGGCCAGGATTGCTGAGCTGCGAATTCGAGTATGAACCTCGAGCTTCAATAGCAACATCAACATCAGCGGTGGATCTCTCACGCGACAAACCGTTCCTCACTGACCTCTACGTCTTCCTAGCAGAACAAAAGCTCACGCGGTACCTCGGAATCTCGCGCCTCTCTGCCGAGGATAAATCTAACATGATGTCGCCTACGCTGCCTCCTATAGAGATAACGGAAGGAAGAGCAAACATCACGTTCCCGGCACACTTGCAACCACAGGCTGGAAAAGCAGCGCAGGTGAGCTGGCGTTTTGATGAGAATCAATTGGGGAATACGAAGTGTGTTTCTAGCTGTCAACTTAATCTTGAGGGGAGCCATCTCAGGTGGCACGATGAGGAAAGTGATGATGACGATGACGACGACGACGACGATGATGGTGATGATGATAATGATGATGATGATGATGAATAATTTACGTCCGAGTGACCTCTTAAAGGGTATAAGGACGTGTTAAGCTAGTATAAAGTCCTGTTTATATAAAGGCCAAAAATCACAAGGGGTAAAAAGGGACTCTTCTATAAACAACCCTACGTCCCTAGGTAATCCTACGGTGTTATAGTTCCCATATACTAGAAAGCATTTTCTTACTACAATAGCGTATAGCTAGCCGACTACTCTCTGTACATAGGTAGTTAGTAGGACCTTGTGACTATGACTTCCCTTAAACCATAGGGTAGACTATGAGATATTGTGTACTGTCGTAGAGAGAGTGTATCTAGGCCCTTTAGGGCTCAGATCTAGGTAGCTCAACCCGAGTTAAAAGCCTCCTTGTCAACTGTACCGTAATAGAGCTATAGACCCCTTCTCTTTGACAGTAATCGTAAGCGCGTATAACAAAGGCGTAATATCGCACTCCGCACGATGAGGATGAAGTTTAGGTAGGTGGAGCTAGGGAGGGCTCTATTGCAACGCTTGGCAAATCAAATATAACTAAAGCATAGTTCACCACTGGCCTACTGTCGTTCTAAACAATTTTCTTACACTCGAGTAAGAAACCTAACCGCAGTAGAGAAAGAGCCTGCTTTAGCATCTTCTCCGCCCCTTTGGCCTGGCTGCGTCCGTGATAGAGCCTTCCTAGATTCTGTACCACCTGTAATGGCTGTGGGTAATCTGGCTCCAAGGCCTTTTCATACCTAGCCAGTGCCCGCTTCTATATCCTCTCTCCCTTTTTGACCTGACCGTGTCCGCAAATTATAATAGATCAAGCCTAGATTTTCATTTGTAACCAATCAGCACCTTCATCACCTTTCTGACTAATAAATCAAAAAGCATCAACACTAAACGGAGTTAGACATCAAGCACGGTTTCTAAACTCTTGCTACTATGTCAAGATGAATTGACGATTGAAGGTCTGTCTGTTCCTTGCAGCTTGAAAAATGTGGAGCCGCTAATTAAGACAACGGGTGCTCCCGCTAATATCATGGGGGACTAGGTAATTAGGCGAGGAACGCTATCGTCGATCTCGGGTCCCCTTATCAGCAGTAAGATACCTTACCCCTACGACAGTTAAATCGAGATACACTATGTATTAAGTCGACTTCTAGATATAACTAAAACGCTATGTACGTCAAGTGTCTAGTAGCTTTTAGTGATTTGGTGATTCATTCAAACAAAGGGAATATTTGTACGCTGAGATGATATTTAACGGTTTCCTACAGACTCCCCTGCGCTAGAATTGTATATCATAAGGTACTAAATCCACCATCCACCGAGTACAGTACTGCAAGAGACAAAGGAAATATAATCATTGCGGATGGTCAAGATGAAGTGTCGTAAAGTTCGTTACCATGCGTCGGATTTTCCAACGCCCATGAATGCAGTCTTGCCGCCCGCTCTATACAAACTAGTAGGATTGCCCCTTCTTTCCCAACTTAAATAAGATTCTAATCCCCTTCTTCTTCTTCCCATCCACACGCTTCCCCCTCTCCCACTCTTCCAATTGGCATCCGATCTCCACCCTCCCGGGAATCGTACTCGGGCTCATGGGCCCATTCGGCGGCAACGGCTTCTCTCTCATTCTTGCCTGGCTCAACGTCATATTCTCATTAGGACGCGTTCGCCGATAGGGATGTGGTTTTGCAGGGAATGGTATGGTGGCAAAAGGACTAGGTGATACGCCACGCGGGAGGACCGGGGAAGAGAGAGGCTGCGAGAGTGCGAGGGGTGAGGGCCGGGGGCGGCGTTTGCCGGTTGGCGTGGGAGTTTGTGGAGTTTTTGGGCACCGGTCTAGGGCGGAATAACTATCCATATTGATATTACTGCCCTGGTTGGCCATGTTAACCCGGTTTGATATTCCATCAAGGGACGGAGAAGGAGAGAGATATGGCGTCCTGTTGGGAATGGGCAAGGGTCGCAAGCAAGGTGGAGGAGGCGGAACGTTTGTGGGATGAAGCGTCTGTTCTACCTTCATGGTAGTATTAAAAGTGGACACGGGCGTAGGGGCACTGACGGCTCGGGGAGACTTTCCAGGAGCGGTCTTCGGTCGATGTTGGTGTTTGCAGTAATCAATTCTGTGTTGGAGACTTTGATTCTGGTCCTTCAGCAATTTTGTTGCCTCTTCAGCTGCAATGGCTCGTTCGAGGAGTATCCGGTTGTCTCTTTCGATGGCCTTGATATTTCCGATGGCTATAGCAGCAAGTTTCTAGTAGAAATATTAGCCTTAAATCGTGGATGATGATGTCTAATACACGATGGGAATTGAGGCGAGCGTTTCATTATGTGACTGAGGGTGGGTGCCCGACTCCTTCCACTCATGTTGAAATGACCAGCGGATATTGGTTGAGATGGCTATTATACAAAATGAATTTATCATTGCCAGACTTCTGCTCTTTGGGTTTAAATGTGTCCAAGGCTGGTTGAAAAGCTCATGGAAGTCCCCGCTTGTTGAATCAGAGAGTCACAAATGGTCGATAACTCCAAGATCGAGGGAAGAATTTGGAGGCGACTTACGGAAAATTGAGGACTTTTGAGCTCCGTGATGTAAGCTTCGTTAGCTGATTGGCACTTTGGGCCTAGCGAGTTTTGTGTCGAGGTTATAGATGTATCCTCAAGCTCGGCAGCAAAGGGGGAATTGACAGAGGAAATTGGAGTCTCGAAGGAGGGTGTTCCTGACGGCAGATCGAAGACCGAGTCGGCAGAGGAATATGGGGTAAATGAATCGGAGCTACACGATGGTTGCTGTATGTGTCTAACGGAACCAAAATCATGGTACTGACTCTCAGGCATGAGTAGACTCAGTCTTGGTACTGCTTCGGGATTGCTGGATTTCCGGGGACGGTAAGGCAGAACAGTTGAAGGCCGTTGAAATTCGACGGATATTTTCGGCATAGCTACTGACTTAGATACCGACTGTCTGTTGACGAGATTTGTTCGTGCGAATTCCCCGGAACTCATCTGTGACACCACATGAGGCATTGTGCCCGTGTGTGAATAAGGTCCCTCGGAGATCGTGAGTGTCCCTCCGATCAATAAGTGTCCAGATTCCGCTGGGCAATGTCCCAAAGGAATGGGAATTGCGAGAAATCATATATCGAGGAGCCCGCGGCGGTAATGCATTCCCAAATATCTCCTGGTGAGAGACAAAGGCAAAAAGAATTCGGTGTCAGCCGTTCTCTAAAACCCTACGGCTGCAGCAGAAATTCGGAATGGGCACCTCAGAGATCAGTTGTGCAACTGTCACAGGCTTGGGTACAGTCTCAACTATAAGACATATTGAAGGATGCAAAGTCAGATGCAGTCAGACCTGATATGCAACCCCCACAACATCAAGGAATGGGTCATGTCCTGGCGAGACAGCATAATGATCATTGCAGCGAGTCTTTATCCACTAAACGGCCCCAATCGACTTCGATGGGTCCGAGATGAGGGAGTCTTAGATAGGACAAGGCTCTCCAAGTTGGGTGTTACCAGTGAGAATCTTCGCATAAACTTTGAAGTGAGAGACAGTAGCCGCTCAAAGATGTGACCAGGGTTGCAGTCAGGGCCGTCACCAACAGTTGGGTGGCTTTTGCACATAAGGATTGGGTAAGGAGTGAGCACTGGAGATAGAGTGATATGCACATCGTGCTATTGTTGGGATGTACGGGTGAAACTCTACAGGGCCTCCACGCGGTCAGCCTGTCCCTGACTATACATGGGGCTGGAGAATTGGAGTATCGCTAGTATTTCTTCAACTGGATCGCTGCGAAGTAATGCAATCAGATCTACCGGAAAATTAGAGACAGCAGTTTAAAATTTAACGTAGAATAGAAATTATAGGCACTGAGGCTCTGATCAGTGCTGTTATATGAAATTCAAGAGTTGATCGGTGAGGTTGTGGATGCCGCAGACAACGGTCAGCGTGGTTGACGTGTTGTTTCAAAAGAGCAAGCCTCTCAAGCAGAGGTCCTACCGTAAGCCGACAGACCGGATGTGGTCTAGTATAATGCTTTGGCGCCTTGATTGATTGGTTGGCGAACTTCTGTAAATATACGGTGTAGCTTTAACCAACAAGGCCCGCGCAATTGATAGAGAGTGTCCATCAAAGAATGCTAACCTCGGAATCGACGTCTACAAAGAGCCAAATAATAAAAAGGCAAAATCATAAAACTAGAACGGAAGTGACAGTACCTCCAGAGACCATTCAAACCTTTCCTCTAAAGCATTAAACACGGTACACTGCGTTGCAATATACCCAATAATTATCGAGGTCGTTGGATGCTAGATATGCTCACCCCGCGTATATTTAGACGCACGGCTAGGTATTTGTGGGCTGTGAAGCTGTTCGCGCTTCAACGCCTCATTTTTCGGCCTTGTCAGTCTTGTCCACCACGACTCTCGCACGCGCAGTTAAAGTTGGCATGGAGGCTCACAGCCCGTCCCGTTCCGATAGGCCGGAGAATCGGAGGCATCGATCCAGATCTACTGACTCGGAGGAGGAAAGACGCAGAAGGCGCAGAAAGGAACGTCGTGAAGCGACCGTACGCGAAGCTGTCGAGTTATCGAAGAACCATACTCGTCGGCGCGATGACAGTCGTGAACGCGACTACGGGCGGGATAGACATGACGACAGAGACCGGGAACGTCGGAGGTCCCGCAGTCCAGAACACAGATCCCCTCGACGACGGCACGACGATCGAGACTCCAAGTATAGAAGCAGGAGAGATCGATCACTAGACTCTCGAGATCGAGATGGCCGATCATCACGAGAAGGCTCTTCAGGCCAGATTAGTCGGAGGAGCAAAGGACCGTTGCCATCACAAGCTGCGTCTTTCCAGGCGGACCGGGACCCAAGGGCTCTTGTAGCAGGAGGGAAGGAGACACAGGAGAAACAAAAACCAAACTTCGCTCCCACCGGTCTTCTCGCGGCAGCATCCAACTCGGTAGCACAGGCCGATGGCACATCCATTGTCCTCAAGTACCACGAACCACCGGAAGCACGCAAGCCTCCTGCAAAGGACGTATGGAAACTATTCGTGTTCAAGGGGGCGGATATTGTGGACACAATTGAGCTTAGCATCAAGACGTGTTGGCTCGTGGGCCGTGAATTGGCTGTAGTGGATCTGCCGGCGGAACATCCGAGTGTCAGCAAGCAACATGCGGTGATTCAGTTTCGATATGTGGAAAAGAAGAACGAGTACGGAGACAAGTTGGGAAAGGTCAAGCCATATCTCATCGATCTTAATTCTGCGAACGGCACATCGCTCAACAAGGAGGAGATTCCCCCAAGTCGATATGTCGAGTTACGAGACAAGGACATGATACAGTTTGGGCACAGTACGAGGGAATATGTGTTAATGCTCTCGCCGAACTAGGCGCGCCAGCGAGTATTTGAGGGCAAGGCAGGATGACTTTTAACATCAGGTGGCCTTGCCCTGTCAATATCTGTGCTCTACGATCTAAGTCCGTACATGACGATGTTGGCTGTGCAAGCAGGGAAGCAGGGTCATGGAGCCTCCTTCGTGGACCAAACCCTTTTCGGAAACTGGGGGAGTTGCGCATAGGTACAAATGACTGCTCCACTGAGCCCTGCTGACTCATGGTTCACGCCTTCGTGTGTTGCTCATTCGGTGCCCCTCATTCTGCGCATAGCTCCCGCGCCCCCCGCAAGGACCCGCACGGGACCCGGAAACCATCAAATTCCCGATAGGTGCCGAGAATCAGCCTCATCTGATGTTCCACGTAGATCTTCTGGTTGGGGATATGGGATTCGTCGAGCAGATCCAAGATGAGGGAAGCCTTGGGCAGCCTCGCAGGGCAAATCTCCCGGAATAGGCAACTCTTCAAGGAGCCTCGAGGTGGCAGTGCGCCTCAGCGAGGAAGCTGAAAAGGGGGACGAAGAGAGGGCGAATGACCGGGGAGGATTCAAGACAGATCAAGTAAACCACGTCCAATCATATCATGTGCCCTTTCCCAATACTTGAGCTCTGACAAGAACGGGTCTTCACCCATAGTGCAAAGCAACCACATGCATCTCGCGCGAACAAGGCAGCTTTCTTCTTGAACGCTGTTACCTCATGACATTAGGTGCAGTCAGTCTTCTACAGAGTCCTCACGATGTACCTCTTTGCTATTGGTATTGCTACCTCGGTATTGCTGTTGCTATTTATTATTAAGTGTCACATCCCTGTTCGACCCTGCGCCCCGCGGTGCCCTCCCGCAGACCCCTGCATGCGAACCCCTCCCCCGAGACATGGCCTTTCAGCTGACTGCTGACTGCACGAATCTCTCTTCTCTTCTGCCTCCTCGCGAACCTCCCAATGTCTTGTCTTTCAGGTCTTTCCTCCACACCACAACTACTCACTGTTCATGTGGCGCACCCATTGTCTAGTAATCCCTTGTGACTAAGATAATCAATCACCTTGCGCCTGCCACGCTCGGGTACACCGAGCTGGAGGGCTTGATTACTACAAGACGACGCCCGGTAGGCAGACATTCCTGTTCTGGCCACCGGGGCGATCGCTGAACGCTCTCTACGTCAATCATCTGAATGGCCACGGATATCGATCGAACTCTTTAGGACTATATCAAGGGCCTCCTCTCGGTTCTCCAGAAAGAACCGCAGATAACAAATCAAAAGCATGGTAAGTCCATGCTGAACCTGTGCTCTGCATTCGAGAGGGAAGAAGCATAAGCCTAATGGCGTGGGGTCAGGGCTCCGCTATAAATCTCGACGAGATCAAACGATTTGAAATCACCGAAGTCTATGCACACCCCGATGCCAAAGTCGATATAGTCCTCGTCCATGGGTTGAACGGAGACCCGCGCAGGACATGGACGGCTTCAAATGGGGTCTTCTGGCCGACGCAGCTTCTGCCCATTACGCTGAAGTCTGCACAAGCCCGGATTTTGGTCTACGGCTACAATGCGGACGTTTACGCTTTTGGTAACAGTCGGAGCGCAAGGTACGTTGAACCTCCACCTACCGTGGCCTTTGCTAATCGAGCAACAATAGTTCCGAAATGATTCATCATCATGCGCAAACTCTACTCTCGAATCTTGCACTTGAGCGAAAGAGCGAAGAAGTGACACACCATCCCATAATATTTGTGGCACACAGTCTTGGAGGAATACTAGTCAAGCGCGCTCTGGAGATGTCGGAACAACTTGGAGGGAAAAGCGCGGATGACCTACGGTCGATATTTGTCTCGACCTATGGAATCATGTTCCTCGGAACACCCCACAATGGGGCGGATCCGGCAAAATGGGGTTTGATTCTCCAAGGAATGGTCAATGCGTTAGTTCCCAAGAAAGTCATCGATACGGAAGCTCAGCTGGTCAAAACACTGCAGACCAACAATGAAACGCTGCAGAATATCAACATCAATTTCCTCGATATGGTCAATCGGTTCAAAATCTGCATGGTCCATGAAGCCGTTAAGACCGATCTCAAGGGTACAAAGGCATTTATTGTCGACAAGGATTCGGCGGCTCCGCTTTTACCTGATGTAGTGTATTTTGGGATTGAAGCCACACATTCAGGGATGTGCAAGTTCGAAAGTAAGAACTCTCCTGGGTACTTGGCGATTTCAACGACCATCAAATCCTGGTATTTTGAATATTTCGTAATTTTGATCCCTACGCACCTTTAATTCATCCAACACGTTCGCCAAACGGACAACGTCCCGGTTGTCAACCATTGAAATAAAGCTGATGATTTCAAATAGGGTTCAAGAATGTATTCCTGTGATCCAAGCTCGACAGCATTTTGAGGTTATGACAAGGAGACAAGAGAAGAACTTCCAAGCCGATGAGATTAGGGGAACATTTGTAAGTTTTTGCTCCTCCTCCCACTTGGCAAGGGTCAAGTCCTCATAAGCCTCTCAATCACCAGCATGATTAGGTTGATTTTGGGTCCGAGTTGACCCGGGTCCTTGATTTCCTCATGAATATTTGACCAATCATCTGATTCTGTCCAGTGATTGTACAGGCTGTGACTTGACCCGGAAATGGTCGGGCCTTGCACTGCTCCGTTACTGATTTTATCTAGGGACTGACAACAGCCCAAACGTCAAAGAATTCAAGTCCCGGTATGTTGTCACAAGGGGACAGTTCCCAATTTCATAATCCTGGGCGCATTGAACAAGGACCTCCGAGAACAAGATTCGAATTTGAGGTTGCGGAGGTAGAGGAGGCGGACCTCGAGATGGCTAGCAATCAATGAAAATTCTTCGCGTTTATACCAACTGGAAAGATTTCTGGATTATTTTCCCTTTCACCATTATGTGCTTATGTTCGTTGGTGGACTGGGCTGATTCTTTTTATGTAGATCCATCCTCAGTAAATAATTCTACAGTTATGGTCACAACAATCGATATTAGACCTGAATCAGATGATGACCAGTCACTCAACACACCATACTTCATCAAACCATCTGGGTTTCGTCCAAACTCTCTTTCTGTCGGCCGGCAAACTCAGCTTGAAGACCTGCACAAGATGTTATTTGATCGAAAAAGACGAAAAGAGGGCACATCTGCTACCCTGATCCAATCAATGCCCGGTGGAGGAAAGACACATCTAGCGCGGGAGTACGTATATGCGCACAAAGATGACTTCCCAGGAGGCATTTTCTGGGTACGAGCCAAGAGTCAGACTGAATTTGCTGCCGGTTATTGGGACATTGCGCGGAAAGCAGTTCTCAAACATGCATCTAAGGATGGTATCAATACCTTCGAGGATCCTGAGCAATTCATGAAGATGGTCAAAAAATGGTTGAAACACCGTCGTGATTGGTTGATGGTTATCGACGGCATCCGCTTTGACAGTATGGCAGATCTACAACGCTTTATTCCTGACAGCAGAGATACTTGTCTGATATATACATCAACGGAGAAATCTGCCAGCGGAGACCATCACTGGATGAACCCCCAACTTATCAAGCTACCACTTCTTTCGGCGAGAGAGGCACAAGAGCTGTTATTGTTGGAACTTGACAGAAAGAAGCCATTCTCAACGGATGATTTGAAGCATTCGATGGAGTTGGTTCAGTACATGGGACTCTTACCCGTAGTCATCCATGCTGTCGCACAACGATTAAAGGCTACCGATGAACCATTGGCCAAATTTGCTCGCTCCTATGCATCTGAACCCAGACTTCGAGGACTCGATGCCTATATTGCTGTTGTGGACCAGTTGAAGCTCTTGGCAGCTCATCAAGCGCTGAACCTCATGTATATTCTATCCTTTTTCAGCCAGTACATCCCGGTTGAGATGATCTCTCTTGGTACGAATCTCCTTCTCTGCTCCTCCTCGTCACCTGGGCAGTTGCTAACTCTTTATAGGCCTCAAAGCGCTCGATGTCCCTGTAAAGACTTATAATCAGTTCTCTGGCCGCACATTGAACAACACGTTCAGGATTTTGAACATGTTTGCACTCATCGAGCGAAACGAGCATGATTCATCCCTTCATTCGTCGCAGAGCTCGAAAGGTAGCAGAGAAATGCTCGCTGATAACATCGATGTGATCAGGCTTCACAGTGTGGTCCAAGGCTTCTTCTCTGATACACTCTTGGCAGACAAGGATCACAAGGCTTTTCCCACGTGGCTTGATAGAGCTGTCCGAGTCTTTTGCTGTTCATACGATATGGCCAGCGAGCGAATCGCACGAAAAACAAACGCCGGACTTGTCGAGGACTATCGGCTCTACGAAATCCACGGCATTAGACTTCGAGAACATATCACTCGGCATGAAAAGAAGATACCAATGGCCGATACACTTGCCATGCTAGATACTCGACTCATGAGGATTAAGCATGAAATCGAACAGAGAACTCCGGAATCCTCAACTTTCATCGCGGGTGGCGGGCCACACGTGTTTCAAACTTCGATATTCGACCGTACTAGCAGCTCTTCAGATACTGGTCCCGAGACTCCAGGAGATTCCGACAGAGGACCATCAAGGGTTTCTACATGGGGTCTTGATCCTGATCAGATTCAGCACGAATCTCCAACTGAGATCCACCATCAAGACTTAGGTCTCAAGCTTGAGAACCATTTCCCACCCCAGGTCCAAGACGATACTGGCTATGACAGCGATTTAGAAGTGACAGCCCAACCCTCTCCCCGTACCATCAAGGCGCAAGAGTCGCCAACTACTTCTGACGGCATATGGGAAACAGTCCCACCTCGTCGAAAACCTCGTAGTACGCGCTTGAACCTTGGAGACCATCGCACAACGAGAAATCTAGGAAGACAGAAATACAGCGACAGAGCAGGCTCATTTCGCTCCCTGAAAACCGTCGATCCACGCACCGTCGGTGCTCTAGTCACTCGTGAGACGGCTCGCGGATACTTATATAATAACTCTTCTCGCCCGCAATCTGATGGGCAGATCCCAGGGCAATCGAATGCGGAGGTTGCATTGATACATATTTCGCAAACCAGCCCACCGCCTGTTCGTGACAGTGGCACGAATCAAGATCGTCGATCACTGCCTCAGCGCTCGAATGACCGAGAAAGATCAGTTGCAGGGACAGCTTCATACGCTGCTGCTGTGTCTAGTCGTGCGCGCGATGCAGTTACCAGGGAAGATCGGTCAGTCAGTGAACCGCAAATTGGCTCAAATGAGAATAAGCGCACCTCGACTCTTGAGCAGCAACAGAGTTCAACAGTGAAATCTCTCAAACAATCTCCTGTTTCAGTGGGTGAGCAGCCACCAAAGTCGAACACACCTCGGGTGCCGTTTACGCCTATGCCGCCTTATCCACTGACCCCAGAGTTCGAATATCAACTCCAGTATCCACAGTCAGATATAAATTTACATCAGCTATCTGCGCGACACAGCCAGGATCATCTACTGAAAGAGCCTAATCTAACACTTTCCGGTGCATACCCGCGCCTGAATGGTCCAGTTCCATTCGAGAGGGTGGATACCCCTTCTATCCCCAGGGATTACGGTTCCCAACGAGATCATCCGGGCCAGCATTCTCATACAAACCCAGAGAGTCTACAATCATCTATCCATGCTGAGCAAAAGTCACACTTTCTCTCGCTTTCTTCGCCAAACATTCGTCCAGGACGGGAAGAAACATATTATCCTGGGCACCCGGAATTTTCGTCCCATGCTCAGACTCATACCTATGAAGAAGGATACACCTCACAGCCGATGTCGAGGGATCCAAGTGGACAATCAGCGCATTCCGAACATTCTCATCAATCTCGCTCTTCCCATGTTACGGAAACTGGTAGGCGTCGTCCATCGTTGGCAGAGACGGAACCTCCCCCTCAGCTGCCAGACTTCAGTCCAAGGTATTCGCCTACCAGTTACGAGCTCTATGAACGATGGCGGGATTATCGAGAAAGGGTATCCGTAAGGACTAATTCACGGTTGGAGTTCTCGAAACTCAGTGAGCGAGTGGATGCGTGGACACTCACTGACCGTGAGAAGTAAGACTTCCCTTCCCCTTAACCCTGAGAATATGTAAAGGCTAATATCAATATTGCACAGTACCCCACCACCACCAAAAGCACCCTCAAAAACGCAGTTCAACCCCGCCGCTCCCTGCTTCACGCCTTCGTCTTCCTTCAGATATTCTCCAAACCCACCACCAACCGTACCACCCAACAGCCTATTTTCCAACGCCTCCAACACGACCTCTCAATACGCTTCCCCGCTCGTGCCACAAGCCCGTAATACAAGTCCTCGCTCCTTCCACTCGACCTCGACCTCACAATACCCAGCACCCCCTCAACCACCCCACACAACGACGACGAGCCCTCAATCCTTCCACTCCCAATCCTCACACACCCCATCAAACCAGCCCCAAGCCCCCCACACCATTACACCCCAATCCTTCACTTCCGCATCCGCAGCACCCAGCGCTGAAGAAATGCGCAGCACCAGCTCGCGATCCGGAGGAATCCGCGTCGCCCAGCGCACACTCATCAAATTCGGCGATTTCCCAGAACAAATCGCGATCTTGGATGCAGGGGCCGAGAGGAGAAGAAGTATGGAATACTTGTCTTATATAAACGATGATGCTGAACAGCAGCCCCCTGCTGCTGTTGGGTTGGGAATTAGTTAGTTCGGTACGACAATAGCTATGTGTGTATGGTATGTAAGGTATGTAAGGTGGCTAGCTGGGTAATTGGGCGGGCTTGTACTTTATATATAAATTATATAATTCGCACTACCCCTTTTTTTGACGTCTTTGAACCTTCTTCTTCTGCAAAGGCGAGGATATGGATGGAAGTGTGGCATACCTTACCCGCGTATTGCCAGTAAGAGGAGGGTGTTGCAACGGAATCGACTACTGCATTGCAAGTTTATGTAGCAAGAATTGAGAGATAAATCGTAGAATGATTAAAGCAAAGCTGGGTGGGTTGTCGATCGAATTATAGTTGTGGTTGTGGTTGTGGTTGTTGTGGAAAGAGAAGAAGACTGAACGAAGTCTTGTCGCTTAATCATGTAACAGAGAGAGGTTCGCAAAGATTGAATGAATCTCAAAAGCTGCTGGCAAAACTGGCAGAATTGTAAAAATTGCTTTTTTAATTTTGGTCCATTTCTACGATTCGGTCTATATTCTACTGCTCTATGCGATGATCTCCTCGACGCAGTAAATGCCGTATTTCTGGACAAAAAAATCAAATTAATAGAGTGAACTCGTGCAAAGGAAGTGTTGCTTACCTTGAGCTCCTTCATCAGGGGATCGTTGATCTTGCTGTTCATCGGTGCGAGAACACCCTTCTCAGAGATGGTTCCATCCAGAACTTGCTTGACGGCAACACCGCATGGGACGCCAACTATTTCCTGTTAATTACTATTCATCATTACGCTTTCGAGTGGAAATGCTCACCAAGCTTAGCCATGGCCGAGTATCCAGCCGGGTTACCATACTCGCAGAGAGTTGAAAGTCTGGTCTGCTTGGTTCCGTCCTTCAGTTCAACCTCAAACTTGTGTTGCAGCCTTCGCAGTGTTAGCATTACACTTTCAGAACATACCACGTGCAAATCATGTGGCAATTGCACCCAAGACATGTCTTGGCACCCCAACTGTATCGGAATAGCAGATGGTCCACTTACATCACGAGATCGCGTTCACCCTCGCCGAATTGCATCTTCTTCTCGAGGGTGGCGCAAAGGGTATCAAGTGGGTTTCCTCTCGGGGTGATCTTCAACCCTGCGGTGTCAGTGGCAACTCTTCAAAGAAGGTCTCGGGTGCTGGTATAATGTCTAAGGTGCACTCGCATCCGGTTTCTTGCGGCCAGAACCCAGAACAAGCGGAAAGGGGAAAACAAAAATGCTTACTTTCTCGTCAGAGAAAATTCCAAGCCATTTGAGGCCGGCCAAGAGCCGCTCCTTTTGCTCGTTGTCCTTGAAGGTGGCCTTGGAGGAGATAGCCCAGGTGAGGTCCTTCTCGCTCGATGACGAAGCACCGAGGATCTTCTGCGTGGCCTCCTTCCAGGGGATCGGTTCCTTCAAGCAGCTTTGCTCCTCGTCACTAAGGAATCCCATATCGACAAGAACCTTGACGAATTCTGGGAAGCCTGCGTATCTTAGAGTACCTCTTGATACGTGTCAGTAATACGTATAGCCTAAAAGCATCCTGAGAAGTATACCTGATGATAGTTTGCGCCTCTGGGATGTTGTAGCGCTCCTTGTATGGGGTGGAGTCTCTGTTAGGGTATGCAACGAAAGCAAATCCTTCGATCCTACGGTGTTAGTATTACTGTTCAGAGAGAGTCTCAGGTGTTGAGACATGGTCCCAGGTGCAAGACCACATTTTCAAACACACTGTGAGCGCAGGGTTGCTTACCTGGGTAGATGTGGTATGGCTTAGCAGTGGCCATCAAATCTTCGACCCTGCTGTGTTAGCATTATTCCACCAAAAAAGTCTCGGGACAGTGTCCTGGTTCCTATTTGTTTCGAGATACAAAATGTTCCAGTACGCAGGGATTCGTACCTGGGCCTGCCACATTGACAATCTTGCCATCTTGATAAAAGCTTGCAGCGTTTCTCAACGCAAGCAAAACACCACGGGATGACCTTCAAGCCTACGGTGTTAGCATTACTCTTCCAAGAAAGTCGCGGGTGCCGAGATAGTGTTCCAGGTGCAATACCACGTTCAAAACATGTGGAAATTGCACCCAAGACAGTGTCGGCACCCAAATTGTGTCGGAATAGGAAAATTATCCAGGGTTTCTTACCATGAGAACTTGTATCCCAATGGGTTTCCAGAGTTCTCTGGTGCTGGTAGACCTCCACAGTATGACAAGAATGATGTGATCTTTCCTCCTGCTTTGTGGACGTCTTCAATGGTCTTGATTGCGTCTGAAGTGAATTAGTGTGTTGTTCTAAATCGAATCATGCAATATTTATAACTTACACAAGTGATCAATTCCGGGGTCAAGGCCAATCTCATTCATGACTGTAATTCCTGCGTCCTTGCATTGTTGATCAAGCTCCATCATGGCTGGTGAGACATAGCTGGTGGTGACAACATGCTTCTTCTGTCTGATCGCAGACTTGATGACAGTAGCGTGGAGGGTGTATGGGATCAGACTAATGACCAGATCGTGCTTGGCAACCTCAGCGTCGAGAGCCTTCTCATCGGTGACATCGAGGGCAATTGGTCGTGCGAGCTTCACACCTTCTGAAAGCTTCTTGGCACTCTCGAGAGTTCTGCAAGCTGGAATGTATTAGGTGATGCCGGAGTATGCCTTTGCGACTGGAAACTTACCAACAGAGACTTCAATGCCAGAATCACTGAGGAGGTCAAGAGTGGGGCGGGTAACGAAGCCAGCGCCTGGACAGCTACAAGTTAGCCCTCAATTTCTCCATATTTATGTGTCCAGACAAAGAATGTAAATTTCTCCAAGAGTGCGCTGGAAGTACGCAGAGGCGCGGGGTTGTTCTTGAAGACGTCGCTTTTGGCAATGAGGGGTAAGTATTCGTACCCAGCATGAGAACTTTGCTGAAACTTTTGTCAGCCATTGAAAAGCACGAATGGGCTCCAGTACTCACTGTGATGGAGCCATGGTTGCAAGTGTTGAGGTGATCAAGACTGGCAGTTCTGTAGATTTGGAGAGGGGTTTGGAGGGGACTGCTTTGATCGCTTTTAGTTCGAGTGTGCCCGCTTGACGCAGTCGGCGTTTTTTTGATTCAGCTGCCGATCCCGGAGTCTCGCCAAATATTTAGTGGCCTCAGGTTAAGACGTCAAACGAGTGAAGAGGCTGCGTAAATCAGCGGAAAGAAGCAGGCCGAAAACGACAATAACTAGAAAATGTTACAAGTAGTCACTGGCATTTGCCAACGTGGGGAGAATTGCAGTTGGTCATATGACCTTCGCTAAGATTTCCTTTGTTTACTTTTGCTATATACCTAAGCATAGTGTAGGATTACTTATTAGATTCCAATCGATGGAAAATATTCTTGATCAATTTTGTTATTGACTTATAAGATTAAGTACTGTGGAAAGTTTTTAAGTAAATAAGTAATTGACCAGAGGAGATCAAATAATTGAGTGGTTGTTATAACTTACTCAATAATTGACAGGATTGTAATGTGACTAATGTCCTGGTTCATATTCGACTCGGGTCACTAGGTAGTTAATAATTGACTGGAAGATAAGGACTAAATAGTGGAACTCAAATTCTCTCTTGGTTTGCAGCACGGTGTGTGAGTAGACAAAGAACCCACGATCTCAACCGATGGATAGACTCGGGATATAAGGCCTGACCACAAGTTGTTCGATTCTGATAGCGTTTCTCCTCAAGCTATTCCTAATGTCGAGATCTCCCCCTGCTCGTTGACCGCTTGTACTCCGACTTTATATGAAGCTTTCCATCGTAACTTCACCGAGTCACCTTTCCCTTGTTCCACCCCGTTTAGGTATATAACCTGCTTTACACCTCCTTGTTGGTGTGGTTGTAAATGCCGCCCGCTTTGCGGTTGCAGCTTAAGTGAGTATCCCTGCCAATATAATTAGATATTTACACCGGAATAAAACAGTAGTGGACTTGCCTTAGTCACTGCCGCCATAAATGTTAGCTCCGATATGGGTTGATCTGTTTTATTTGAAAATGTCAACGACATTGTGATCACTGTTGGCATTGATGGTTCTCGGGTCACGAATAAAGAAATGCTCAAACTTGTGTCGTTGACCAAAATGGTATTGGAGGATGGGGGCCCTTCTGGCAACGCAGAGGAGAATGCCCATTCATCATCATCTGCAGCAGCTGCTGGTGGAGCGGAGTTGTTTACAGGCGGCTGGGGAGGAGTGAAATCAAAAATAGACTTCTGAGATTGTTGGGGCGTTGACTGTCGCATTGTAGACGTCAGAGCGGCAAAGGGGTCAGCAGGAGGGCTTTGGGGCTTCGCAGGCTCGATCGATTGTTGCTGGAATAGTGATGGCTGCGGAGTTGTAGATTGAGGGATAGGCTGTGATGAGCCAAAGGAAGAAAAGGCAGAATAATCGGGTTTTGGTGGTACCTGTGGTGCTGGTGGTGACGGAACTGGCGACCTCGTAGGTGTCGGTCCTCTTGCAGTGCTGTGTTCGGTCGTCGAAGAAATCAATGCAGGACCAGGAATATCTAAAACAATTAGCATTCGCGTCCGAGTTCATATTTGATCATGACTTACTTGTGTTGTTTCCAAATCCCAGAGAAATCCCGCCGCCTTGCCCGTAAGAGCCGCCTCCCAAAGAAAGTCCCAGCAGATCATCCTCGAGTCCTCCAGAATTCGACGCTGCCACAGGGACGGCGGAACTACTCCCATTCGTCTCCTCACCCCCAAAATCGATCAACGAGAGCTCATTTGCAGCATTTTTGCCAACACCCGTGGTCGTTCCCAAAGTCCCCTTTGCGATCTTCGAGGCTGCATTCACGTCTCCCTTCTTCATTAACTTGTACCGCTCCACAGTTCTATGTATGCTGTCGTTGATTTCCAGGAGCTTTGCCACCGCCTCATGATCATCAGACTCTTCCTCGCACATTTTCTGGATCTTCGGATGCGCGCTCTGGAGTGCCGAAGCCAATTCCTCGTAAACATCGCCCTCGGTCATAGTATCGCCTGGTTGAAACGCCTCGAGACGTTCCTCCAATAGCCTGGCTTTTTGCTGAACCTTTGCAACTTCCTCAGCCGCTTTTGCGCGATAGTCAGTCTTCTGTCGGGTATCATATCCTGCCATAATCTTCATCAGTCGGTTCGCTTCTTGGAGATCTTCTGGCCCGCCACGACGAATCAACTCTTGTAGCTTGGCGGACTGTGCAGCTCTTTCTTCCTCCTCCATTTCTTCCGCAGATTTGAGATTCTGTCGTACCGTCAGCATATTCTCCATAATTGCGGCCTGTGCCTGAGCCTACGTCACTGGGATTTAACACAGCAGCATCCTCCCTCCGGACCTCTGGAAACTTATAACCCTTGTAACTGAGCAACCTATGCATATCCCTTATGAACCCTAAATCCTCCTTGTATCGTGATGTCTGACATATCGTCCCCCGCCATTCTTCAATAGCCTCCAGAATTTTCAGCTGTACCCTCGTTGGCCGAATCGGCGGGCTCTCAGGAAACCGTCGGACAAGCTCGTTAAGAAACTCTTTAGTACTAATCTGAAGATGAAAAGGGTATCCGCAATTCTTCACGCAAATGTCGAGGAGGTTGAGAGCAAGTAATGAGACGTTGGGGTTTCGATGGTTGATGTAAGCGACAATAGCAACCGCTGCTTCTCGTGGCGCATTTCCTTTTTTGGAATTGATAAGGTCTGAGATCTCGAGATTCAAAGCCAGGTTAGGCTCGTAGTTTTCGGGACTGCAAGCCTGCTGTATGTATCGTTGTAACTGGGATGGCCCCGGGTCTCCCATGACACCGAAGCGGTCCCTGGCCGCCATCCGGGCAGAGACTGCCTCCATTACCTGCACTGGAGGGTAATATCAGCGCCGAGATCCAAGATACAGGTCCAACGAGAGCCTTCTGGGTGGAGGAAGCTGGTGAAGTGAGAAGTACACCTAGTGGGGTATGGGCTTCATGTTTAGATATCCGGACAGCAGCCGGTGCACGGACCACTTTCCGAGCCTCTTGTTCACTTCAGTATTTTACCTCGATGGCAACTTTCTTCGCAAGAACATACAACAACCTCTCTACTCGACAAACAACGAACCCAACATGGTACGACATAAGAAGGACGGATTCTCATCACGAGGAGGAAAGAAATACAGCAACCCACCAAGACCAAGAGGACCGCGAAACGATGGCGAAGATGGTGAACACCCCGCATCTCGCCCCGCCTACAAAGCTGCATGCTGGGATTTAGGCCACTGCGATCCCAAACGTTGCTCAGGCAAGAAACTCATGAAAATAGGTCTCATGCGCGAGCTGCATATTGGGCAGAAGCACTCCGGCGTGATCATCAGTCCAAATGCGAAACGCACTATTTCTCCTGCCGACCGAGAGTTGATGGAGCAATTTGGAGCTGCGGTGGTGGAATGCTCATGGGCCAGAGTGAAGGAGGTACCATGGCCGAAGATTGGTGGGAAATGCGAAAGATTATTGCCCTATCTAGTGGCTGCGAATAGTGTCAATTACGGAAAGCCTTGGAGGTTAAATTGTGTGGAAGCGCTTGGCGCAGCGTTTTATATCTGCGGACATCCGGAATGGGCAGAGGAGGTTCTTTCACATTTCCCTTACGGCCAAGCATTCCTGGACATCAACTCTTCGATTTTGAAACGTTATGCTGCGTGTAAAGACGAGGCAGATATCAAGAAGACAGAGGAGGCTTGGATGGCAAGGTTAGAGAGGGAGTACGCAGACAGCAGGGCAGATGGAGAGCATGGTCTAGACACAGACATGTGGAAGGGGGGAAATACAAATCACAGAGCGCCTGTTAGCTCGGATGACGAAGACGAAGATGAAGATGAGGAGTCAGAAGGGGAAAGTGGAGAGGAAGTTGATGGGATATATCTAGGCAAGAAACCGCCAAAGGTGGAAGAAGAGCCAAAAGAGGAGAAGGATCCATTTGATATATCAGACGATGAGGATGATGAGGAGGAGATGGCGGAATTGCGACGAAGAGTCCTCGCATCTAAACCATTTACAAATCCAAAAGCCCCGGATCGGGAGAAATCCTTAGAAAGGATATCCAGACCAGTTCTCCTGAAGGAAGATTCGGATATCGAGCCCGATTCCGACAATGGAGATGACGACGAGTTTGATAACATCATCGATGCTACCCCTGTCACGGATAGGATAGGTATCCAAGCCAGGCAAAAGGCCAAAGCTTCGGAACCTATCGCCAGCGCCACATTCTCTAGGGCATTGGTTGGAGCACCCAAGAAGTGGTAGCGAATCAAGATCATTGTGTACCTATGCCTATCGAGAATGAGTGTCAAACTGCCCTTGGAACAAAGATTGACTATAGAAAGTCAATATTTGAGTAAGTCGTGGACAGTCTCTTATCGTTTGATCTTCTCTTTCAGTCATTTAAGTAGGTTATGGTTATTTTAAATCGCCTTTTATGGCGGTTTCTGAAGAATAGTATTCTTCGAAGAGCCAGGACTTGAACTGAATCCATGATTCGAGTGTGACAGGCTGTTAAGAAAAGAACTTTTCCGGCCTCCGCGGTGCCATGTACGCGGTCAATTAGATGTGCCACTTGAAAGTCCCCTGAACGTCATCCCTCACCATTAAGGCTTGTGCTAGGTCCTGTATATTTTCTTTTTGGGAGTAGTCTTCCACTCCTATAGACCGACGCCTTGCGTTTCCCTCTTGTCTGTTGAGCACGGATAGAGCTCTGGACTGGGGAGAGTCGTGGGTATGGATATTCGGTCCACTATGAGAATAGTCTGGTAGAACCCGACATAGGTTGTATACGGGGGACCTCCAGTTAGTTTGAGGCTGTTGCTGTGAGGACAGTCCCTGCCTACCTCCCTGGGACGCTCCACCATGGATGCTATAGACTAGTGGCTGTTTTGGTTGGAGGCTCTCTTCATTGCCTTTCTCCTGCATTACTTGATACTGTCTCATCTGGTTCATGAACTTTCTATATAATTTGATATTCTTTCAATCAAGTACTAAGCAATTCATGAACACCACACGCTAAATTATCTTCCTTGTCTGATCAACTGTTAAATAAGTCATGCTACATGGCTGCAGTCCGCTTTTCAAAATGGGTCACTGACGAACCGGATGGTATAAGAAACAAGCATAGTCAAAGGCTACAAGCCAATGCTCTGGGGCATGGCCTTCCTCGCGGATAGATATATTTCCAAGCTTGCGAGCGGGAATGCTCTTCATCAAGCGAAGCTTCTTGAAAAGGGGTCAATTCAAGGACGCTAAAGTTCTATGGCCGATATGTAGAACCACCTCGGTCAAAGTTTAAAGGCCAAGTGACTTCCTTTGTTGTATTTCTATCATCAGCGTCAAGATCCCATTCGATTTTTCTTACTCGCAAATATCGCATTCCAATTCAGTCAAAATCCGTTCGATCCTCAAAAGCGTCTTCTCCAGTATGTCTCTTCCACTGCCTCCACAATGGCAAGAGCCGTATCCTGGCGTCCGTCACTACTCTCTGCGCCATGAATCTCGCTCATAGTTTCATTTCTTGATATCATTGGGTTATTTCATTGGTATAATGTACCCGGTAGGATTTATCGGAATCCTCCCGGCGGCCCGATGCCGACTCGTGACTGCAACAGCCGCTGTGCCGCTTACGCGACGTCACCTAGGGTTGAAGGATTTGGAGGATTCGAAGAAGACATCCATGACTTGAAGGAGCGGGGATCTTTTCCTCTTCCTTTAATCAAGACGAATCTTCAAACCAACATAAAATATACCCGAAAACATGGCGCAGTCACCGTTGTTAGTAAGAATGGACTCCGGCCTGAGTAGCGACGATGGCTTTGATAGTGACAACTTTGACGACGACAACAACAGCATTGACAGCAAAGATATTGAACCCGCCGAATCCAGGAAGACAGTCCGGCGGCACCCCACAGACATCCAGATCTCTGATGGATATGAAACGGTGAATTTTGGAATCGCGGTGAAATCAGACGAGCCATATTCCCCCGACCCATTCGCGATCAACTATCGAAAGACGACGGATTGGGATGCAGCCGCCAAAGCACAATGGCAAAGGGAATGGTGGTTTGTTCCTAACCTCATCGAGAAATATGAGAGTGTGGAGCATGCCGAGTTCACAAGACCCTTTGACCAATTCCGGGTCTTGCTTCAGGTTAAAACTCTCTCCCTTGTTCAACAGGAACCCTGCATGCTAATAATGACAGGAACGCGGGCTCTACGAGAAATACGAGTATCTGTTCAGCCACGCACCAGACGCAGTGACCAGGTCATGCAACGTGATGAATATGCTCTTGGAGGAGGCCCCAGATCTCATTGTGAGGTATGCAGCACTTGAGAAACTCATGAGGGAGCGAATCGCGGATATGGAGAGTGGCAAGAAAGCTTCCTGGGAGTTGGCGTGGGAAAAGCGGAGAGCGGCGGAATTCAGAGAAGGGAGAAAGATCTGAGATGGGCGGTCTGAGGGCGTTAGGGGATATATATAATGTACTTGATGATCCCGAATGGGTGCGAGGTTGGGCGATAATTCTCTAATCATCATATCTAATACTAATTATTTGGCTCTATTCTTTCCAGTCAAATCACTGACGACCTGTATATCTAGAGGGATTCTTTCGGACCACTCCATGCTCGAATATGAGGAAGATACTGGCTGCCGCGTCTCAACACTTGTCCAAGCCCGGTGAATCTTGGACGGATTCGAACACGACTTCTTCAAATCAACATCGACTTTCCAAATTATCCTGCTGCCCCCGAGTTCTTCCATCCCAGGAAACTCTCTCTTTAAGAAAACCCGGTATCAACACGTGATCCACCTAACGCGGCAGCATCTCGTAAGTCCGCAAAGAAACCGCATCTTTTGACGATCTCACGTCGTGTGATTTGATTAACGTACCTATCCGCATAATTATTGTGGACCTACAATTCGCAGCAAATCCATCACCCTTTTTGACTCTAGCGTAGGATTTTCATTTATTATTATTCCCATCATCCGTGCAGAAAGAAGCAAAAAACAAAAAAACAAAAAGCAGCCTAACCTAACGTTTGGGTTCCCCACAAGAGCGGATCCCCCCCTGAGTTTAAAAAGACTTCATGCTTACACTAGCAAATCGAGAAGTTTTTGTCGATATACTACACATCGTCGAGATTTGAGCGAGGAAATTCAAACGTCGAGATGGACTAGGTATTGACTCGGTTGTTCTTGATTTATTACATCGATCGCTGCTCGGGCGCGTCGCGTCTTGGGGAGAGAGAACTGATTATATATGGACATCTCATTTATCGTTCAACTACCTTCTACGACTGCTATATCAATGGTCCTTTTTTTATTTTTGACGTCTCTGGAAATCAAATCTGGACCCGAGTATCGAGATGCACGACTTTTGAAGGATGTTTTGGGTCTTAAGATCGATGAGGTGGTAAGTGATTGATTGTTATTGGCAATTCTTTTTCATCGAGGCTTGGGAGCGACAAAGCTGTATGTATCCCGAAGCTGCAAAACGAAAGAAACGCGTGGAGTCTGTCTCGAGATGCAAAAGAAAGAGTCACGGTGCCTGTTAGCTTCCAAGGGGATATGATCGGCTGGCCTTCAACAACCGGTCGTTGCGTCTTCTAGGAATCGTTGAATCGCTCTTGGAGTATGCGTTGACGCCGTCGAGTATGCTGGACATTTTCTAAGTAGATCATTTGATAGCGCGGTGGTGTGTGTGGTGCTCAGATGTCAAGATATCAAGTGCAGCGCAGGACAGTTCCAGCGTCTGGGAATATTGACAAGTCTCAGGGGAATAAATGCAGTGAACATCAATGGTGTATCGCACCGGGAGATGCTAAATCTTATCATGTCCTGTCATGTCACTTGGGGAGTCCCAAATCTAAACCAATATCAACTTCCACATCCAAGGTGAATCCAAGCACAGAATCAAAAACATCAATCCTGACTATATCCATTAAGATAGCAATTAATTAATTATTTCCAGATCCAAATCCAATCAACCAAACACCACTCGCACCAAATCCCAAATCCCAAAACCCAAAACCAAATCCCAATATCAGATCTCAGTACACTCAAGATGAACATTCCAATTCCAATTAACAATCACCACTTCCATCCCAGCTCACCCTCCCCACCATCCCGTCTCCCCCGTTCAATATCCACGTCCGCACCCTCCCTCGCTCTCGCCTCCCTCCTTCTTCTTCTTCTCCTATTCAGCCAACATAGGAGTCCGAACAAGAGGATGCAGAATATCGGGAGTGCGATCGCGATTATGAGATTCGTGTTTCGCGCTTGTATGCTTATCTCGCTCCTCCTCTGGGCTATGCGAATCTCGGGGGTGGTCTCATCATACACACTCTGTATTTGCTGCCCCCTCCTCTCCAATTTCCCCTCCTCTTTCTCTTTCTCCTTCACTTCCACAATCTCAATCACATTCTTCTTCTTCCCCCCATCCCCCTCCCCCTTCCCCTCCTCCTCCCCCTCCTCATTCTCCCCTTCCTTCTCTTTCTTAACCTCAATAACCTTCCTCCCCCCCTCCTTCACCACCTCCACCACCAACAACCCCCCTCCCTTTCCCTTTCCCTTTCCCCTCCCCCTCCTCCCGCCATTCTTCTTAACCTCCTCAACCTTCAAATCCATCGCCGACCCCAACCTTCCCTCTTTCCCCTTATACCGCATCCAATCGGGCAATCCTTCAATCTCTGGATCGTAGATGGTCGGCATCTCGAGATATTTGCAGCCTCGATGGTGGCGCGCGTGGGGAGGACACGTGTATTTCTTGGGCCGTGGCCAGAGATAACGCCAGTTTTGCGGCTTGCGAGAGCCGTGTGGGTGCTTTTTCCAGGGCGGTGGGAGGGTGGGGTCTGGAAGCTCGGCGGTGCGGGGGTGGAGGGAGGGGGAGGAGTCTTGAGATGATGGCTCTGCTGATGGTGGATCTTCATGTGTTGATGACTCTGTCGATGCCTCCTCCCCATTCTCCTCTGCTTTCTCTTCTGTTGTCGACTCCTCCTCTGCTTTCCCATCCCCATCCCCCTCCCCATCCCCATCTCCACCATCCCCCCCATCCTCCCCCCCATCCTCCCCATCCCCATCCCCCTTCTCCTCTGCTTTCACTTCCTCCCCATCCCCCTCCTCACCCCCCTCCTCCCCATCCTCCTCACCCTCCTCACCCTCCTCTCCCTCATTCATAATCAACCTCTCCCTCTCCTTCCTCCCCCTCTCCCTCTCACTCTGCTCCTGCTTTCTGCGTTTCTCCCGCCTTTCCTCCCATCCTTTCATCATCTTCTTGCCGAGCCATATGCCGCCGCCGAGGAGTTCGAAGGCCATTATTTCTCTTACTCAAAATGTTCTCACTCTTAAAAACTTAAAGAGTCTGGGGAAAAGAAAATCTGGGGAAGGGAATCTGGGAAAAAAATCTGGGAAAGAAGAAAATCTCGGGAATGGAAAGAATAAGAGGAAACGAAAAGGAAACGAACCTCTATATAACAAACCCACACAGCAAAAAAACCAAGGAATCCAATCTATGGATCTGAACGAACGGCTAACCTATCCATCATACAAGCCCGAGATGGTGGGCCGGTGGCAGGACCGGGCCCGCGGTGGGAAGCGGGCCGTGGGGAGGACCGGGGGTGGGGGACGGGATGATGAGGAATGGGTTTGTGGATGGTTTTGTTGAGCGTGAGGATGAGGATAGGTTGAGTTGGGAAGGTGGTGATGATGATGATGATGGGCTGGATGAGAATCGAAGTTGGGATTCAACGGTACGTGCTTTGACTTCATTTATTCTGGTAGAGCTAATCTAAGCTAGACATGATTAAACCATCGCATCCTACACCATAACCCCTTACCGGACACAGTAACCTCCGTCGATTACGATGTCTGCCCCTATATTCGCACATGGATATTAGCAACCAATCCCCTAATACAAAAATCAACGGCGAACTTACCGGTCGTGTATGTGCTGGCATCAGAAACCAAATACACATAAGCCCCCTTCAGCTCCTTGGCCTCACCATCACGCCCCATCGGGATCATGCTCTTCCACAACGCCTGCGTCTTGGGGTCGACGAAATCCGACAGCCCGGTGTCGATGTAACCCGGCGAGATGGAGTTGACACGGGCAAAGTCGCGCCACTCGTTAGCCAACGACCGCGCCATGTGGATGCAGCCAGCCTTGGCAACATTGTACGAGGTCTGCTCTTGCGGGAAGTTGGCGATGTGACCAGACATCGACGCCGTGATGACGAAGGAACCCGTGCCGCGCTCCTTGAAGTGCTGTCCGACCGCCTTGGCACAATGGAAGGTGCCATTAAGATCCGTCTGGATGACCTCCATCCACTTCTCAACCGAACCCTCAAGGATACCTAATACGAGTCAGCCATGAACTACCACGCCAACAACAACAACAACACATACCGGAATCCGCCGTCCGGCCCGCATTCGCAATAAAGGCATCGATCTTGCCAAACTCCTTGATCACGTCGTCGACCAGCTTGGTCACGCTAGCATAGTCGCCAATGTCCAGCTTGTACGCCTTGACCTTGACGCCGTACGTCTCGGCCAGCTCGCGTGCGTTCTTCTCGCCGCCGGCGGCCCGCGACGCATACGTGATGGCCAGGTCGGCGCCCATCTCGGCACAGCCGCGCGCGGCCTCGATGCCCATGCCCTTGGGGCCCGAGGCTCCCGTCACGACGACCACCTTGCCCTTGAGGCTGAAGAGATCCTTGAGGGATTCGGCTTTGGGGACAGGGATAGGCATGGTGGTGAGGGGGGGTTGTGTGTAGATGGGGTGATTGGGAGAGTGTGAAGATAGATGGAAGATGGAAGATTGAGGTGATGACAAGAGAAGTGAGAGAGATGGAATGGAATGGATTAGAATGAAGAGAAAGGAAAAGGAAAAAGGAAATCAAAAGAAAAACGAGACAGTCGTCCTGTATTTATGGGAGGGCGTCATGGGCGGGGAGGGGTAAGGTAAGGTAGTAACGGCTCCGTCGGGGCTTATGTAAGCATCGTCCTTTCCCTTTCCCTTTCCCTCTCCCACCAAAGTCCAAGCCAAGTCAAGCCAAATCAAGTCCAAAGTCAAAAAGTCAAAAGTCTCCCCATCACCCCTCACTCACTCATCTTACCCCTCCCCGCCAAACCACCTCAGCACACTCAGCACTCCCATTCATCCATCCATCCATTCATTCATTCCCTTCTACCATAACCCCCAATCAACCCCTCCAATCCCAATCCCCCCCCTCCTTCCATAACCCATAACCCAAACAAAGCAAAGCAAAGCAAACAAAACAAATAAAACAAGTGACTCGTCCAAGACATTCATTCACATTCCATCTCTTACCTTACCTTACCTTGCCAGATAGGTGGAGGGGACAAGACTAGGTAAGCTAGCGGCCGCTTATCATGACGTCACTCACGTGTATGTTATCATACCTTACCTCTTCCCGCCGCTGCGCCCCTTTTTATCGTTTATCAGCTTAGTCCAGCTCAGGCTTTTTTAACTATACATTACCCACCTCACGTACCTTACCGTACATACCGTACATACGAGCAACAAGAAACTGCATATTCATGACCTTATTAATTTTATTATCGAATATTCCTTGAGACAAAGAAGGAGGAATAGGTAGTGGTATTTTCTAATTTTGATTTTTTTTTGATTTTTTTGATATGTGATTGTTTTGCGGAGAAGGGAAAGGTAAGGTATGGTATAGTATCGTATGGTACCTATGCCATATAACAATAACCCTTCATGCTCTAATACACTACCTTACACTACACCACACTACACCGCTTCTTCCCACAAAGTCACAAAAAACCCCCAAAACAAAACCCAAAAAACACCCCCCCCCC